TCTATCATACTGATTGTTTGCTCCCTAGTTAAGTTTCCATGAAAGTTCTATGTGGAGATCATAGTACTGAATTAATATCTTCAACATTTAAAGTACTGTATTGTCAATATAGTTACATGTACATGTAGATGCCATAGTTTTCAAACATACGTAGGCACAGAATTCTGTCCTCATCCAGTGAGTGTAGGTAGAAGTACATGTAAATGCACCTATTGCACTTTAGGATTTAGGAAGGCCTTGGGTAAATAGATTTTGTCATTATAAATGTCTATAATACGAAACACTGCAAATATAATTCTTTTACAAGTTTACGTCAGTATTTATTGTTTCACTAGAGCATGGCATAAATGTTAAATCATGCAATCTACTCTTTTATTGCAGATCTATTGGAAAAAAATTAAAATAGAAGAATTAATGGTGGTTGAGTACTTTATGCTGAATTGTTGTGATGGCAGCAATTGAAGATGAAGTCAAAATGCAAATGCTGAATGGTCATGATGAAGATGGAGGTGAGAATTCAGATTTTTAAAATGAGTTGCTGTTGTCGGCCTCCAAGTTATGCTCAACATCACTCCTTTGCACTGCCTGTTGTTAGATAATTCTAGTATCTACAATTACATCTAAGTCAATATTTGCAACTAACTGCAGTTAGTTCCCTTTGTCAAAGTACATGTACCTGTACATGTACGTCTCATTTATCAGGCCTGCCCAATATACAATTATTGATTCGTATAATAACATGCGATATACTTCCCACTTGGAAGGGGGTAAATTATACAACGGGAAATATTTAGTGGTGGTGAGGAGCATGGGATGGAGTGGGAGTGGGGGTATTCGCTCAGTCACTGTAGTTTTGGATGGGCTGTAAAAACGAACAAATGAATATCTTTATTCTGCAAGTTTATCATTAAATAATGCACAAAATTACATGTATACAGCTTAAAACATCGGTTGAGACATGTTCGTTTGTATTATCGTGATCGTCTGACTTAGTATCTCTAGTGCTCAACTTAACTATCTCTAGCGCTCAACTTAACTGTCTCGAGCGCTCGACTTAACTAACTCGAGTGCTCAACTTAAGTATCTCAAGTGCTCGACTTAGTATCTCAAGTGCTCGACTTAGTTTTGCGTGTCCTAAATCAGCCACCATAATTTACTATGCTTAATAAAGGGAAGTGTTATAATAATAATTACCTAATTGTGTTGAGATATAAACAATGTACATGAAATCACATTTCCTCCTCTTTCTTTTCTTCATTGTTGTATTGCACATTTTAAACACTGCGTTATATTTCATATGAAAGCTTATTGTTTCTGAAGTTCTTATTTTTTTTTTTGTGTGCATTTCCTGTAAATCAGATTTTTCAGAATCTAACTATAGGATCTTTCTGAAACTTTGTCCTATGATAACGGACATGAAAATGAAAACAATAGGCCATAGTTTGGAGAATACGTCTCCTGAATACATTTCTGGATAGCCGGGATCAGGGTTGAATTTTAATGATTATTTTTTCTTGTTCAGATTCTTTATATGTGGCAGGAAGTGACTGTGAATATGAAAGCTTTCATATCTGCTTTGCAGATCTAGTTATTGTTTTTTATTTTTTGTGTGTGTTTCCTGCAAATCGTATTTCTCAGAATGTAACCATAGGATCTTTCTGAAACTTTGACCTACCCCCCCCAAAAATGGGTGGTAGCTTTTGCTAAATATATTTTCAAAATCCGAAATCACCGAATTTTACGAACGAATGCATTTGACCTACATTGCTGTGACTTTGTCACTATTTGATCAATTTTACTAATTCTTTCTTCTCTCGAGTACCTTGAAACATTTCCTTCAAATCTGCAATTTAATTCGTCACTGTGATTTCGAATCGGAAGTTGAGACCAACTTGACAACTTCTTTAATAGTTACACGATTTTCATGAAATTTAGTATATAGATCTAACCGATACAACTTGAAAGATGGCATTAGAAATTTTCTAAATTACCTCCCCTTTTGAAGTGAAGGGTCAAAGTTTTAAAAAAAATCGACGAAATATAGGTCAGATTGCCTTGAATTTTTTTTTTCTGTACTAGCTAAGAAAGTACTGATTGATGTACATGTATATACAAAATGTGAAGTCTGCCATTGAACCAGTAGTGCCACCATCTTGAAATGTGAAAAATCCATAAGGCTTTTGCAATATTTTACTTACAGCATGACATGACATGTGACATGAAGTGACTGTAAATATGAAAGCTTTCATATCTGCTTTGCAGATCTAGTTATTATTATTATCACCAACAAGTTAGGAATGATAAAAGTTTCTGCCAGATGGGTGCCAAAGCTCTTGACAATCTGATTCGATTTGAAGCAGATCTTGATAATTTTTTGGTCAGATTTGTAACCATGGATGAGACATGGATTCTCACTTTCATCCAGAATACAAAATTAAGTAATTTTCCTGGTAATATTGACATTGTGTTAGCTGTGAAGAAAATCCAGACTTTGCAACATGTAGAAAAATAAATGGAAACCATTGACTTCATGCAGGTCTTTCACAGAGAACTTTTCACCCAGCCCTCGTATTTTGACGAGTAAATTTTGGCTGTCGACTGATAATGGCACAGTTTCATTAAACTTCATCCTGCTGTTTAATATTGTGAGCATTGTGCCACAACAATGTTCAATTTGTAAAGTCTAAACTAGATTTACTGCGTTTGTGGGAGATTGGGTGGTTGAATGGTCTAACATGTACGCTTTAGATCGTAAATTTAGAGTCAATTGGCTTGGTATTCGCACTTCTACCAATCTGATTAAAACAGATCCTATTTCATTTCGTATTTTATAGTTCGAAATTTAGTTTTACTTGTCTTTACTACTCTAGGATCTGGAAGAGTTGTTATATATCCTGTGTTCTGGTTTATGTGAGGGATTAGCCAATGAAGCACTCTGTTTTGGCAAGTTCTTGGCGTTTGGTGCACAGAACTATGGGTTTCCCACTTGAATCATCAATGCTGATTGATTAATCAAATGTCTGATGTCATAGGTTCAAAAGCCGATTGTATGACCCCTGACTGGACCTCCCACTAAGACCGGCCAGATCCCTATGTAGTAATCAAATGTCAGACATCATATAAAGGTCAAAAGTCGCTCGTATGACCCCTGGATGCTACTTTCCACTACAACCGGTCAGATCTTCATGTAGTGCGGCCATCGAAAGTATAATCCAGCAGTTGCCAGGAAGATATAATCATATTTAGCAAGAGATGGATAGAGAACCAGCTCAAAACAAATTGCCATATTTCGTACAATCAGGGGGCCATAAGCCAGTAAGTTATGGTCTGATATTTAGGTTATATTTTGTCGGGCATTTTTGGTCCGATTTTCACGAAATTCGACTCAATCAACATTATGGTGTAACGGTGATATATTTGAAAGTTTTTATAGATTTTATAAAAATTGTGACCACTAGATAGGGATCACTAGCTAAGAAGGCGATTTTTCGTACAATCAGGGGCCATAATTCAGGCAGTTAGTATCTGATATGTGCGAATATCGAGAGGAACCAAGATCAGTGGGTTATAAACATGTATTTCAAGTTTCATCAAAAATAGATGAAAATTGTGACCTCTAGAGGGTCCACAACCTTAATATACCATATTTTTACACTATTTGCCTGAGAAGGGGGGTCATTTTGTCTGGCAGTTTTTGTCCGATTTTTATGAAATTCACACTTAACCAACAGTATGGTGTAACAGTGATACATGTATATTCAAACGTTTTTGTTTAATTGGATAAAAATTGTGACCTCTAGTGGGACCACAAGCTAAAAACACAATTTTTTTAATATCAGGGGCCATAGTTCAGGAAGTTACGATCCGATATGCGTAAATATCGAAAGGAACCTAGATCTTTTGGAGATAAACCTATGTTTCAAGTTTTGTCAAAATTGGAAAAGAATTGTGACCTGTAGAGTGTCCACAAACAAATTTTGGACAGACAGATGGATCCGATATGCGTGAATATTGAAGGGAACTAAAGGAACACTATTTTTGTACAATCAGGGGCCATAATCCATGAAGTTACGGTCTGATACATGCCTATTTAAAAGGAACTGAGATCTTAAGGAGATATACTTTTCAAGTTTCGTCAGAATCGGATAAAAATCGGGACCTGTAGAGTGTCCACAAACAAAGTGTGGACGGACGGACAGAGGTAATGACAATATATGTCTACATGAAAATGTGGGCGTATAAAAAAAAACAAAACGAAATGTAGATCTGTATTTTAATCAGATTGCACTTCTATGTGACCTGGAATAGGGTTTACAGCCTAATCTTGTAGGTTTTCTACGTGTCCTCAGCTTTTCTTCCACTGCTAAAGACCCCTACATGTATGCGCTAGCTAGTTGTTTAAATAATGTAGGCTAACATAGTCACAGTTTGCATTGAGTGGACATTAAGCTCTTTCTTTCTCTCTCTGCTTGGTCTGTCATGGATAGGGGTACATGAAGGGATGAATGACAATATTGTTAGTTTGGGTGTTTTCATAAAATCTTGAACTGGTAAATATAGACATTTGAAACATTTCTTTGGCAATTAATTTCTTTAAAAGTCTAAATTGGTTTACTTAATTTGTTTTAGAAAAGCACTATTATTAGTATTATTTAGAAATTTGTCATTCATTATCTGACCGAAACCTTGGTTTTATAATAAAATACATGGATGGAAGTTGTGATTTGTCATATTTTAGCATCTGGCTTTAGTAATAATACCAATAGGACATTATAATGTGATGAAACAAATACAAAAGAAAACTGTGTTATTATTAGGCATTACTTTTGGTTGATTATTAAAGGCTTCATAGTTAGCAGACACCTAACGGGAGGGATACCTCTTAATAACACTCTGGTTTTGATATCTCGTTAACCTTAATAGTGCCCCAAGCACATTTTTACCTGTCATAGTGAGTGAACATTCAACCATAACAATAAGGTTCAGGTAGTTTTAACCTACACATGCGCAGGCCCATATTGTTAGGGTGTAGCTAGCGTAATAAGGGCTGCCTATATTTTGTATAAAGAATATCCAGGAGAAGCCTTTTGGTAGTGTTGTAAAGAAGTGTAATAGATAAGGATTGTTTCTAACTCATACTTTGAGATGAATATATAATACTTATAGTGGATGTTTGAGCTAAAAATAGACCATGCCTTCTCGTGGTGAATTTAATAACAAAATGGAGGAAGCAAATGCCATTCATTTAGAACGTTATGCTCCTTTACAGTCTCCACCCGGTCGTAAGTAACATTTTAATATCAACTTTCATTTTATTTCGTTTCTGACATATCTATATTTCCATTTATATACTGATCTAATGAATTTGAACTGTTATTGAATGTTATTGTAATGTATGTTACAGAGAGATATTGATTGTAATCAATCTAAAACCATCACATACATGTGGTTTCTATAGTGTATAATTTTTGGCTATATAGTTGGTTTTCATATAAATTTTATTATAATCATAATTCATGAAGTCATGGTTGAATTAACAATTGAATCCTCATACATAACAGAGTATTTATAAGCTGAAAAATGTTAGGATGGTGGAGGTAGTTGTCAGCATGCTTTGTATTCAGTGGGCCTGGTAAATCAATCTTAAATAACAATTTAATGCTTTGCATTTCAAGTGCAGATATGTTAAGAAACTAAAGATATAGTTAAATAATAAGGTGGACAGTGTGTCTCATAGCAATTTGTGTATTAAGGTTATGATAAGAGTAATGAAATTGTATATCGTGACCTACATGTATATTGAAGAGGGTGTGGTGTGTGTTTGAAACTTCTCATTAACTTTTTAGCCATGCTTTCTTTTTCTCTTATTGATCTCAAGACTATCATTTTTCTCCAAACTGATCTTTTATGAATTATTTTATCACATTCCAGTCTAATGAGTAATGATATTTTGTTTAAAAATAACAATTCTATGGGTGGAATTAGGTTCATATAAAATCTTACTGACCTGTGTTTACTGTTTTAGAAAGATTAAATTTAAATCATTAACACATGTGATGACTTATTGTACTAAAATACATGAATTCCATTGCAAGAAGTACATGTACAATAAGTTAGATATAATGTTCTACAATAAAATAATTAATTTAGTATTGACTTGATCAGCCTGGTTCTAATCTATTTTATGATGAATATTACAATGGTAACTATTCATCATCTATGTCAGTTTTGTTGTTATGCCATAAAAATGTGACTTGGGGTAGATCCCTCAAGATTTATGAAGAATATGATTTAAAATTTTAGTGTTAGGTATTAATATCATTGGAAGAGATAAAATTTATAACCCTGTGACTTTTAAGTATATTTGCATTCATTATTTAAGATTTCGGGTAAACATTTTCAACTTTATTGATATACACCCCACCTTTATAAGTGTTAGATGTAGCCTATAACCGAGGTCTCCAACTTTCTACTTATTAAAACAATTAGTTGTGACTGTTGAAGGATACATGTACTTCAGTTATATAAGTAAGAGCAATCAAAAAACCAATATGAAAGGTAAATTTTTCAGAATAATTTACATCACTACTCTTGAATTAATTAATACAGGAGGCAGGGACAGTTACCCTGTCTTATTCCATGTGATAATGCCTTTAGAGTTTCAGAATAAACTGAATGAAAGCAGTTTAGATTGAATCCGATAGCAAACCGATTTTGATAGTTCCTGTCTGATCAAGAGCAAATAATGTAGGGCATTCTCTGAATAATGTAGGGCATTCTCCAATCAGATAAAGATAAATACTACATCATAACTTTGTGCATCAGACTTTCAAAATAAGGGATGTGGCACCCACTTCTATATAACCCCCCCCCCCAAAAAAAAAAAATAAATAAATAAATAACCAACAATTCAAAGACCTTCGCGTTTAGTTTAAGCGACATTGACATACATTCAAAACTTTGGTTTATATTTTGCACATACTGCCTCAATGTATATAAATGTACATTTCATCCACTTTTATATATCTTTCATCTACTTTTTAAATATTTTTCATTCATTTTTTTTTTTATTTTTTTTTTTATGTATTTTTCATCCATGCTGACTGTAATGTATAATTTACATGCTGCCCGAAAAGGGTGTTTTATGTAATAAAATCTAACTAGTCTGGCCCAGTCTCTAAAATAAATATCATTTCAGTATTTAAAGTAAAATGTAATATCTACTCAGTAGTCTTCAAATTTGTGAACAGAGAAACCATATTTAGTTATATATTGGGATTGATAATAGAATGTACAGTCCAGTAGAATAAACAATCAGAAAAATATTTTGCAGGTAATCTATCTCGGCTCGTAGGTTGCTGTCATCGAACGACTCCAAAAGCATTTTACACTAAATATATATGAATCGAAAAATACATATTTTCGTTAGTCTGTGTGCATCAAATCGTTTGGGTTCGAACTCAGTTCAGATATGTTACCTCTTTTTTAATTTTGTATGTCAAAAGATAATAACTTCTAATATTATTGATACCTGTACATGTCCTGCAATCAAATAAAAGTAAATACCTGCAAAATATAATATCTTACCCTCTTTTTCATCTCTACTATCTAACTTTCATTGCTACTTAGTTTTGCACTACATTTTGTTCACCTTCATTTACTCACACTGTCAAACTATCAAATAATATTAAAGCATGTTGCTATCACCCTTGCAGACCTGTAATACTACTACTACTGCTAGTGTCATAACCATGTCTGGTGCCAACCCTGCTTATACTAACTGGCCACCTTCTGGTCGAAAGTGGACTAATGAAGTCTATAATATGGACACTTACACCGTAAGATTAGGTAGGATTATCATGATATCGTAATTTTATCTGTACATTAGTCTTTCATTTATTCATTTGATCTATGTTATGTTTGGTTTGTTTTGTTTTGTTTCAATTTAGAATATTCCCCCATTATTTTGTCACTAAAGTCACATTAATCTGTAAAAAGTTAAAATATGAAATCAAAATTTGATAACATGAATATTAATATACATATAGAACCAAAATGTAGTAGGCTAAATAACATGAATATAAATATACATATAGTAGACTAAATGTTCAATGGCTTGTTTGAAAATATGTGTCTTTAAACTGGTTTTAAAATTGATAAGTAAAGATCTATTGTTTAATATGGGAAAGATGTTGGTTCCATACATTTGTTGCCCGAGACCTGAAAGACAATTCATTGTAAGTCATATGTTAGCTGATATATTTCAACATTTGGCTGTAATCGGTGTGTATTATAAGTAATTTTGATGTAATTTTATACGAAAACATGTCTGTATAGGCAAAAATTATCAAAACATGTCTTAAGAGTTTTGTTTTTGGCCTTAGATGTATATAAAAATTCAATGTAAATGTAGAATTTGGGTTGATAAGACACAAACTATAGCTTTGTCAAGCACAGTATCTCTGATGCATGTCAACTTATATGGCACCGATTTGTCTTGTATCAGTAGTTTAGTGATATGATACATGTCAGGAACAAACCTTAAATGTCAAGTACTATTTCATTTGTGACGGGGGGGTGGGGGGGGGGGGGGGTGGGGGTGGGTGGCCGAATGGTTAACACGTGCATGTTTGATCATACAGTCTGTCATTAAGTCAAGTGACGGCTCGTTACAAGGAGTAGGGTCACCTGTCCAACCTTGTGTGTTTTCTCTCAGTCCTTTGATTTCCTTCCACTGCTAAAGACCCCTGAGCGCAAGCAAATTATTGAAATAAATTGAACCATATGTTATTATTAGTCCCGAAATGACCTAGTTTGTGTTAAGTGGACATTAAATCCCATTTCTCTCTTTCTCTCATTAGTGACTGACATATTTTCAGGTACATAAAAATATTATTTTTGGCCTGCTCTTTTCTGTTTTATGAATGATTATTAATGTCAGACACAAAGTTTAAAATTTTTATTTGTTTTTTTCTGTTGCATGTTATGTTAGATGGAAGAAGTTTCAATATGGTTAACTGAACCATTTTGGGATAAAATATTCACAAAAGTGATACAAATATAGAAATTTGATGATAGAATTCAACTTAATTTAACTCTTCTTTCTGGTTCCCCAATCTGACAGATCCTTTTTCGTTTTGTTTTTTATAGTTCAAAATTTCGTTTTTCTTGTCTTTACTACACTAGGATCTGAAAGAGTTGTTATGTAACCCGCGTTTTGTTTTATTTGACAGATTAGCCACAGTCTGTTACAGCAAGTTCTTGACATGCTGTGCATGGAACTGTGGGTATTCCACTAGAAACATCAACACTGACTGGTTAATCAAATGTCTGGTGTCAAAGGTTCAAAATCCCCTGTCAGTGATGCAGGACGGAGGGCCTGACAAGGACAGCTGTCTAGTCGTTCGGATGGGACGAAAAACCGAGGTCCCGTGTACAAATTGGCATGCACGTAAAAGATCCCTTGGCAGTTGGATTTCGATATAATAGTAGGCCGTAGTGCCGCTGCCCGGGCAAAATTTCCCTCATAGCACACTGTATGGCGTATGCCCGTCTTCATTAGCCCAGTTTAGGAGCAAAACAGTAGGGCGTTAAACCCCATTTCATTTCATTTCATTTCATAGGTTTAAAAACCACTCATATGAACCCTGGCGCAGCCTCCCACTATGACCGGTCAGATTTCTATATAGTAGAGGCCATAGAAAGTATAAAAAAAATGAAACAGAATATAGATCTGTATTTTAATCAGATTACTAGTTCCCTTAACGGTCACACCGAGAAAGCAAATCAAGCATTTGGATGAGTAATCTACGTTTCCTAGCTTTAGTTTGTTTGTCCCAACCTACATTAAATCAAGTCAATGTAAATAAATAACCACAAACAGATATTTGTACTCATAGAAAGAAAAATTCATTTCCCCCCTTTGGTGTTGATGTTGATACTCCCACCATACTCTTAATTACATAAGCCAGTTGATATTGAACACAACAAAAAGAATTTCATTTGTTTTTATACACAGCAAAAAAAGTTAAGCACCCCCTGATTTTTCACAGAGGGTTGAACTTCATGGAAGTATGGTATGATGAAACTGAAAAAAAGAAGATAAGCAAAACAAATTTTAATTAAAAGAACAATCATTTGGTCATTTGGAAGTGAAGTTTTGTAACAGTATGAGCACTAAAAGTGCATGAAAACACAGAGTGAAATTGAAATGGAATTACATCCAAAAGACATGGATGTTTAAGTATCGTCAGTTCAAGTCTTGGCGTGTGCCCACCGGTAAAAGCAGCTTAAATAAAGTGGGTCAGTGTCTCGGGAATCACAAAACATCAGTAACGTGCTGCCACCACGTGCCTAAATAACTGCAGCCACTCTTCTTGGCATACCCTGAACCAGGTTCCTTAATTGTTCCATCGGTATCCGCTGCCACTCCTCATGAAGAGCTGCCTCCAGTTCCCTCAGTTTTTGTGGAGGAGGATTTCCCCTTTTTACCCGACGACTCATGATGTCCCAAACATGTTCATTGGGTTCAAATCAGGAGACATTGCTGGCCATGGAATTCGTGTCACAGCATTATTTGCCGGATGTTGGTTTACAGCATGTGAACGATGAGGTCGTGCATTGTCGTCCATGAACAATAATTACAGGATCCTGAATGTAGCGAGCGCCTGTGAGTGAACTTTGTATAGTCACCATATCCAGTCTACAATCGTAGGAGAAGCCTCCCCAAACCATTACGAATCCCCCGCCAAATGGTACTCTTGGCAAAATGTTCCTGCTGGCAAAACGTGTATTCCTAGTCCTTCATATGCGGGCTCCCATCAACAGCATGCAGGAGAAAACGACTTTCGTCACTCCTGTGTATTCTCCTCCATGATCTTGTAGGTTCCACCTCTGCCTGTGCTCACACCATAACATACGCTGATGCTTGTGGTGATTTTTGAGCTGTGGCTGCCTGATGACCCTTCTGGCTCTTAATCCAGCAGCTTTGAGGCGGTTTCTCACAGTCTGGTTGCTCAAGCAGGTGCTTGAACCGAAAGACTGGCTTCTAACATGCCATAACAGAGCTCTATCCTCCTGGGGCGTGGTAGCTTTTGGTCTTCCAGAACGGGAAAGGTCCTTTACATCATTTGTTTGTGCATGCTTCCTCACCAGACGGCTTATTACGGTGTAGTGAAACTGAGTTCTTCTTGCAATTTCCTTGTAAGAAAGTCCTGCCCAATGAAGTCCAATGATCTGCCATCTCAATGCATTGGAAAGTCTCCTTCGTGCCATTGTCAATCAGAAGTGCAAAAAGGTGATAATGAAGTCGATACCGATCCTGAAATACCTAATGCTTGTGGTTGTTTGAAACTTTGGTGTGTGCAACACATGTGTGGCGGGATTCACGTGCATGTGGCTGCGTTCGTGAGAGATATTTTCCAATAAGTAACACCTTATTTTATCACCATTACCAATATACCACTCTTTCTTTCTTCGATTTGCCATCATGAGGATTGAAATTTGGTTTCAATATATACCGATAATCCAGCTTTTATTTGAGGGGGGGGGGGGTGCTTAACTTTTTTTGCTGTGTATATATTTTCAAAGAAAAATAAAGAGTGGGGAAAGACAAAACAAAAAGTAACATTTGCACCTTTTATATGTAGTCTGACTATAAACATAAATGCGCCAGAGGTTGGCATCCTTTATAACATTTTTTCAGTGTTTTTGACTACAGTATTAATCCAATTTGAAGTCAACATTATCTTGTTTTAGTCTTGAAGCAAGACAGTTATTTTGTTGGTTATATTCATTTCATTCTATTTGTTGTTGTTATCTGTTTTGTAGCGGATGGACGACCTAATAACAATCAAGATGGTTTTGATGATGTAGCTATAGAAGATGTAATGTATATGGAAGATGCTGATGGTGAAACAGCAGAACCAGGTGTCAACAATATACCAAAGGTTTGTACAAACTTTTTGATCTGAATATTGATGGTGTAGGTGGTTTAAAGTCTTTACTTCTAATTATATAGTTATTTTGTGTCTGATGTGTTCATAATAATTGAACAAATCTACAGTGTACCTTCAATTTCATCACAGGTTTGATTTGGGGATGATTTATACCAATTATTTATTCATGATAGTTTGCACGTTTATCTCTGTTTTGGAAATATTTTAATTGCTTAAATTAGACAACTATTGGTACTATCTCCCTCTAGCTATGTTGTTTCAAGCACCATCTGTTATATGTTTATGATTTAAGTTTCAATGTCACTGTTTCTCTATCTTTCATTTGATTTTTTCTTATCACAGGTTGAAACGAAAGTAAGTAAAGCAGCCTAGTTTTTTTAAATTTTTTATATGAATTGTCATTTTCATTTAAAAAATATCTTTCTGTGTGCATTTTGTGTGCTTTGACCTGTCTGTGTGCCGAGTTGTTCTTTATGCTGTAAATCTAACCTCTTGTCTTTTATCAACGATTACAATTTTGTAAATTACATATATATAGCTGCATTGCCCCTTTTCAGTTAAATTTCTTGGTGCATACAGTCTTCCATCATTTCAAGGAGGCTTGCTCTGGTGTTATTTTTTGCTCTTTAGTCAAACACCAAGAAATAGGTGGGGGGGGGGGGGGGGTATATAGCATACATCTCCTAAATCACAACTGTTTGGAGTAATTTTTTGCTCTTTAGTCAAACACCAAGAAATATATGTGTGAGTGTGTGGTGGGGGGGGGGAGTATATAGTATACATGTACATCTCCTAAAACATAATTGTTTGCAGTTGATTGACCCAAAACAGCAATATTTTAGTAAAATTAGATTTTCAGCATATCTTTTGTCCCTCAGAATTGATATGCCATTATATATCATAACAAGAAAACTTTCATTAGTTTCCCAATTTCTAGTAAAGTTGATATTTTCTCAAATTCATTAATTATTTATTGTAGACACTTACTTTATTAAGAATAAAGTTTTGGTGATACGTTGCCATGTGTGCAATGCATAAGCTCATTTAAAGTGTTAAGTAGCTTTTGTCTATAATACATGTATAGTTTTGAATTAGAAGACTAACCTTTTCAATGATAATTTAGTTGTAGTATAGATAATTGTATTTTAATTGTGTTTATTCACTCAATTTACAATGGATTCATCAACAACTTTTTGGAACGTTATTGCTTAGCCATCATTGTCTTGTCAATGTATAGGTATTTTTGTCCCCTGCCTTTCGAAGAAAGCAGGCTACTATTAAAATGGGTTCGTCCGTCTGTCTGTCTGTCTGTCCGTCACACTTTTTGGGACACAATGACTCTCCTAATTGATGGAGTTCGAAGATGAGCATTTTCTGCTATGGTAAGCAGACTTTAGCAGAGATCAGCAATTTGATTGGTTGATGCTTTGGGACATAACTTTAGTTCTAATTAATTGAGAGTGACGAAACTTGGTGTATAGTTTCATTACATCAATAACTTGACTAAGTTCGATAATGAGCATTTTCTGCTCAGGGTAAGCAGAGATAAGCAATTTCATTGGTTGATTCTTTGGGGCAGGATAACTTTAGTTCTAATTAAAGATACATTATGTTAGATTTAGATAAAGAACTAGCCATTCTTGCTATAATAGTTCGAAAGTAGATGATGTAAAATGAATAATTTGAAAATTTCATTCAAATTACTCTATTACAAGCGAAGATATTAGCCTTTGAAGGTTTGACAGACTTGTGCAATATTTTCAACCGCCGTACTGGTTGATCGAAGCTAAGTCTCGGTCCTCCATATTTGATTAAATCAAAGTATCGCTGAACCATTCTAATCTATTTAATATCGGAGAAATCTGATGCCATCGAGAGTTGATTAAGGCCTGGATCAGTTAATTAATGTCTAATTAATACTTTAGAAAACATTTCAGGCCTAAAGAAAGACCTGCAATAGGCAGATTTAGCTCTTGCATAATGCATGTTTAAAGGACAATATTGGTGTCAATCATTATTACATATGTGATAGAACTGGTTAAATGCATTCCAAATATAATTTTAACACAGAGATCATTAGGGCTGGCGGAAATAATCAATAATTGCCGATAATCGTCGGTAAGTGTTTTGAAAATCGATTATCGATACAGTTTTAAAATATCGATTATCGCGCAATTATAGGTACTTCACTTGCAAGAAGAAGTCCATAAAAATAATCCTTATCACTGTATTCTTTGCAACGCATGCTTGGGCCTAGAACTGTAATTAAACAGAATAGTCATAATAAAACACACGTTTGTTGTTTTTTTTTCATGCGAGGTGCAACCGGTGAGAAATGTTGGCCGCTTATGTCATGATGAGAGCCAATGGTTTCACGTAACATCCAGTTGTGTCCCTTATTTTAACTCTTCAGTTCTTTCGTCTTCTCTGTTTCTAAGTCAAACAGGTACTTTCCCTTTATAAAATTTATTAATTTATTAAGAAATTTGCGAAGAAATGTATGAAGACGAGATTTTTAATTTCCCCAGTGCAAAGAAATCACTGCAAGAATAAACTGAAGAATTCGTTTGATGTGATCAAAGGGAAATAACTACATTTTACTCAGTATTATTCAGGTCATAAGCGACAAAGATATGGCGAGCGGTGGCGGGTTCTGTCTTCCAAACGAAGTTAATTGAGTTTCTTTCTACACCTTGGTTTTGCTACGGAATGCTATTATTTTATTGTCAAATGTCAAATTAACGGAAAAAAAAAATTCTACATGTATACAGAATGATATCACAGCATAAACTCGCATATAATTCGTGTACAAATTATGATTGTTTTCAAACCAATTCAACAATTGTAAGTCAAAATAATTTGCCGATATTATCGATTATCAATTGGCGGGTGGTCCGCGATAATCAATACTTGAAACAGGATCGATTGCCAGCCCTAGAGATCATTGCTACGGGAGACGTGTAACAAGCACGTGAAGAAACGGGAAGTGACGCCAAACACGACAAACACGAGTTGTCCTTCTATATAACTGGCTGAAGTAACGAGCGATAACAGACAAACGATCGAATATCATTTCACTGATGTTTCCGCTGAAGTTGAAAAGTTATTATATGGGACGGTGAGAGGGTATCTCACAATTCAAAAATAGAATTGGCTTTCACTAGATTAGGGACACGAGAAAATAGAAAAATCTCGTGCATTCCCCCGTTTTTATTCATTCTGTTCTTAATAAAAACATGGTAATGCACGGACTTTTTCTAATTTGTTCGTTATCTTTTATCAACTGATAGCCAATTCTATTTTTGAATTTCAGATATCCTCTCATCGTCTCATAGGGACTGAGTTGAATGATTAACATTTCGAGTTGAAGCTAAGCAGAGCTGATCAATTTCATTGGTCGATACTTTGGGACATGATATTCTTGTTTTTATCTGATAGAGAGTGATGAAACTTAGTGTATAGTTGATAATCAGTTTGATTGCTTGATACCCTTGAAGAAGATAAATGTGCGATTAATTAATATGTGTCATCTATTTATTTTGGGATTTCGGGGGGGGGGGGGGGGACATCAGCCTCACTGTCGACTTGTTTATCTGTAATTTGTACAACTTTGTGTAAGCGAAGTATACATGTACGTGGAAAGGTAAACACCCCAAAATTGTTTGTCTGTTGCAATTTCAGTAGGTTGACACTGCTGCAGCTAATTGCATAGTAATACAATATACAGTGTGATATTGCGGTATAAAGCATGTTGCATGGAAGAAGGGAAGTGTAAAGCAGTGCTTTTACTTAATAGTTGGCGAGAAAATTTTAAGTTAGCAAGATATTTATTTCACAGACTTTTAAGTTCATCAAATGTCATAGCTAGATCATTCCTATTCATTCACTAAGTGGGAGTTTATTTCCAGAATAACCATTTTACCTGTGGCTATATTAAAGTCTTAATTTTCACCGTTGTAAAGTATTTACCTCAAATAGTAATCAGTCAAGATAAGTTATGGTATAATTAGCTTCTAGAAAAAGCTTTACTTTTAAGATCCAGTTGTATCTTAAGGTGTTACATAATAAGTTACATGTAGTTCATTGAATATGGTCCTGGTTAGTGAATGAATATTGACGATGTCATACATTTTCATCACCCTGTCTCTTTCCAAACACAAATCCCTTAGGAAATGTAGAGTCCAAAGAAATTATCGAATCTTTTAATTTTATTTAAGATTTGTAAGCATTTGTTAGATAAGTAAAATGGAGATGCCTACCAAATTTCCAAAGATGTCTTCAGAGTTATTGCCCCTGATTAAGATTTTCATCTTACTATCTGGAAATTTATATACAGTGTTTGCTTTCCTCAGACCTTTTCTCATAATTACTTTCATGCTGTTTGTTGTCCTTGATAAGTATTTCATTGGTTGTTTCCTTTGATAAATTTTTGGTGCATGTAAATGCTCCAGTTACCAGCGCTGGATAATGGTTACCTTTCTGAACCTGTTGTGGGCATATATTTCATTGCCTAGCCACCGCTTGGTGTATATTTATATCTCCTGCTATATATGAATAACCTCATCATGCATTCCACTCCCTTTGCTATGCAGCATGAACAATGATAACTGCTAACTTATTCATCAGATCGATGTGTCCTGGTTTGTTTTTTAAGCATCTATGAAGAATTTAAGCTTTTTAAAGATAAATTGATAAAAAAAAAGAGCTTCTAGTATTCGAACATTATTGATGCTTAAACCAGCATGGAGCTACATTATTTATTTATATTTTTTTATGCCATATCAATATCAATCCTGATGTAATTGGTGCTTGAAAAGACAATAAAAGAATCTTTTTTCTCACATAGGTGCGGAATCTACATTTTAATGATGGTGTAAAAAGAATCGATTATATACTGGCCTGGTCCATTAAAACTAAGAAATTAGAAGAAGGTAAAAAGGCTAGAGAGATATTTGAAAAGAATTTGAAAAAAGAAGGCATCGAAATAGAATATGACTTGGTGAGTACAGTCACATGTATCATGTTTTCATTAAAACAGTAATATTTCACCTTTGAACTAATGGAACTGAGATGTTCAGGAATTGGGAAGGTGAATGCAATGCATGGGAAAATCGCACCATCACAAGTGATTTCCTGCATGATGGAAATATACCAGAGAACTAGAAAGAAATGAAGCTGTATTATCAGTCAGTCGATAATTTAATCAATGGGCCTTAAAAAATGTTGTGTGATGTGCTGTTTGACAGGTTTCTATAGTCCCATTATAAATTTACATTGCCAGGAACTGCTCCGAGAACTGAAAAGAAAATTTTTTTGTCGTGTAAACGGGTCAAACATAAGCGTTCCATACCGAGAACTGTTCCAATTTGGACCATTGAAGTAAGGTGGTCATGGAAGTTCGGAACAGTTCTCGGCATGGCACGGTTAATTTTTCGTAAACTAAATGCTATCGGTTTGAGAACGGCTTTCAATACGGATTATTGCGCAAGCGTCAAATGAACCTTGAACTTTTTCACGCAAGCTTTGACAGTTAAGTCAAAATGGCTGCCTCGGGAACTGTATTAACGATCGATTCCTTCTTGCGACGTCTTTCGTACTCTCAATAACAAAAAGAAAAGAAAAGAGAATGGGCCAAACGTACCTAAATCACCCACCATAATTGTTTTCATCCATGTAATTTTCATAGGGACTGAAATTAGCTTTTCTGTGAAGAGTTCAACATTGAGCAAACCTGGAATGTGTGTGTGGTGTTCCTAATCACTGGATATAACAACAAAGCTTTAAAGCATGTCATGGTATTGGTGTCTGATCTTTTGATTGGTGCACTTGAGGATAAGCTTTCTATTTATATAATTGATATAACTGCCTAAATGAATGGGGGGTTGGATGGCTGAATGGTTAGCATGTGCGCGCTGTATCATCAGGTCTGTCATTGAGTCAACTGTCGTGGTTTTGATTCCCCAGTTGTACGTGACAAGGAGTAGCGTCGCCTGTCCAACCTCGTGGGTTTTCTCCGGGTCCTCCGGTTTCCTACCACTGCTAAAGATCCCAACGCGCAAGTGAAATTTTGAAATTAAACCATGTGTTAGTTCCGAAATGACCTAGTTTGTGTCGAGTGGACGTTAACCCCCACCCCTCGTGGGTTTTCTCCGGGTCCTCCAGTTACCTCCCACTGCTAAAGACCCCTATGTTAGTCCCACAATGACCTAGTTTGTGTCGGGTGGACGTTAAACCCCATTTCTCTCTCTCGCCTAAATGAATTGTCGCCAAGAAATAGTGACTGCAAAGATTTTGTACATTTCATTGGCCTTTTTTAAACATTTGATGTTATCGTTATTTATTTTAGAGAGGTAAAGAAATTCACTTTGCCAAACTTCATGCACCTTACCATGTATTGAATAGATATGCAGATATTCTTGCCATTAGAATGCCCATGAAAGAGGTAAATATATGGTTTTGTCTTGTGAATTAATTAATCTTATTTTGATAACCCACACTCTTTTGAGGTTGGATGATATGAACCATATACCATAGATTTAAATACAAAATACCAGTTTTGATTTGGTGTAGCATTGTTTAAGATTTTTATTTGAAGTAAGGTTACAGGACATAATTTTGTAGAATAATAGTTTTTTGTAGTGACTTTTATATATGTACTTACATTATGAATAATTTCTTTCAAATGCCAAGTGTAAATATATGTGTACGAAAAGCCTTTGAACATGTGGACTGAAAATCAAACTATTCCTTTGGAAAAAAAACAATAAAATTACAATGTTAAAGAACAATATTGGTTTCAGCAATTATTACATGTGTTATAGAACTGGTTAAACACATTCCAAATATAATTTTAACACAGAGATCATTGCTACGATGGATGCATAATGAAGATTTCACGAAACGGAATAGACGAAAGCAAAAGGAAACCATGAGTTATCCTTCTATAACTGACTGAAGTAACGAGTGATAACAGATACATGGGTGAATTTCTGCTCACTGATAATTTCCTCGAAGACCAAGAGTTATTATGTGAGACTGTGAAAGGATATCTGACAATTCAAAAAAAAAAAATTGATTGTCACTAGATAAGAATAAGAGAAAACAAGAAAAACAGAAATAGCCCATACATTCCTTGTTTTTATTACATGTATACGCCCACATTTTCATGTGGACGTATTATGCTGTCGCTCCTGTCTTGAATTGCATGTTAATAACCCAAAGATCTTGCTTCCTTTAGATATTTGCGCATATCAGATCGTAACTTCCTGAATTATGGCCCCTGATTGTATGTAAAATCACATTTTTAGCTTCTGGTTCTGTAGAGGTCATAATTTTTATCCGATTAAAAAACCGGTTTGAATATATGACTGTTACACCCTAATGATGGTTGAGTTCGAAACTGACGCACAATATGGCCGCCCCATAGTGTAAAAATATGGTATATCAAGGTAGTGGGTCCTCCAGAGGCCACAAGTTGATCCAATTTTGATGAAACTTTAAATTTATGTTTATATCACAAAGATCTTGGTTCCTTTCGATAATAGGGCATATCCGAACGTAACTTCCTTGATTATGGCACCTGATTGTTCGAAAAATCTCATTTTTAGCTTGTGGACCCGCTAGAAGTCACAATTTGTATTCAATTTTAAAAAACACTTAAATATATCACCGTTATACGTCAATGAAGGTTGAGTTATAATTTTGCAAAGATCTGAACAAAACTGCCAGACAAAATGGACGCTCCTTGTACGCAAATAATTATGAAATACCAAGGTTGTGGACACTCTAGCTAGAAGTCACAATTTTAGGTTGTTGATCCTCTAGAGGTCACAATTTTTATCCAATTTTAAAAATCGTTTAAAATATATCGTTACACCCTGATGATGATTGAGTACGAATTTCATAAAAATCAGACCGTAACTGCCCGTCAAAATGGCTGCACCTTGAACGCAAATTGTGTAAAATTATGTAATTCCAAGGTTGTGGACATGCTAGAGGTCACAATTTTTGTCCAATTTTGGTAAAACTTAAAATATATGTTTATATCTGAAAGATCTTGGTTCCTTTGGATATTTGCACATATCAGACCATAACTTCCTGGATTATGGCCCCTGATTATATGCAAAATCACATTTTTAGCTTGTGAATCCTCTAGAGGACACAGTTTTTATCAGATTTTAAAAAACGTTCTAGATGCTAGATGTCAAATTTTGTGTTTGATTTTAATGAAACTTAAAATATATCTTTATATCCCAAAGATCTCTGTCCCTTTCCATATTCGTGCATTTCAGACCATAACTTCTTGGATTATGGCCCCTGATTGTACGAGCAAAATGTAGGCGTATCTTGCCTGGCAACCGCTGGTTCATTCTATACTTAGTAGAAACATGTAACGCACCGATTTTTTCTTAACCAGTGACAGTCAATTCTTTTAATATATATCCTCTCAGTCTGATATAACAAGTTTTGGTCTTCAAAGGAATTATCAGTTAGCAGAAATTCGCCAGTGTATCTGTTATTGGAGGTTGCTTCAATAAGTTATATAGAAGGATAAGTCGTATTTTCCCTTTGTTTTCGTCACTTCTGTTTCTTGAAATCTTCGTAGCAATGATCTCTGTGTTAAAATTAAATTTTGAACGTGTTCAGCCAGTTGTACCAATTTCAAACTCATTTCATTAAATTTTTGGTAATTTGTAATTATGATAAACATACTAGCATTGTCATAAGATAAATAAAGATATAGTTATTCACAGAGTTATGTTCTGTAATGTTTTTTTTACACGGTTGCAGGTGTTTGTTGGTTGTTAGCGCCGCTATATTTGCTTGATTGGCATTGTTTTAAAAGCTGTGTATTTGTTTCATTTCATCCGTTACCATCTTAAGAAATAAATGATTTGAATATTAATTTAAATACCATATATTACATATCATCATGAATAATTGTTTTACATGTGTAAGAAATTTTTTTTTACCACATGATTTATTCATTATTGATCATCTTCATTGCATGATTACACAGTTATCATTTAATTCTTTATATGCACACTGTAAGCTAGATCAACTGTTATATCACAATGTTGGTGATATTATGTACCCATCATTAATTAATATTTGTGATTGTATGATATTAACAGAAACAAAGCAGTTTTAAAAATCTCAAATTGTATATGTACATGACCCCTGAGATAAGGCAATGTGTCATAAAGTCTGTTTTATTAGACCATGAAGAGGTTTGTTCAAATTCAATTACAAATACCATTGACATAAAAATTGCTATGTTTTTGTTGATGATTCCCCTGACAAATGTAATGCTAATAATTAATGGGCTGGTATTTTCTTTTTTTCCTACTATATTGACTATTTTACGAATGTGTGTATTTTTTGTACATCGTGAAATTTTAGTCGCTAGCTCTGGCAGATTTGAAGGAGAAATACGATGATTTAGAGGTTAGATTTCACTCCCTTTTTACTTGTAGTAGTATATATTTATATACTGTAGCTCATTTCAGCTTGTTCTTTTGCATTTTACAAACCTTCCTATATATATCATATTTATTCAGTGCTTGTTTTATTATTATCATTTATATAGTCTTACTGCTTGCTACTGTGATGTGCTGTGCTGTGCTCTGCTGCAGAGAATGAAGCTATTATTGGAGGCTTTTTTTAAAAGTTTTCCAATTGATACAAATGCACAGACCATTTATAAATTTATAGCAATTTGTGCTCATTGTATTTACTAGTATACAAATTAAATCTGTGTTGTTCTTGTAATTCTAAAACTACTAACCAGAAAACCTGAAGTATCAAAATTATATTTCTGATTATTTACTCTGTCATACTAAATTTTGTGCATGTGTGATTTGAATGAAATGTTATTAAGTTCAATGGGAAGTGAATAGAGATGCAATTTGTGATAAAGGTGTAGATAACTTGAATTACAATTAGCTATATAGACAATTCATAGATTTCTAACTCTAAGTCTTCCTTCACAATGTGTGAAAATCAACAATATCCTTTTGATTTTTTTTTATGTGGACCTATATTGCCCTCACCCCTGTCTGTCTGGATGTCCACAATTTAATTGTGGATACTCTGCAGGTCACAATTTTTATCCAATTTTGTCGAAACTTGAAATATAGGTTTATCTCCCAAAGATCTTGGCATGTATCAGACTGTACGTTCATGGATTATAGGCCCTGATTATACGAAAAATCACGTTTTGAGCTTGTGGCCCTCTAGAGGTCACATTTTTTATCGGATTTTGATGAAACTTGGAATATATGTTTATAACCCAAAGATCTTGGTTGCTTTTGATATCGGGTCGCAACTTCCTAGATTACGGCCCCTGATTGTACGAAAAATCGCATATTTAGCTTACAATTTTTATCTGATTGAAAAAAAAACTTTGATAAATGATAATATCACCGTTATCCATAATGACATTTGAGTTCGAAGTATGTGAAAATCGAACCACACCTGACGGACAAAATGGTATAACAAGGTTGTAGATTTTTATCTGATTTTGATGAAACTTTAAAATTTATGTTTATATCACAAAGATCTTGGTTCCTTTTGAAAATCACGCATATCGGAACTTAACTTCTTGGATTATGGCCCCTAATTGTTCGCAAAATCACGTTTTTAGAATTGTGGAAGCTCTAGAAATCACAATATTTATTGTGTAGGTTGTGGAACTGTCTCAAAAATATGCTATAATGTCAAATCCGCACGGGCACGCTTTGCAGGACGATCACACAAATCAAATCAAATACCAAGCGCTCTCTTACAAGAGATTATAAAATTATCAAGGTAATCAACAAAGACCGACACATATTTTATGCTCACAGATAATTAATTGGGGATTGCTTGTCGGTCAACACCCACTGATTGAAGGCCGGCTTATCCAATGTTAATTGAGTGCAAATGGTGTGATGAGACCACTAATTGATGTCGTAATTCGGAATATTCAGAATCCGGTCTACTCAAAACTTTTTTGGTTGAAATAATAAGGAAATAAATCGGAACATGAAAATGATGACCGATTTCACATAATGCTGTAGTATTCAGATGTCTGAAGTGACACTGACAGAAGCCACTGTGTAATACCAAGGTTGTGGACCATTTAGATGTCACAATTTTGATCCGAACTCGATGAACTTAAAATATATGTTTATATCCAAGAGATCTCGGTTTCTATCAATATTCGTGCATATCGGACCATAATTTCCTGGGTTATGGCCCCTGATTTTAAAAAAAATTTTTTTTTTTTTTTGTAGCTTGTTCTGTTCATCTCTTGCAAAATGTGGGCGTATCTTGCATTGCAACCACTGGGTTAATTTCTAGTACCATTCAATAGTAATCTATTTCACTAATAATTCCAATCTTAACTTTTATTGTTTTCCTGTAGGTTATTTCGACTTAATCCATTTTAAACAGTTAGTCCAGTCCTATCATTAAATATCTCCTATTTAAGTATATAAATGATTTAATCTATTATTTTATATATGTTGCTAAATTCTTCTGTATTGCTTGGAGCAGAACAGCAAGATTTTAAACCCCATTTTATTTCATTTCTTTTGTATTGCTTCTGGGGATAATTATCTACTCTATGGAAGTTCCTTGGCCTTTGAAGGAGGTAATGGTCATCTGGGCTCCAAAACTCTGTGTCCATATTTATTTTTCTGTAAAATATCCTATGATATACTTGTTAATTCATTTTCTCTTTGGCTTTAAAATTTTCTTTCTCTTGATTAAAGATACTTTGATTTTAATAAAGAGTTGGGACATTCTTGATATAACAGTTCAAAAATAAATGATAAAAAAAGAAAATAATGAAAATTTCAGTCAAATTACTTTATTCTGAATGAAATTATCACTGTTGGAAATTTGGACTAGATATAGGCATCAATTGTCTCCGCATCCTCTCCGAAAATTGCTGATTGTTTGATTGACAGACAATAACTCTGCCCACATATTTTCGATTATCAGTTAACATTCTCAATGCCTACGATACCCTCGATTGTCAGTCCTTTCATTGATATTCTGAGGGCTGGATGGCCGATTGGTTAGTGCGTGTGCGTTGTATCGTAAGGTCTGCCATTGGGTCAACTGACGAGGTTTTGGTTCTCCGGTTGTACGTGACAAGGAGTAGGGTCGCCTGTCCAACCTCGTGGGTTTTCTCCGGGTCCTCCAGTTTCCTCCTATTGCTAAAGACCCCTATGCGCAAGCGATTTACTGAAATAAATTTGAACCATATGTTAGTCCTGAAATGACCTAATTTGTGTTGAGTGGGCGTTAAACCCCATTTCTCCCTCTCTACGGGAGTGACATCCGTGATTAACGGTAAATGTTAGCTTTGTCAGCCAACTAATGATTTAATTATTGTCCCCCGCCTTTCGAACAAAGCAGGGGACTATTAAAAAGGGTCTGTCTGTCCGTTGGTCTGTCTCTCTCTCAGTCTGTCTGTCTGTCACACTTTTTGGGCACAATAACCCTCCTTCTAATAAATGTTCAAACTTGGTGTAGGTGTTCATTAGGTGAATGTCTTTGATGGAGTTCGAAGATGAGCAATTGCTGCTTAGGGTAAGCAGAGATAAACAATTTGATTGGTTGATGCTTTGGGACACGATAAGTTTAGTTCTAATTAAGTGAGTGATATAACTTGGTGTATAGTTTCATTACATCAATACCTTAACTAAGATCGATAATGAGCATTTTCTCAGTCGTTGTTTTTTGTATTTTAGAGGAGAGCCGAAAAAAGCTCCCCTTAATGAACAAATCGAAGAAATCGCTCCCCTAAAAAAAGCTCTCCCAGTTTCGATAAGAAAAGTGATTTAAGATACATTATGGGAGGTTCGATAAGGAGTTGGCAGTTCTCATTATAATAGTTAAAAACTAGATAATGTAAAGGCAATTTATTGAAAATTTCAATCAAATTGATCCATTATGAACCGAGAACTAAGCGATTGAAATTTCCGCCTAGCCTCAATCATCATTACTAAAGTCGGTACGATAAACAGCATAGTCACGATTATCCAGTTAATCGTTAAATCGTGAAGGAAATTTATCCAGTAAATCGGTTCACAATCCACTAAAGATCGCAGGCTAGCGATGCCATCTAGAGTTGATTATGGTCTGGATAGGTTAATTAATGTCTTAATTTAGATAACATTTCAGGCCTAAAGAAAGACCTGCAATAGACAGATTTAGATTTTGCATAATGTATGTTTAAGGAGAGTGATTAGTTGTTTGTGTTTCGAAATGGTTCTGAAGATAAATAACTGCGTGTACGGGGCCATTCCTGGTTACATAAATGATAGTAAACATTGTCTGCTAAATAATAGCACTCATAGTAGTATGGTCAAGTCAAACTCATGCTGTCGTCTACAACTACATACGGTATTCCAATAACCCCTATTCAAAATATAATCATAAACGCTTGAAAATTCCATCAAAATATAATCTATTTCTTCCGGAATTATATTTATTGGAAGCTTTCACATGCCATTTCTCGTAATTTCTCTCGTCTTGCGCGAGTTCTACTTTTCATTTCAGTTAAATTAACCAATGGTGCATAGGCGCCATCTATTTTAGCAACATATTTATCAGAATTTTATTACCATGTGCGATCACATTATACTAATCGAATACACCAAATAAATGTTCACAATGACAGCATGGCGGCGATCGGAATGTGAGTCTTTCATACTCTTTTAAAAAACAAAAACAAATACATGTCCATGATTTCAAATATGGAGAGCGATTTTCAATTTTAAGGCGAGGATGAAAAATCTCCCCTAGGTCGACATTCGAGTGCGCGACAGGCGCTCGCGAGTGATCGCACGCCTCAAAAAACAATGACTGTTTGGTGGAGACTTTGGAACACAATAACTCTCCTACATGAGGTAGAATGTTCAAACTTGGTGTAGGCGTTCATTAGGTGTAAACTATTAGACATTTATTACCATAAAAAGACCTTAATCAACTCTCAGTGCCATCTTATGTGTCGGATTTTCACTGGATTTGAATCCGATCTGCTGCTCAACGCTCATAGATGATTAAATCCAAAAATGGATAATCAAGACTGTTTTTTATTGTACCGCTAATATCTTGGTTCAGAGTGGAAGAATTTGACTGAAATTTTCAGCATATTCCCTTTAAATTATCTAGGTTTTAACTATTATAGTGAGAACTGCCAGCTCCTTATCTAATCTTCCATAATGTTCCTATAAACTTGATGTAGATGTTCATTAGGTGAATGTCTGGACTGAGTTCAATGATTATTATTTTCCGCAAAATCTAAGCAGAGCTAAGAAATTTCATTGGTCGATGCTTTGGGACAAGATATCTGACTGATGGAGAGTGATGAAACTTAGTGTATAGTATCACTCACTACCAGGTACTTCAAAACCTTGACTTGGCGGATTTTGATCCTGAACATTTTATGCTTAGACTAAGTATAGATAATCAGTTTGATTATTCCATACTTTTGAAAAAGATAAATATGCAATTAATTAATGTGTCATCTATTTTTTGAGGATTTCGGCGGGGGACATCAGCCTCACTGTTGGCTTGTTAAATGGAAGACTGTTTAAATCCAAGCTGTATCCAAGCCGTCTAAGGGTCTACAGAGTTGATTTTGGGCTTATGTAAAAAATTGACATCAGGTTTAGCTACAGTAGACTCAAAAGACAATTTCGACAGCAAGGAAAAACAAATCAACACTGCCTACCTAGTGTTCTATTAATTTAAAGTATCTCATATAATTTACTTCTTAAAAACATTTTGTAGGAAATACATTTGAAAAGTATTATGCGGAGGGGTATGAGTTTGCGTGACCCTGATAAGGTATTGTTGTAAGTTAGTTGGGTGTGTTGTCTTGTGAAATTGAATGTACAAACATCATGATTCCAAATTGCATTTCATTGATATTGCGTTGTGCAATATTTGTTTCCTTTGAAAATACAAAGACAAAGTAGTTTTTCCTATGTTTTTACCATGTATCATTAGGCACTGAGCCTCCAGACTACAAGATTAAACTATATGCATGTCATTAAAAATCAACTCGACCTCCATGTGATCTTCTTTTATGTTTTTTTATCAGAACAGTTGCCAGTTTTGATCGATATTTCACTGTCACGGTCAAACCAATTTGTTTTTAAATTTTTGGGATATTGAAAAAATATCTTTGCATGATTTATGTTTTATAACCATTAAATACACCATAATTTAGAGCATCTAAGAAGATTTTGCATGGAAAATGTTTGTTTTTCTAGCAGGATGTAGTAAGATTTAATACATGTTCCCAAAAAACTAAAATTCAATTTGTTGTAGATTAAATGTTATTAAATTAATTAAGTTTGATTAATATTTTGCCGGCTAAGTGCTGTATGTTAATATAGTTATTGTGACTGCAAATTAAAAGTATCATAAGAAACACCAGAGTAGATGCATTATATTTTATGATTTCATACTATTTTGAGACATCTAAATGCACTGAGAAATGATTTTTCAAAACTTATTTAATTTTATTAAAGATTCATTTTAAGGGATGTAATTAAGCTACCATGATTAAGAAAATTGTGCTGTATAGGGATTCACTGCATTGTATACCACCATGTGCATAAGCTTTTTATATGCCCAAAATTTCATGTGGGCGTATATTGTCATGGACCCTGTCCGTCTGTCCACAATTTGATTGTGGACACTCTACAGGTCACACTTCTTATCCGATTTTGACGAAACTTGAAATATATGTTTATCTCCAAAAGATCTTGGTTCCTTTCGATATTTACGCATATCGAATCGTAACTTCCTGAATTGTGGCCCTTGATTGTACGAAGAATCATGTTTTTAGCTTGTGGTCAATCTAGAGGTCACAATTTTATCCGATTTAAAAAATTGTTTAAATATATCACCGTTACACCCATATGAAGGTTGAGTTTGAATGTCGTGAATATTGGGCCAAAACTGCTGGATGAAATTGCCGCCCCTCGTATGCAAATAGTGTAAATTATATGGTATATCAAGGTTGTGGACACTCCATAGGCCACAATTTTGATCTGATTTTGATGAAACTTTAAATTTATGTTTATATCACAAAGATCTTGGGTTCCTTTCGATAATAACACATATCCGGACATAACTTCCTGGATTATGGCCCCTGATTGTTAAAAAAATGGAATTTTTAGCTGGTGAACCCGCTAAAAGTCACAATTTGTACTCAGTTTTAAAAAATGTTTAAATATATCACTGTTACACATCAATGAAGGTTGACTTCAGATTTCGTAAAAATCTGGCCACTCCTTGTACGCAATTTATAGTGTAAAAGTATGTAATACCAAGGTTGTGGACACTCTAGAAGTCATAATTTTTATCTGATTTTGATGAAACTTGAAATGTATAATTATAATCCAAAGATCTTGGTACCTTTCGATATTTTCGCATATCGAACCGTAACTTCCTGGATCATGGCCCCTGACTGTACGGAAAATCATGTTTTTAGCCTGTGGACCCTCTGGAGGTCACAATTTTTATCCGATTTTAAAAAGTGTTGTCACCATTCCACCCCGATTGTACAAAAAATCACTTTTTAGCTTTTTTAGCTTGTTCTCTTACCACCTTTTGCAAAATGTGGGCGCATCTTGCCTGGCAACCACTGATTTTTTAATGCAACTGTATGTAGAAAAACACTGCATCCACAATTTTAGTCAGCCATTAAAATAAAGCACAGCATGCATCAAAACCAAGGTAAAAGCTGAAGCAATTGAAATGTTATATTTGATGTTTCCACTGCCCAGTTGAATGCCAAAATTACAGATGACTGATGACATACATATCGGTCACAGGATTTCAATATCACTTGCATATCCGCTGAGGCATGGTTGGAATTTGGTCAACAAGACAGTGATTCAGTATTTACTGTTCTGATTTGTTATGTCATACAAATTGTAACTAAATCTGTATTTTAAAAATGTTGTCCTTATTATTGAAGGCACTAGCATAGATACATGTATATGTTTTTTTTTTACTTTATGAAACAATTTTGATCACGGATGTCACACAAACCTGTACTTGTTGGTGGATTGATCAAAAGTGACTTAAACAAATTTTGATATGATGCTCCCAAAAAGTCTGTCAAGTTTGGCAGGCCAGAATAATAAAATTAACCCCAGATTATCACTGAAAATCTTTGTATGGATAGTTTCCAAATACAAGTTAATAAAAGTTAGCAAATTCTATTGTTGACAAAAAACCCCATGCTTGCAGTGCATTAGCAGTTTATTTCAAGAACCTATATATTGCTTGTTCTTTGTGTTATTTTTGTCCCCCGCCTTTCAAAGAAAGCAGGGGACTATTAAAATGGGTTCGTCTGTCTGTCCGTCACACTTTTTGGGACACAATAACTCTTCTTCTAATTGAGAGTGATGAAACTTGGTGTATAGTTTCATTACATCAATACCTTGACTAAGTTCAGTAATGAGTATTTTCTGCCCAGGTTAAGCAGAGCGATAAGCAATTTGATTGGCCGAGACTTTGAAACACAATAACTCTCTGCTTCAAGTTTAGCTAGAATGTTCACACTTGGCGTAGATGTTTATTAGGTCAATGTCATGATGGAGTTGGAGATGAGCATTTTCTGCTTAGGGTAAGCAGAGATAAGCAATTTGATTGGTTGATGATTTGGGGCACGATAACTTTAGTTCTAATTAAGTGAGAGTGAGGGGAACTTGGTGTATAGTTTTATCACATCAATATCTTAACTAAATTCGATAATGAGCATTTTCTGCTCGGGGTAAGCAGAGCATTAAGCAATTTGATTGGTCGAGACTTTGGACCAAAATAACTCTGCTTCTAATTTAGGTAGAATGTTCAAACTTGGTGTAGGCGTTCATAAGGTGAATGCCTTGATGGAGTTTGGTGATAAACATTGTCTGCTTAAGGTAAGCAGGCACAAGCAATCTGATTGGTTGATGCTTTGGGGCACAATAACTTTGGTTATAATTAAGTGAGAGTGATGAAACTCTGAGTATAGATTCATCATATCATTACCTTGACTAAGCTCGATGATGAGAATTTTCTGCTTAGGCTAAGGAGCAATAAGCAATTTGATTGGTTAAGACTTTGGAACATAACAACTCTGCTTTTAATTGAGGTAGAATGTTTGAACTTGATGTAGATGTTTATTAGGTGAATGTCTTGACTGAGTTCAATGATTAACATTTCAAGCTAAAGCTAAGCAGAGCTAAGCAATTTCATTGGTTGATGCTTCGGGACAAGATAACTTTGATTCTATCTGTTAGAGAGTGATGAAACTTAGTGTATAGTTGATAATCAGTTTGATTGCTTGATACCCTTAAAAAGAATAAATGTGCGATTAATAATTATGTGTCATCTATTTATTTTGGGATTTCGGCGGGGGACATCAGCCTCACTGTTGGCTTGTTTTTTAATTGAAGTAGTCTTTTAGTCTATTATAAAAGTAATTACTGTCTGAACCATCGTCAATTTTAAACAGATTTCTTTGATTATGATCAAACTACTTAACTTTGGTAATTATAAACTTACCTGTGTGTTTGAAATCAACTCCTGTTAAATAAAATCCATTGCACAATTTAATATCCCAACGAATAAAAAATTTCTCTCTTGAAAAATTGAATTGCCTCAAACTTTTGACATGGAGAAATACCAAATTGTAAGCTGATTACGTCACTCTTCTGGAGAGATCATTTTGTATAAAGGGGTTACAAGATGTCAAGGTTTGCAGTACTTTTACGACAATTCAAGTTTTGTGTAAGTCTCGACTCGGTATTGAGTTTGGGCTTCACACACTAACTGCCCGTATTCCTTTATTTTGTTACCATTTTTTTACATTCTAATAAAATATCTGCAAATTTATAGCTTTTACCTTTTGAAATATTTTGTTTTCATCATATTTTTGATTAGGGTCGCGTGAATGAATTTTCTTTTTAACACAAATGCGACCCAAAAACAATGACATTCGTTTTACAGGTCTTAAATTTTACCCATGGATATCTTTAATCTGATATATAACATGATAGATCTAACGTACATGTACAGGGTATTTAAAATTATGGGGCTATGCATGTTCCTGACGCAATGACTGTTATGTGCGTTTTACAACATCTGATAAGATGTACGTTGTTAAAGCGAGATTAAGCCTTCTATTGAAGATGGGGGCTATGGTGTGATTTAAGTATTATTTACTATAAATTAAAAAAAATAGTTGATAAAGAATATATTTTCATCATATCACAGTACGGTCAAAACTGTCAAATCCCGAAGTGATGGTGCAATTCTTGCAAGGTCTTACAGTTTTTTTTAGCATTATAAACCCACCCAAAAGACGCTTCCAAGGTTGCCGTAACATGCTTATAGATGTCATTGAAACGGTTATTATTGGATTGTAAGAATGATATCAGATTGACAATACTATTTCTCGGAAACTTGTAATTGTCTTCAGTTGATATTTTTCGTTGCCCAAACTCAAACGATCGAAATGAGGACGTTTTGTTTTGATTGCAACACGTGGTTGTCAAAATCTCTGTCAAAGTTAAAATACCCCCGCAACAGCTTTAATGGTTTCGTCCAACATGTGAGGAAGCCATGTTGGCTTGAACTCAGTCAAAAAACAAGTAAATGTTTTTTAAAGAGAGAACTTTTTTATTCGTTCGGATATTAAATTGTGCAATGGGTTTTATTTAACGGGAGTTGATTTCAAACACACAGGTAAGTGTATAATGACCAAAGTTAAGTAGTTTGTTCATAACTGAAGAAATCCCTTTAAAATTTACGATGGTTCAGACAGTAATATTTGCATTTTTATGATTTTTTTTCCTGTGTATTTTTCTATCTACTTGATGCATGATTATGAACAGCAATCATTTGAATGTAGAAAATAGATTTAAAGTTACTTCTGTAATGTTGGATAAATACATGTACACCTATAAATCGAAATTTTAAAAAAAAAGAGATTGATTTTTAAAAATACAACAATGCAATAAAATCTTCGAAATAAAACATTTTTTTTCCTTTATTTTCAGAATTTAATTAAATTGTTTCAATAAAATTATATGTATTCTATTGATCTGTTCTTATGAAATAAGTGGTGTATTTTTTTTACCAGCATCCAGCTACATCAGTGACCTTGAAAATGTGGGATACTGTATCGGGTGTAGGTAAAAGATTATTGAAGCCATTTCAAGTTGATCAAACCATTTTACCTAAAAAGAAGAAAAAATATACTTGTCCATATAGCTCTGATAAACATTATCTGTAAGTAACATAGTTGTTATTAACATATTTTTGTTTATATCTCATTAATATCGATTGCGTCACTTTACATATGCACATCATATTCCTACTCATGTAGCATTTCTACTGTCAGTTCATGTTCAGTAGTCAGCAGACTTTGATGTGTTTGGTTTTCCATAATTGCCAAATTGTGTTGAAATCAGGTACAAGGGTAACATACTTAATCAGTGAAAGATGTATTTCCCAGCAGATTGGTGTAGAAAGTATTCTTCAATCTGTGTTCTTAGGGGATGACTTTTGTCCTGTTCATTGATGTGGCATTCCTTGTCCTGGTAAATTTAACGGTCAGTTTACAAGTGTGTCAGTAAACAAAAAAAAAGAACATGTACCAAAAAAATAATAAACTTTATTAGTTTCTGTACTGTAGAGACACTTAACCTGCATCGACATGGATATTACCCCAACCGAATTGGGATTAAAATTTTCGTTCATACTAACAGAATTAGAAAGGATAAAGTGTGTATGGTGCACGGGTTCCACGTCGGCCGCATATGCCGGTCAGGACCTAGGCCTATGGAAAATGACCGTGACTAGAGCTGACACAATGGTCATTTTGCATGCCAGAAAGAGAGCCTTTTTTTTCAAAACCCAATTTTCAAACATGGCTACGATCGACCTCCACTATGTAACTATACAATTGTACAGCCAGTACAGAATAATCCACATGTATAGAAGCCACATAATCTCGTGATTGGTGTTATAGAGTTGTATACAGTCGTCAACAGATTATACCGAGTGTTGTGTTGATAATGATGAGTGTCTGGTAGTAAAACAATTAAAGTTAATTGATATGTGGGTATCTTATCAATGGCGTGAAGTGGTTCATTGTTAATCATTCACGTATTGTCCACGTGTCATAAGAATTTTCTACAACAAAGCCGTTTACCGCTATTACAGTCACGCACGATGTAAACGAGGTTATTATGATCTTCGAAAAAGAGCAATTGATATGAAGTACTGCTCTTCGAATCCAATCAATGTCATATCAAATAAAAACAGCATAGAAACTATGTAAATCCTCAAGAACGTACGTGAGAGAAAAATGCATTTATAATTTTTTACAGCAGTATTACGGCCTTGTGGGAATTGTAGAAATAAAATCTAGAGATTAGTTAACTTGCTTACTGAAAAATTAAGAAAATTACGTATTCCAGTTCTATTGTGCAGCAATATTGATAATTCCATGTGTAGCAAAAATGTTGTGTATATACGGTTACTTTTATACACGACGGTATTCTAGGGGGCGCTAGTGTCGCTAGCTGTGAAGATAGTTATCCGTTGGTCATAGTTATACATTATTAGGATTTACGTCACAATTCTGCGGCCCGTAAAACCAATAAATGTGAGATATATGCCGTGGATGATTATATATGTATCTTCATTTCAAAGTTATTATAACAACTCAAAATTATCCAGGTCAGTGTGTTTTCTATAGAGCACATGGTAATTACATGTGAGCTACTGACATGGTTTTTCTACAGCCAATTCAGCTATTTCGTTATTTAAATAGCCAAAACGGAATATTTAATTAATAAATAATTATCATAAGCCTTACTAATATCTCATTTTTTGTGTACCCCATGCTGACAAAGTGGTATAGACACATGAATTCACAATACCCTACCATGAATAAAAAAACATGAAATATGAGTTGACTTTGAAAAGTTTTCTAGGGTTATCAAAAATGACCAGCAGTGGAAGCCCTAGTATTGTGGTACTGCAAAATGTGTGTATAGTGGCACTGCAAAATGTCATCTTGTATGAGACTATAACTTTGTTGAAACATTGTGTCCACAATATCTTGTGAGTTGCTCTGCATAATTTGGATCAAGATCCTACTTTTTATCCAAAGAAAAATATCCAAAATCAGATACACTAAGTAGTTTGGTATCAAAGTTTACCCCGGATACTAATCCTTGTGTAAATTCAGCCTTGATATAAACATAGTTTGATCACATTTTAGTCATGTTTATCTGATGATAAACTGAGGATTGTCTAGAGATCCAGCAAAAATGTACGGTGCAACATGAGACATAGTGCATCCATTGTTTTGTAACATATATTGTTGATTGTAAATGCAAAATATGATTTAAATTCAGATTTGAAACTACTGAAGATGGGCAGTTAGAGTTCACCAATGCTGTTAGAAGTCGTATTGTTGATTATGTTTTAAGAAGAAAAGCTTTTAAGGAAGATACTCAAAAGGCATTTTCTTTTGGTATGTAAATTATTCTCTAAATTTCTTTTTTACCAAAAAATGTCTATTTTTCCCTTCCAATATATTTGACTTTCAATCTGATTAAAATACAGATCTATATTTCGTTTCAGTTTTTTTTTATACGCCCACATTGAAATGTGTTCATATACTGTCATCTCTCGTCCGTCTGTCAGTCTTTCCAGCCGTCGTCCACAAGCAATTGTGGACGCTCTAGAGGCTGAAGTTAATACTGGATTGATTTTAAATTTAGACAAAGTGTTTATGGTCATGATACGAAAAAGCCTATTGATTTTCACCGATTTCCAATAATTACCGCCAGAGTTATGGCCCTTGATCACTTTGAAAAATCTTGTGGATGCTCTTGAGGCTAAAGTTAATATCCCATTGACTTTAAATTTTTACACTGTGTTAAAGGTCATTAGACAAAGAAGCCTATTGATTTTCAACAATTTCCAATAATTTTTGTCAGAGTTATGGCCCTTGATCACTTTGAAAAATCTTGTTGATGCTTTAGAGGCTAAAGTTAATATCCGATTGACTTTAAATTTATACTCAGTGATTATGGTCATCAGACGAAGAAGTCTATTGATTTTCAATTATTTCCGATAATTACGGAAAGAGTTATGGCCCTTGAGCACTTTGAAAAATCTTGTGGATGCTTTAGAAACACGCCTATATTTAATCGTTTCGATTGACTTTAGATTGATACACAGAGTTTAAGGTCTCGAGTCAAACAAGTATATTGATTTTCAATAATTTTTAAAAACTTGAACAGGCAAACCCATGATATTATTAAATGTTTTGTGTACTAAACGTTAGCATGGACCAAACAAATTCTAATGATTTTCTGATAATTATTTAATGAGTTATTACTCTTAATCAGATTTTAGTGTATTATAAATGTTTCATTACCGATAAAAGTAATAATATGCGACAACTCTTGTTGACTGCCCGGATGATTTAGCTGCTGTGGGCTTATGTTTCATTGCCTGGCAACCTATCTTTTTATACTTTTGATGGCCTCTACTACATGAAGGTCTGACCAGTTGTAGTGGGAGGTTGCGTCAGGGGTCATACAGGCGGCCTTTGACCCAATGACGTTAGACATAAATTAATCGGTCAGCGTTGACGTTTCTACTGGTTTGCCCACAGTTCCATGCGCAGCACGCCAAGAACTCGCTGTAACACACCGTTTCAATGGCTGATTCCTCACATTATCCAGAAAGCCTGTTATATAACAACTGAAATGAAATAGGATCTATGTTTTAATCAGATGGAGGGCATGTGCTACTGTCATCACTCTTTTTACATCACATATTAATGTTTAAATATAAAGGGTATACAAAAGGATTATGAAATTATTTTTAAGGTATAAAGAAAATGTTAAATGATGGATATTATTCAGCTGTTTATCCTTTACATGAGGTAAGAATACTTACTTACATAGAGTTAAACATACATTATGCAAGGGCAAAATCGGCCTATTGTAGGTCTTTCTTTAGGCCTGAAATGTTATAAAAACTATTAATTAGACATTAATTAACTTATCCAGACCATAATCAGCTCTCGATGTCAAGGCTTGCCTGTAGTTTTTAACTATCATAGTGAGAACTGCCAACTCGTTATCTAATCTCCCATAATGTATCTTTAATAGAAAACAATTTGATCACAACTGTCTTTTCTACAGGTTTTTCTCTTACTTTTTGTGTGGTGCTGTTCTCCTGCACGTACATTTAGATGGTCTAATTATTTTGTTTTTGTAAACTTCCATTTAAGGATTCTCTGTATACTGTATTTTACAGGGACATTGGAAACCTGGTTCATTTAACAATAATAGAAAAATATTATTTGATCACTGGGCTAACTGGAAAAATGTTCTGAAATATCAGCCACTGGATCAGATCAGGTAATCAGAAATATATATTATTAATAGGTTACATGTATTAATATTTATACCCCATTTATGTTACTTTATGCTTCCCCACTAAATACGCCACTGTGATGTGATACATGTATACCCAAAGCCTAGATTTTAAAGACTTGCTATGACCACATTAAGATTGGGAGAGCTGAATTGGAAAAAAAATAAAAATTGCTCTCCTGGATTTAAGATCTGGAAATAATACTGGTAATTATATGTAATGCTCTTTATTTGAAGAATAGAACACTGTATTGCTATTATGTTTCTCGTTTGTTTTAAATTCACATATTGGCATTAAGTTAAATGTCAATAATATTTCTCAATAATTACCTGTCTTCGTAAATATGACAGAAAATGAAAGCAAAACATCTGAGATAAGAATAGTTCATGATGTCAAAACATTGTTTAGATTCTTTATAAAAGAGTATTTTAAAAATTACATTGATTGCTTAATTTTTCATGAAAAGACACAACTGTCAACTTTCACCTATGATCAGGTCTTGCTTGTTATTCATGCCTGTGTCAAGCCTGAAGTTTTTGTGCCAAAATTAAATATTTTACTAGTTTTGTTGTATGAAATGGCAGACCCTTGGTGCCTTACATGGTAGTAGAGTTTAAAGCGCTGATTTTCATGCGAGATTGTAGGATAATGCTGATGATTTTTTAAGTAGATCGAGGCATTTGTCATCTAAGCTTCAACTACAGGGATACTTGCCCACTAAACTTATAAAAAACCTTTAAAAAGTTTTATGGCTGTCATATTGACTTGATTGGTAAATATAACATGTCTCTTTCGGCTATTATTCTAGATATACTGAGCGCCATGGAAAACGCATCACTTAGTTTTTCGTATAACAAAATGATCCTGTAAACATATCTTATTTATTTTGCTTCTTATTGTGAACAATATTCAAATGGGAACACATCAATAACAACACATTTGTACACTTATGGATGTTTAATCTGTAATCAAGGGTACAAAGTCAGAGGGGTCAAAACCAAAAGTACGACACAGATGTCAGTAGCGCGTGTGTCCTCCATGGGCCATCATCACGGTAGGCTACAGCATTAACGCGACCCCTGCAAATGTGTAGGGTGGTCCGTTGATGAAATGTGAAGCCTCCCCACACCCTTACACTTCCCCCACCCCATCGATTTGTTTCGAAGACGCAGCAGTCTGCAAGACGTTCCCCAAGACGTCTCCACACACATTGACTTCCATCAGCGTGATAAAGATGAAAGCGACTCTCATCACTCAAGAGCACACTTTGCCAGTCCTTGAGCCCATATCAAACGCCGCCGACGGTGATGATCCCTGAGGATAGCTCCAACATAAGGTCGTCGTGCAGGGAGTCCTACTTCTCTTAGACGACGTCTTACGGTGTTGGCACTTACTGGTCCTTGTCTTCCGACGACTGCTGCACCTGTTCGAGTCGCTGGGCGGAATCTGTCACGCAGATGAGTGACCCGGATGTAGCGGTCTTGAGCCTGGGTTGGAACGCGTTGTGGACCAGGACGTTGACGGTCACGTGTTGATCTAGTAACTCGAACACGTTCCGCCAACCTTATAATAGTGGACTGATGACAATTGAAGTGTCTGGCAATAGCACGTGTAGACATGCCAGCCCGGGACATTCCCATGGCTTCATTCCGTTGATTTTCAGTAAGTCGAGTCATCTCTAGCTCGATTCCGTCACACGTCCAACAACAAATTACGACAGATTGACGTTTCACAGTTCATGTACTGCACATTAAGTTGAAAACATGCTTTTAAAGGGCTCACACACAATGCTGCACGTGAATATTGGGTTTTTCATGTGCATCTCGTGCAATTTTTTTTTGTGCACATGGGCTGATATTTTTTGTGTTTGGGAGCATTGTGTGAAACAATAGTTCATAGTATTGCATAATATTATACATACAAAACCACCTAGTAATAAAATATTTGGGAAAAAAAAGTGATGCGTTTTCCATGGCGCTCGGTATATATTTAATTGACACTGTTTGTCACGTGCATTTTGCATACAGATAGTCCATTGGCCAATCACGGTATTTTACCGAGGTTTCGTCTTATGGCTTGGATGCAGCTATGGCGCGTGTGGCGCCAGGCAGGGTAAGCTTACTCTTCCGGACACCTGTTACCACTGTTTGTCGTGTATTTTGTACACGGTGAACAGTCCATTTGCTGATTACACCATTTGGCCTATACCGTTTTTTAGGACATCGAATTTTGTCTCATGGTTTGGATTGTTCGTACTTGGTTTTATTTTATTTGTCAAGATTGAAAACATTTTATTTCATTACCTACATGATTGTAGTCAAAATCAAGTAAAATTGACACAATGTCATGTGCTAATGTCCATTGTTTCTTGTCTTTTTTTCAGGGATTATTTTGGTGAGAAGATTGGAATGTATTTTGCATGGTTAGGTTTTTATACGAATATGTTGGTACCTGCAGCTTTAGTTGGAGTTTTTGTGTTTGTGTATGGATTGTTTATTATGAATGCCAGTACATCAAGGTTGGTACTAAAGACATTTAATCTAATAGAAATATATTTTCTATATTAAAAAGTTAAATTTGTCAATAGTAAACTATTTCAGCAGTCTGATTAAATTACAGATCTATATTTCGTTTCGTTTATTATACTTTTGATGGCCTCTACCTTATAAAGATCTGATCGGTTGTATTGGAAGGTCGCGTCAGAGGTTATACGAGCATGTTTCATGAGTATGAAATGAAATGGGGTTTAACGTCCTACTGTTCTGCTTCGACTGGGCTAATGAAGACATGTTGACCATTTTACATTTGATTAATCGATCAGAGTTGATGTTTCTAGTTTGTTAGCCACAGTTCTGTGTACTTCATGCCAAAAAATTGCCGTAACAGACCATTTCATTGGCTGTATAACAGGTTACATAACAACTCTTCCAGATCCTTGTGCAGTCAAGACAAGTAAAACGAAATTTTGAACTATGAAAAACGGAACAAAATAGGGTCTGTGTTTTAATCAGATTGCTATTTCAGTATTTAAAGTAAAATTTTCAGTATTTAAAAGTAATTTTTTGTTAATATTTAAAGTTTCTGCTAATCATTTGAGGGATTTTTAATTCGTTGCAAACTAAAGCATTGTAAAACTTGGATCTTAATAGGATTATCAGTCTAAAAATGGTTCAATTCCATTCAGTATTTACAAAGATATAATGAAATGAAAATTTATCAACATTTTGTGCTTCCACCACAGATCATGTGGTTATGATCTCCGGAATTTCCAATGGAGGCCTTGGCAAGGAACAGTGTCTAGTTGTTCAAATGGGAAGAAGCACTGTTGTCAGAGCAAAATTTTCCTCATAGCATACTGCATGGTGATTGCTATTGGCCATTTTATATTTTAGGGTGGATTATTAAATATTATGTGTAATTAGATATTGTCGGAAAATTCAAATGACTGACTGTTGGTAGCTGCTTTAAAGAATATATTTTCTTTTTTTTGTGAATATATTTCATCATTGAACAATATTTCCATTTTTGCAGCTTTTATTGTCATCTTATTGTAACAATTATACATCAATGTGTTCAATCTCTTTTTTTATTTAGTAAAGAACTCTGTAATGCAAAAAATATTACCATGTGTCCATTATGTGATAGACAGTGTCCTTATTGGAATGTCACTGATGCTTGTAGTCATCAGTCAGCAAGTCGTATCTTTGACAATGATGCTACAGTCTTTTTTGCTGTGTTCATGTCATTTTGGGGTAAGAATTGTCTTTTGTATCATTATTAGATACGCCCACATTTTCATGTGAACGTATTATGCCTTCGCCCCCTGTTTGTCCGGATGGCTACAGGTCACAATTTTTATCCGATTTTGACGAAACTTGAAATATAGGTCTGTCTCCCAAAGATCTTGGTTCCTTTGGTATTGGCATGTTTCGGACCATAACTTCATGGATTATGGCCCCTGATTACAAAAAATCATGTTTTTAGCTTGTGAACACTAGAGGTCACAATTTTCACCTGATTTTGATGAAACTTGAAATGCATATTCATAACCCAAAGATCTCGGTTCCTGTCGATATTCGCGCATATCGGATCATAACTTCCTGAATTATGGCCCCTGATTGTACGAAAAATCACATTTTCAGCTTGTGGTCCCTCTAGAGGTCACAATTATTATCCGGTTTAAAAAAACGTTCGACTATATCACCGTCACACCGTAATTTTGGCTGAGTTTGACAAAAAGAAAATGGACGTGACTCTGCCCCTGGGGGCTGGGCATGCAGCCCAAACGATAGGGATGTTCCTTAGGGTACAAAGAATAAGTATGCAGAGTTTCAAGATGATATATTAAGAAATGCGGCCTGTAGACGACAAACAAACAAATACAAGAAATGGGCGTGGCTCTGCCCCGGGGGGTCGGGGCATGCACCAAAAACAATAGGGGTCGTCCTTAGGGTATAAGGAATAAGTATGTAAAGACACACACCCATACGCACACAAACACACACAGACAGGGGTGAAGGCAATATACATCCACTTATAATGTGGACGTATAAAAAGGGTTAATCTGATAGATTATGGCACAGCACCTTTAATATTGGTTATTTTTAATTTAAATGTTTACCAAAATATGTGTTTTTGACTTCTACAGTGAAACTAAATCATTAGAGTACGTAATTATTTGCCATCAAATTTATATAATGCGTCTTTTGTCTACTTGTCTTCCTCTAATACAGGGGGGTTGGATGGCCGAATGGTTAGCACGTGCGCGCTGTATCATAAAGTCTGTCATTGAGTCAACTGGCGTGGTTACGATACCCCGGTTGTACGTGACAAGGAGTAGGGTCGCCTGTCCAACCTCGTGGGTTTTCTCCGGGTCCTCCGGTTTCCTCCCACTGCTAAAGACCCCTACGCGCAAGCGATTTATTGAAATAAAATTAAACCATGTTAGTCCCGAAATGACCTAGTTTGTGTCAAGCGGACGTTAAACCCCATTTCTCTCTCTCTCTCTCTCTCTCTCTCTCGTTTAATACCATTAAAACTAATACCAAGGTTGTGGACCCTCTAGAGGTCACAATTTTTTATCTAATTTTGATGAAACTTAAAATATGTTTATATCCCAAAGATCTAGGTTCCTGTAGATTCACGCATATCAGACCGTAACTTCCTGGATTATGCCCACTGATTGTACGAAAAATTGTTTCTTTTTTTGAGTTTGTACTCTTTCCATGTCTTGAAAAATGTGGGCGTATCTTGCATGGCGACAACTTGTTAAATAAAAATCCTTTTTTTTTTTTTCAGGACAACAAAACATATTAATCTACTAGATGTTGGGGGGTAGGATGGCTGAATGGTTAGCACGTGCGTGAGCTGTATCATAAGGCCTGTCATTGAGTCAACTGGCGTGGTTTCGAATCCCCGGTTGTACGTGACAAGGAGTAGGGTTGCCTGTCCAACCTCGTGGGTTTTCTCCGGGTCCTCCGGTTTCCTCCCACTGCTAAAGATCCCTACGCGCATGCGAATTATTGAAATAAAATTAAACTATATGTTAGTCCCGAAATGACATAGTCTGTGTCGAGTGGACGTTAAACCCCATTTCTCTCTCTCCCTCTCTCTACTAGATGTTGAAATTAATGTATAAGTATATGAATGGGTTGTATAAAAACTATCAATCCTTATGATTGGGTTGTATAAAAACTATCAAACCTTATGATTGGGTTGTATAAAAACTATCAAACCTGTTTCGAGAACAGGTCTAGTTTTTTTTAGTTTTTGTTTGTTAAGAAAGCTACTAGCTTATGTGATAGCTTATGTATTATCACAATTAAAGAATTACACTGTAACTGACCATTTATTTTAAGTGTTCAACTTTTGTTTTAAAGGTACACTGTTTCTTGAGTTCTGGAAGAGAAGACAAGCTGCAATTCAGTATAAATGGGATTTGTCGAACTTTGTTTCTGAAGAGGTAATTTAAAACATACTATTTTTACAATTTTCTAATTTGAGTCATACACATTAAGAATGCGTTTGTCAGAGAACCATACAGGGACCGGCACATGGTGGGTGACCGATTTTCACCCTTTTTTTTTTTTATGTATGATGGGTAACCCCTCCAAACCCCACTGCCACAATATGATATCAATCGGACCATTTTTAGGGTGTAGAAAAAAATTTGAAATTTTAAGACCAAAAAATCATCATTTTCGGGCCATTTTTCAATTATGAGGTACAACTAAACTACAGCGAGTAGATTAATGAAACTTTATAGGGTAGCAGATATGGTTAGTGAGTATACATTATGAAAGTTTGATGGACTTTCGAGAGATTTTTGGTATAGGGTCTTAGTGCTGCAATCTAGCTCAATTTAGGTATGTCATTTTATTATATCTACATCTCACCCACTGCGGGTATAAGAATTTTTTTGGAATGCTGACTGAAAAGGCAAAGATCTATAGTATTAAGATCAAGAAAAAAATTTGGGTGGCACTCGACCGGTTTAGTAGTAAATAATCTCCATTTTTGCCCCAAAATAATGATTTTCAACAAAAATTTCGAAAAAAAAAACCTGCTTTATTTACACACTGAAAAGTGTAACAGGGCACTGGACAACCAAATTAATGTGGGTACCAGTTCCATTAAGAACAAGCCATAATAGAAATAGAAATAAACAAATATAATTTCATTATATACTTTCATCAAATAATTCACGTTTAAAAAATGTTCCATTATCAAAACTACAAATACTTATTACCAATAAGTATTTCAAATTAAAAAATATCACCAACTTTACTATCTACTATCTATCTAATCATCTATCTATCTTTCTATCTATCTATCTATAATAAGTATCTAATCATGAAAACTGAGCTCACAATTACACCGTTAAAATTTTTAAACGACGAAGTTTGAAAAGCTTAATTTACTGTAAAAGCCAATAGAGCTGTTCTTGGTAAATATAATTAATCTCTCTAGACTATTTTTCAATATTTTATTAATTCGGCAATATAATTTCATGATCTAGTAGAAGGATGATGCATTTTTAAACAGCAAATCGTAAAAACTAAATAATGTATTTTATACTAGCACAGTAGTCATATACATCTGTCTATAGTTGACAAACGCATCAAGTGATATTTCAAAAAGACAAAAACAAATAGTATATGGGCGTAAGGTCACTATTGTAACATACTCCTTGCAGTGTTTCGTTTGAGTAGACCTAATCCCACTCAACACTGCCGTAATGAAAGCAAATTTCTGTTCGAAAATATGACCGGTCAATAGTCTGATTAACAAACAATAACTAACTTTGTAACAATATCATTCGGGTTTAAACAGAGCTCCAAATATGTTTACATAATGTTACGTCATAATTCACGAAATTTATTACGCCCATTTAACCAGTGCATAGCAGAATATTGCAGAAAAACTAATTGCGTGACGAGCGAGGCTAACAAAAAGGCTACAATGTAAACAATACTGTTTTGAGGCGAACAATACTTTCGCCGTTTTTAATACCTTAATTCACTATCCAAAGTTTTAGAGAAGACCCCAGATTAAATGGAGGACTGTCATGTTGCTTTACTTAGGAGAGAATTGATTGAACGGGAAGAATAGACACATCCCTCAAAAACTTAAGTATCAGAAGTCAATCCAGCAATGGCCAGAGAGGTATTTCTCGGGTCATTGCTTCAGGAATATGCTATTTTGTTGTTTCTTTCGGATGACTGGCTACTAAACCGCATTTTATTTGTGGAAAAGACAGGGAAATGAACAGGTTAGATAAGTATATTTGAGCTAAGCCATTCACACACTGATACGGCAAAGACAGACTTTTGAAGACAATTCTTTCAAGTTTCATTTATTGGCAGCCAATGGAGTGATTTCAGAATAGGAGTAATATTAGAGTATTTTGATGATCTGGTAACAATTCGAACTGCGGTATTTTGTACAAGTTGATTTTTTTTTTTTTTTAATATTGGCATTAGATGTTTCTACTAACAAGCTGTTACAGTAGTCAATCCTTATGAATACCAAAGAACATACAAGTGTAGCAGTTGCTTCCTGGTTAATCAAGTGTCTTATATGGCCAATGTTCCTGGACTGAAGATAACATTTTCGACAAATTTAACTAATGTGACTGTCCATGCTTAAATTGGACAATAAGAGGACACCCAAGTTCTTCACACTGTACGATGGTACAAGTATTGCATCTCGTACAACCACATCATTTGACCTTGTATTTTTCAGATGTGTATTTGGACCAAATAAAATACATTCTGTTTTACTTGATTCAGTTACATTTAATTTTAACATATTTCTTGTCATCCTATCTTGAATGTCATGTGTACACAATTTGATGTCAGAATAATTAGGGGATGGAACAGTTTTCGAAAGGGAGTAATTTGGAATCAGCTGTGTATCATCTGCATAATAATGTCGACCTAGAAATTATGATTATCAATTAGTTGTCCTAAATTCATAGTATACATTACAGAAAGGACAGGTCCAAAGACTGATCCTTGTAGAATTCCTGAATCATCTGTACCGGCCCTACACAGGGTTGCTGGAAGGCGGTTGCATGTGGCATTATCAGGCCTAATAATCCAGGCAATGAATGATTTTATTGGAAAAATGATGTAAAAAATGAAGTCATTTTCTTCAAGTTTGACCATCAAATTTAATATGAAAGAAATCCGTGCCAGTCATTTTGTCAAAACCAAATATTAGTATTAGTAGTCCTCAACTTCCATTATTAATCGAATTGTTCTCAGCCCCGCAGTAGGTGAGATATAGCATCATGAAATTTATATGTTTTAGCATATAGCAAAAACTACACCTCAAAATAAATTCCTCATAGCCTCAAATGGAATCGGAAAAATTTAATAGTCATATATATTGAAGTAGTAGACAAGATCATTCATAAAAAATAATTACAAAAAATAAAAAATTAATAGGCAATTTATGGGAAATATTTGAATTTAGGGATTTTTTTTTATTTTATAAAATGACGTTTTTTTTACTCTAAAATGTCCATAGCTGGTTCTCCGTAACTACAAGGTTGGTGACCCTCATATTTGATCTGGGGTATATGGGACGGGGTACCCAACGACCAAATCTGAAAAGTTTGGTCAAAATCACCTGGCACCGTTAGTGCCGTTTTTTAAATTTTGCATGGTTCTCTTGCAAACTCATTCTTAATATCAATATTTTATAAAACTACCCAATGTAAACTGATACATTGTTTATTTTTTTAAAACAGGAACCACCTCGTCCAGAATATCTCTCAAGACTTGAATCATGGACAACATTAAAAGTAAATCCAATTACAGGCGTAAGTACTAGTATGATCTATTGTTTGTGTGATTTTATTTCTACATTGATTGAAGTTAGCTATTTTTACTTAAAAATTGCTTTGTTGTCTTTTTTTCTTGGTCAGTTGTCTAAAGGCATTTTGATTGATTATTGTCTTTGCGCTTGACTTTTTTGCTTTAAAGTTACCTTTTTTATCCCTTTTTTTAAAACCCTTTCTTGATGTTAGTTTTCACTGAAAAAGCTAAACTAATAAAATTTGTAAGCCCTGAATTAGCTTAACTAATAAGTTTTTTAAAGCCCTGAAATAGCTTAACTAATGAAATAATAAGCCTATCGTTTTCTGCAATACCCTTAAACCCTGTTTCAGAAAAAAGAAAGGCATGCTAGTGTTTTGTGGAGAAAGATTGGAATTGGAGAGGTCAAATACTGATTTATATTTCTGTTTTAAATTTTTGTGGCTGTTGGTTATTGATAAAGCTTTCATACATGTACTTCAAAATAGGAAGGGATTGTGCTTTGGAAAAAGGTTTTAAGGGTTTTGATTTTCTCTGAATGGTGTGACCTTCCTTTGTTCCTATCTTTTTAGATATAATTTAAAAAGATATCTTTTTTATATAATGAAGAATAATCTAATGCTGTGTTATGTTTTAGAAATATGGCAACGTGTCTTGTCAATATGAAACAAGGTCATATCGAACATTTTGGAAAAATGTATGAAAGCTTTTTTATAACTGCATGCAAGTTTGATTTGTGTGTGTTTGTGTTAATATGTTTATATAATATCAGGGTCGTGACCCTGCTCCATTGTATGTTTCAAAGGGCATGTGTCTAATGTTGTTTGGACTACATTATTTTAATCGTGTATTTCATTGGTAAAAATCACAAATTTTAAGGTAGGTAAAAATGGGTTTAATAGCTTATATTATAAATGCTCTTTCCAAAGTGAAATAAAGTCTGGGCTTTTACTGATATTTGAGTTAATAGAAACTATCTCACGAATCTGAAACTATCATATTATTTCTATTTGCTTGGAGTTGAATATAAAGTAATAGAAATGGGAAAGGTTTTCTTTTTTTTTCTTGGAAAATAGTGTTAATTTTCATTTTACGTATGTCTGTGGGCTTGTAAAGCATATAAAATACTTGGTGTGGCCTTGACAATTTATTGTAGAAAATATGAAAATAATTTAAATTTGACATCTTAGTTATAAAATAAAGGGGTTTATATTTTAACTGTCACCAATCATCTTTAAGGGCTAAAACTATAATATTTTGAATCCAAGATGGGATATTATCTACCATTGACATTTTGACTAAATGTTAGATAATCAATGAGTACATTTAGCGTGGATTTTAGCTTAGAAGCCCCGCAAAAATTAGATATTGCCCGAAAAATGCAAATGATGATTAAAATATTAACACTGTAATAACAACAATGATTAACAAATGGAATTGATTTACTTATAAGCTTGTATTGTTTTTGTGAATGACCAAAATACATAACATATTTCAAGTTCATAATTAACCCCACTATACACGTGTGAATCGAGCATAATTCTAAAGTTTATTTATTCCACCAATTGATTTGGACTTACAATTTAAAGTACTTCAAATCAATTTGTACTGATTATTAAATAACTGATTGACATTGTTTTGAAGTGAACTTACTCTTAATAAGCATAGTTTTCTAACCAATGTTATGTTGTAATATATTTGAATATATGTGTAAGCTAGAAATATAGTTTTAGGATGATATGTTGTCAAATGTAATAATATCTTCCTATACTGAACAATATGTACATCACAGGCAAAGTTTTTATTGTGCTGTGTACAGGGATATCAAGCTTTCATTCAGTGTCAGTGATTTTAGTACAGAATGCAAACAGAATAGGAACATTGTTGGTGACAGTGTGCAATGTGTTTATGACTGCAGAAGTGTCTAAATATTGATCCACATATATCTCTTATCATATGTAAACTTGTGTTATAACAAGGACTTTTTTGTTTTCCAAAAGTTTTTAAAAAAAAATATAAAGCTGTGTTTTCTTGAATTTTATTTTTATTAAACTTTGAGATATCTTATGGAAATTTGGTATACTGGTGTATATGTAGCTGAGTTATCGATAAAGTTTGGGTTCTAAAAAATTTTGTTTTCAGGCATTATTTTATAGATGCATGTATTGTAAAATTTCAATAGAGGACATGTTGCTTCATCAAAACTCTAAGAATTCTTATTATTATTATGTTATTAATTTTGTTGTGAATGAATTATGCTGCATAACGTTTATGATGATATTTCTGTTTTCCAGATAAAAGAACCATATTTACCATTTTGGAGAAGACGTTTCCCAGTATTTTTGTGTTCCTATGCTGTTATGTTGTTTTTGGTAAGTCAAAATTCTTTTTGTGAAGTAAAAAACAACTATGATGTATTAGGTAAAAAATGTGTGTGATTTTATTGTTCTATTTATTATCACTTACAGGTTAATTCTTAACTCCCATATAATTAATATAATTTATGTTTCCATATTATAGGCTGCAGTAGCTATTGGTGCTGTAGTGGGTGTTATAGCATATCGGGTCTCCTTTTTAGCTGCCTTACATGTTTTAGAAAAGAGGGTTGTTACAGATAACTCAAGTGGTACAGCTGCCATAGAAACTGTCACGTTAGTTTATAAAAACGCCAGTTTAATAACAACCATTACAGCTGCCTTGATTAACTTGTTAATCATTTTATTGTTAAATATTGTAAGTATCCATCAACTGTATCTACATATAATATCTAAATCTGACTATTCAAAGGTCATGACATTAGAAGGCACTGTCTTATAATCCTTCCGTTTGTCTCATTCTACGTGGGGGGGGGGGGGATGGCCAAATGGTTAGCACGTGCTACGTGCTATCATAAAGGCCTGTCATTGAGTCAACTGGCATGGTTTCGAATCCCCGGTTGTACATGACAAGGAGCAGGGTCACCTATTCAACCTCGTGGGTTTTCTCCCGGTCCTCCGGTTTCCTCGCACTGCTACAGACCCCTACGCGCAAGCGAATTATTGAAATAAAATTAAACAAAATGTTAGCCCCAAAATGACCTAGTTTGTGTCGAGTGGAGTTAAACCCTATTTCTCTCTCTCTCTCTCTCTCTCTCTCTCTCTCTCTCATTCTAAGTAAGAAAGATTGGTAGTGTGGGGGATGGGTAAAAGGGGGGCTGTATTTGTCATCAAATAATGTTTTATCAGTGAACATCCTTACCAGATAGCCTAAAGTAGACTGTATTTCTCATCAAATAATGTTATCATATACACTGGATCATCATCACCATATGGCTTGATGTAATGCTGGTAGAAAGCGTTGACATGTTTTCACAATACCTTTTTAACATATAAAGAGACTCACTATAATAACGCAAGTGTAATTAGTTGATCCCAACATCAGTGGTATTATATAGATATGAAATGACAGACTCTTTGAGTTTGCTTTGTATACCACTTTTTTTTTCAGCGTACTTCTGTTACAAACTATGTGAATTGAATTGTTTATAATATACAATATATTGTATTTTATTCATGTAGGTTTATGGTTATTTGGCTTTCTGGTTAACAGATTGGGAATGTTTGAGAACACAGACAGAATATGATAACAGTATTACATTAAAACTATTTGCTCTACAGTTTGTCAACTACTTCTCCTCTATTGTGTACATAGCTTTCTTCAAAGGAAGGTATGTTATTTATAACATTGTTTTACTTTAGGACTGAGTAGTAAAACATTGTAGAATGTAGATTTGACCAGACATTTTTACATGATGAGAAGTACAATGCTAACAGTCGTCCACTAATTTACATATATGTGGTTCATCTGCTCAATATAATCTTGTGGAATTTTTCCCCGTGTCATTTATTAAAGATCTTGCTCACTTGCAAATTGATATGACCAGATGTAAATGAGCCACATTTCAATTAGTTCTTACAAGGCTTTGTATTTGAGCATTATGGTATTAAAAATAAAGTCTTTTTTTTTAACAACAATATGCTGGAAACTAGAAATTGCTGATAAAAATCATATCTATTGAATAGACTTGTGGTTTGTATTACTAAATCATCCCTCATTTTTAAATGTTCTTGAAATAGTTTCATTTGGATGAAATGGGTGTAGAATTATTGCATATTTTTGAAGTTTTGAAAGTCTGGAATTACATGAACAGTTATTTTTACAGTGAAGTGATGTGTTAAAGATTTTTTTCTTTTAGATTTGTTGGTAGACCAGGAAAATATAATACTATTTTTGGTGCTAGACAAGAAGAGGTATGTTATTAAGTGCAGATAAACTAGTAATTTTCTTAAAATCTCATTTTCTTAAATTTATGTCAGTAGCAGTAAGCATTATAAATATAAATAAATTACTTGAGTGAAAATACATAACAATAGTAAAATCCATTTTGGCGACATTGCAAGATGATGTGTATGTCGTGAGAGTTTGATAATGCAGCTTGATACTAAACAATTTGTAAACTTCAGTGTTCTTTATCTCCTGTAACACAAAGAGTTTGAGATGTATTTCTATCTTAATTAAAGACTTGTTTTGTCGTTTGCATCAATTTCTCCTCTACTAATAAAAGATGGTGGCATCTTGTTATGCTTGAACAGCATAAATTGATGAAATTTCAATTTATGATAACATCGTAAATACTGAAGAGAATTAAACCATTTTTGGACTGATTATCTTTCTAGATATTTAAATTTCCACAATATTGTAGTTTGCAAGGGATCCCTATAGCACATTATGATGTATCAAGCATATAGATCTAAAATTTGTATTAATTTCACTTTTCAGTGTGAACCAGGTGGCTGTTTAATAGAACTGTGTATTCAATTAGCTATTATTATGGTTGGTAAACAACTGATTCAAAACAACTTTATAGAAATAGTTATTCCGTAAGTATTAAGTTTACTCTCATTGTAATAAAACATATGAATAATAGTTAATAGTATGGGGTGTGCTATAAGTAAATAGACTGTGCAGGAAGCTAGACTACCAAACAAATTATAGATAGGACAAACATGAATACAACACAAACAATTACAAGTTAGTGCCCACTATCAGAATGACCATAGGAGTGATATCGAACTTGTATCAAAGCAACATATAGAAGTACAATTATTTATTGGAATAAGGGGATAAAAAGAAATAAAAAAGCACAAATTTGATATAAAAACATTAACATTCTTTTTAGGAAATTGATAAAACTGTTGAAGAAAAAGTGTTCAAAAGAAACAAGAGCTCAGAAACTGGCAAGGACACCATGGGAAAAAGATTATAAATTACAAGAAGCACAAAATAATTCTTTATTCTACGAATATCTTGAAATGGGTAAGTTTCTACTTGATAAAGCTTTTGAGAGACACACAAAGAAAGATGGAAATGTCCACTAGACATTAATCAGGTGATTTTGGGATTAATCTATGATTTCTGTTTTTAATTTCAAGAAATTTAGAAGTGGGCAATCTTATTAAAATATTATTACCACTTAATTTATTTTAATGTTAATGTTGTATCTCCCATCCACCTAATAAAGCCTTTAAAGTTCTGCATCAATGTTAAATTTTATCCTACCATATCTGTTCAAAATATAGTTCTTAGAATTATTGACTGGAGTTTGCATTATTTTCACAAAAGCAGTAGATATTATACTTTCTCATTTACAAGGGAGTCATGATCCAGTGTAATATTTTGACCAGTTAAATGACATACTGGTATTATGAATTTAATAAAAATATACCTACTTTTTCAGTTCTACAGTTTGGATTTTTAACAATCTTTTGTTCTGCTTTCCCATTGGCTCCGTTATTTGCCTTATTAAATAATATAATTGAGATACGTGTAGATGCAAATAAATTGATTACCAATCTTAGACGTCCTATGGCAGAGCGAGCGGCTGATATAGGTAATGAAACTGTTCACAATACATATATAAATACAATTAAAAATGAATTAGGATGTTATTTTTGATGGCCTTGTTTTTGTTACATGTTCATATTGTCACCACCCACATCTGGCCATGATTCTACAGGTCAAAGTTTTTGAGATTTTCAAATTTGTATGATTGGTTGAATAGTTCGCAGAGGAGACATTTTTTGAGAGCCATCGAAACCTTGTGAATACTCTTTATAGTCTATACATAATCTTTTGAGATTCTTTTGAGAAATTCTTTGGTAATTCAGAGTCACCCTCAATTTTATGTGTACAGTAATTATTGCCCTTCACCTAAAAATCAAAGAAATAATGTAGCTTTAATGAATTTAAAGGAAAATATACTAAAGAATTGTAATTTAAAGTATGAAAAATCACCTTAGAATTAAATATTATTTTATATTTTTACAAAGGTATCTGGTATAGTGTATTATATGGAATCTCAAGAATAGCTGTTATTTCTAATGTAAGTGCCCATACATGTTTATTATTAAACAGGCATTATGCAAGAGCTAAATCTGCCTATTGCAGGTTTTTCTTTAGGCCTTAAATGTTATATAAACTATTATTAAACTATTAACTATTATTAAACTATTAATTAGACATTTATTAACATGACAAGACAATAATCAAGTCTCTGCCATCGGATGGATCTGATTTTAAGTAGATCAGAACGGTTACAATCAGTGCACACATTTTATCAAACCTTCAAAGGCTAATGTCTTCAGTCAGAATAAAGTATTTTGAATCAAATTTTCGATATATTCGAGAAATTCCCTGTCGATGTTACAGCATCATATATAAAATGAATTGTTATATACTGATATAGATTGAATAGACTGTCAGCAGTTGATAATTAATTATTTTCTCTTTAAGGCCTTCATCATTGCTTTATCATCGGATTTTATACCACGATTAGTATACAAGATGAGATATAGTCCAGATCATTCAGCTAAAGGTTATCTAGAACACAGTCTGGCTAAATTTAATACCAGTGACTTCTCACCTGATCACAGACCTGATCCCATTTATGGCCATGTGGAGATTTGCAGGTATTTTTCCTTAATTCAGTATTAAACTACAACACATAAGGTAATGCATGAATTTAATTTGGAATAAATATTACCAGAGTACTATAAATTAATTTTAAATATTGTGTACGTTAAACATACACTATGCAAGAGCTAAATCTGCCTATTGCAGGTCTTCCTTTAGGCCTGAAATGTTATACAAACTATTAAACATGCATTATGCAAGAGCAAAATCTGCTTATTACAAGTCTTTCTTTAGACCTGAAATGTTATCTAAATTATCAATTAGACATTAATTAACTTATCCAGACAATAATAAACTCTCGATGTCAAGGCTAGCCTTCGATGTTGGCTGGATTAGATTCCTATATGCTGCTAATGGCCATTGATAATTAAATCAAAAAAAGTGGATAATCGAGACTATGCTGTTTATATTAATGATTTTAGTAATGATGACCTTGACTATGCAAAAATTTCACCCGCTTCTTTCTCGGCTCATAGTGGATCAATTTGACTGAAATTTTCAGCAAATTACCTTTACACTATCTAGTTTTTAACTATTATAGCGAGAACTGCCATTTCTTTATCTTATCTCCCATAATGTATCTTTAATTAGACATTTATTAACATGACAAGACCATAATCAACTCTTGATGCCCTCTGATGCTTCCGATTTTCATTAGAATTGAATCCTATCTACCAGTCATCAGCCGTTGATGATTTAATGCAAAAATGGATAATCAAGACTTTCTTGATTTTCGTCACAACAGCAACAGTGACAATTTAGGCTACAAGGTTTTTAAAATGAGTATTTCTCGGCTTAGAGTGAAGTAATTTGACTGAAATTTTCAGAATATTCCTGTTACATTATCTATTATTAAACTATTATAGTGAGAAATGTCAGCTCATTACGTAATCTTCCATAGTGTATCTTTAAATCTCTAAAAACAATGCAATGGTTCATATCAGGGATCTTAATTGTCTGTTTTTTTGTCGGCTTTAGCCGCTTGAAGTTCAATCAAGCCGATTGGTAAAACAATGAACCGGCCACTATGTTATCATAAATCAATCTACTTTCGGCTAAATTACAATGGGTTAATTATTACTTGTTAATTAAGAAGTCAATCAACTTGCTTGTCAACTACAAGTCATACCTTAGTGAGAATCGGCCATGTGGTTCATAATCCGAGTAGTCTAATTAGCACATTTGACGGTAATTTTGATAATCCGGTAAAAAACCCAACAAAACAAACTTGCTGATTATTTATAACAGAATCAGTGAGCTGCTTTAGTAAAAATAACTCATGTGGCGATAGAAGACGATCTCGGCATGGCTTGCCAATCGAGCGTCTTCCACGCTCCGTAAGAATTCCAGGTACCGATAGATATTAAAATAATAACTGGATCATACATTGATGGATTCACTGACCAGTTGTTAGGTAAATTTAAATCTTCATTGAATATAATCCCTTGATAGAACATCAGATATACCGAGAAACCGTCATTAATAATATATTTTCCTGATAGAATCTCCAATGCCAAATTCCAATGAAAAGTGACACAATAAACCAGTTTTAATTAGCATTTACCGTTCTGATTTTTTATATTTTTATATACCTTCTGACAAATGCTTAATTTTAAAAATATTGTCATTTTTTTTGATGGCTATATCATATTCGTATGGAATTTTTATTTTAAAGCAATTTCAATTATAGTTGTCACATGACAAATGTGCTGTTTGTCTTTCATCGACGAATGAATAAAAACTTTTGCAAGTTATGTGACTAGTTGCGTGATAGACAAAAAACTACAAAATGTGTTGTGAAGAAATGGCATGGTGCCGTATCAGCTTATTTTGGCTACTTCATTTTCTGATACTGGCAACATTAGAAAAATGCTAATATTTTAGATCATCAACTTATGAAACGCGAATGTTTTATCAAATAAGCTATGACAGTAATTTATTTATTCTGGAATATTGCCGACATGAACTTCAACTGGTACAATTAAATATGGAAAATTTTCAAAAGGTGTACCTGTCATTATTTTGTGGTAATAACATACATTAAAATACGACATTCTCCATAACAAATTACCAAGAATTATTTTTGTTGAAGTCTAGTTATATTAAAGGGAACGGAATCTTATAATTAACCCATTTCCTACGGGACCTCATTTGACCCAATTCTGGCGGATTCCTTTCAAAATGGATTAAGAACCCTAGTTCATATCCATATTTACAAAGATGATAAAAGAAAATATGTCAACAATTGACATCCTCTGCAGATGATATAAAGAGATGTGTTTAAAACAAGCCAATGCAAGCTATAATTTTCACAAAGACGAATTGATGGGCCTGTTTTTTTTTAAAATCCGAGATATTCCACCATTGGTATATTGATTTTGCTTTCTTAATTAAATGTGTACAGTTATTTCTTGTACATCCGATGCAATAACTTCTATTTGGTATATGTGAAAGCCTAAAAAAGTCATGATGATAATTATATACAGGTATATAGTGCTCTCATTCATTTATATCATGAATTTTATTTTTTACAGATACAGAGATTTTCGCAACTCTTATGACCATGAGAATAAATATGAATACTCAGATGTCTTCTGGCATGTACTTGCTGCTCGTCTGGCATTTGTTTGTGTGTTTGAGGTAATGTATTTTGTATAATAATTATTAATAATAATAGTAACTGTTTGCATTGTAATAATGTAATTAGACATTTTTCTGGCTAATTATTAGCTAAATACTATTTGAACCACCAATACAAATCTAACCTTTTTTTAGAAAAATACTCAGATTTTTTAAGATATTAAGAAGCTATATCATGCACATTATTTTTTAGTCACATCATCAGCCATAATTATTTATACAATGTAGATTTCATTTTTTCCCTCTTATTTGCAGAATGTTGTGATAGTGCTTACAAGTCTTGTAGCTTGGTTAATACCTGATGTACCCACTTTACTCAAAGAACAGATACGTAGAGAAGCTTACATTACTAATGAGGTCATTCTTAAAACAGAGTTGATGAGAGCTCACGGAGAAGAAATTGACCATCATAAAGTCAATGCTATAATGTCTGACGAAGAAACCAACAATTACGAAACAAGTAATACTGATAATCTTCACAGACGTCCAAATCATGAACTTGTTTAATTAATATAGTTTATTCACATGCTCTAATGAAAAACTACACAAATTACGATACACACCTAATTCTGTGTAAATCTAGTAGTTGGTATAATACAAACCCCACAAAACAAGTGGTTCTGTGTTACCAGAATGTGTTGTGAAATTACAGTGCATAATTTAACATACTATACAAACTAACGGTCATTAATCATCACATCTTTGCGTACAAAGTGTGTCATAGGTTTGCTATAAATTGACTTATGGTTTGTATTGAATATATCCAGTTAGATATTAAAAAGTAGCATAGGCCTACATGTCACATATGCACACAACCCCAAAATGCTGTTCTGTCTTGAAGTTAAAACTCTTGTTAATTGATGTGCCTTACCTCCCTACCTCCATGTTACTGTGAGAAATTCATGGTTTTTATTATCTGGAGATGCATGCCACCCTACTTGCTAAATGTATTGCAATAATTTGCATTATTATAGCTAATATTTAGTTGACGCAACACAAGGTATACCAGTACATGTTTTGTAGCATAATACATTCTTTTCATTTTTTAATCTCATTTCATAGCTGCATATTCAAAGCTGTTTTTATCATCAATTGTTATGCAGACATTATCATATCTTGTTATGTTTTATCTTAGCATGTTGATGTCTTTGTTATTGTACTCTTTAAATCTCCACTGTTGGCATTGTTTGAGAATTTAAAGGATAAGTCCCAGATTTCATAGGATTACCATTGGTAAAAGTGGGTATACTATACAAATTAAATGCCGAATGGTGAGGAAATGGGCCAAAAAGCATTTGTCTGGCAATTTCGGCACAAAATATTGTGCCATACGAAAATGAACTTGCTTACGTGTAACTGGGTTATGTAACTCATTTAAGGAATTCCATGGGTACACCCACCTAATACTTTAGGCAACTATTAGCACTTGGGAAAGGTATGACAGTTTGTTTTTCAGCAAAAATGCCCTACAGAGATTCTGTTAAGTGTTCTAGACGGAATTAACCTTTTTTAGCCACTAAATTACATTCGGGATAGCACTTTTAAAGACTTATGCCTACTCTACACAGCATTACTTGAAAATTTGATCCACTGAAATATATCTGGGACAGCTCTTTTAAACTAAAGCCTTAGTCCTGCTCCAAAGAAGCATTAAGTGAAAATTTCCGGGTTTAAATTAGAGTTAGTTCAACTTTTTATCTGTTCCCATCAATCTTAATCTGTAATCTCTATTGCTATTGTTGTTTTTGATTTCGATTACTTTATCATTTTATTGTTATATTTTAGATGTATATTTGTACAAAATTTAACATGAATTACCACCTCTCCTAAAATAATCATAACTGATATTAGACTACTATTTATAGGCCTACATTCACATTATCATATGTTTATGTGCTAGATCTGATATGATTTGGGGTTGTGTTGTTTTAAATTTGTCGAAATTTATCTTTTAATGAATTCACTTAAAAATATTAACAGTTATATTAACAGAAAGTTGCATGTGAGTGTTGTATATGAATGTTTTATTTATTATATATTACAGTTTTTTTTTGTATCATATAGATAATGCAATACTTACATCAGTTTTCTTATTAACACTGACATTAAGTTGTACTTCTTTTTACGTTATCTTCTATTTTAAGTAGTTTTGTGTTCATAATCATTCTTTTCCTTTCAAGAAAGCAAGGGACTATTAAAATGGCTTTGCCTGTCTGTCTGTTCGTCTATCTGTCTGTCTGTCCGTCACACTTTTTGGGACACAATAACTCTCCTTCTAATTGAGCTAGAATGTTCAAACTTGGTATATGCGTTCATTAGGTGAATGCCTTAATGGATTTCGGTGATAAACATTGTCTGCTTACGGTAAGCAGAGATAAGTAATGATTGGTTGATGTTTTGGGGCACCAAAACATTGGTTTTAATTAAGTGAGAGTGATGAAACTCTGAGTAAAGATTCATTATATCGTTACTTTGAAGTTCGATGATGAGAATTTTCTGCTTAGGCCAAGGAGCGATAAGCAATTTGATTGGTCAAGACTTTGGAACATTACAACTCTGCTTTTAATTGAGTTAGAATGTTTAAACTTGGTGTAGATGTTCATTAGGTGAATGTCTTGACTGAGTTCAATGATTAACCTTTCAAGGTAAAGCTAAGCAGAACTAAGCAATTTCATTGGTCGTTGCTTTGGGACAAGATAACTTTGATTCTATCTGATAGAGAGTGATGAAACTTAGTGAATAGATGATAATCAGTTTGATTGCTTGATACTTTTGAAAAAAAATAAACTTAGTGTTATTGATAATCAGTTTGATTGCTTTAATACTTTTGAAAAAAATAATTGTGCTATTAATTAATGTGTCATCTATTTATTTTGAGATTTTGGCAGGGGACATCAGCCTCACTGTTGGCTTGTTTAAAAAAATAATAACCCCATAACAAAATTATGTAGACTAGACTTTGTAGCATTTTTAGTCTTGCATTTTCAGTTGAGAAACAGCTTTGTTTATGCAGCTAACACCACATTTGTTAAGACTAATATTTGTTTCACTCTTTTCCTCCCACCAGGTATGTATGGAAGCCAGATTCTATTGCACCGGCAAACCAGCATATAAATATCAAGCAATATTTTCAACACGAGAGACAAGAATTTATTACGATTGTTGAGTACATGAAGTGACCTTTTGAAATTTCTAAATAAAAATGTAAATTATTTTTGGAGAAATATAGAAAGAAATCTCTAATATTTTTTTGATGTAGGCTACTATCCAGAACGTATAAGTTTGGTGTATTAGTGTTTTTGTTATTTGTTTATCCTTGCTGTGCAATACCACTTTACAAATGTTGTGATAGCTGCAGAACCGTAGGCTTTTCCAAGTTGTATGCTCAGAATATACTGCATTTATAATGGTTGAATCTACAATTATCTCCACACTCTGCCTGTGTCAAGGCTATATTTTTTAACTTTGAAGTGGCGAAATCCAGAAGAAACAGTAATATATAACTAACATAATCCTTCAAGCATTACAATAAAATGTTTTTATGTTGCCTGTTGTTCCAGTATTATATAAGTTATTGAAATTAATCTATTAAAACCGTGATGGCTATACTATTTATTAGCATTTTTGTTATGCTTTGTAAACTGCTTATATTTAAAACTTTATATGTAGTGCTTAATATATACCAGGGCTCTCAGTTTCAAATATTTTAACTAATAATGTATCCCCATCAAACAAGCCAAAATATGTTGAATATTTCATATAAAATCTGTATCATCTAACTATGCATTACTAGTATTAGATATCTGCCAGTGTAAGGTACTTTCATAAGCTGCATATGTATATTGAATTTTCCTTCAAAACTGTGAGTGGACAGAACAGTCAATTGTTGTGATTTTAGCATCTATTTAAGGTTGTATTTGCTTGATTTAGATCTGAAAAAGATTATCCAATTTATTATTTTATGGATCAGATTGCCAAACCTTGTGATTTCTTTAGACAGTAATTGTATGAAATATATTCTGATTTGAAACAAGAGTCCTTCTTCATAGTAAAAACTTGTACTGCCATTAGAGATTTAGTTACTTGTAGAATTTAGTGTCTTTCAACACATCTATAATTTTATACTCATTCATTAGATAAATATACTCTTTTATTAAATTATACAGTATATTAAACATATATTAACCTATTTAGTGAATTCTTTTTCTAGTCTTTTTTTCAGAATGCGAAGTGTTTCATTATTATGTAAATAAACAATATTTGTATCTATTACAACAATTATGAAGTTATATTTAATGAATGTTCTTAATTTGAAATCATTAATATTAAATGTGAGAAACTGATAACAATATATTATGTCCATGTACTGTATATTACATACTAATATACATTGGATTATCATTTGTCTATTTTCATAAATTAGTGTTCTTTCATGTTAAACATAATGGGGCAGATAAATAAACGTTTTCTTTATTTAAATTTAACAAAATTATGTTCTTTAGATAGTGGTTGATTAAAACAAAAATCTTAAATTAGATATCATCTTGATGTTGCTGTTCATGGGTCAAATCGAGTTATTGTTCTGAATCAGACAATACTGAGAAAGAAAGAGGACAGTGTGAAGTCACTAACTTAACCTTAAAATTGATTGGATTTAGTAATTTTTGGGTCAATATGCTCCTTGGTAAGACTACTTTTTATTGTCTGAATGGTGTTCTGGGATAAAATGGAAATAACTCATATAGAACTATAGATATTTTTTATGTGTACTTTTGTTTGTGTTACATTATCTTAAACCCCTAATTTGAATTACTCTGAATATTTTGTAGAATTTGTTAATGTGTTGGTCGTAAGTTACTTTTGTATAATTTTTAATCTTACTTTGTGTTTTCTTAATAAAACCTGTTTACATCCAAATATCTTCCAAAATCTCTTTATTTGTCAGAAAAACTAAAATCAGATGAATTATTCCAGGTTGAGTTTAAATTGCGTGCAGCGCATCCATATCTACAGTTATTTTTGCTTTCAACACTGATTTTATAAAAATTTGTAACAATAAACTTGGACATGTACTTTCTGCTTAGAGTACAGTAATTTACATGAATTGCTTGATAACCACAACAAGAATTTGTAGGGCTCATAAATTTCTATATCTGGTAAAGTTTATCTCACATTTTGCATACAATATAATATTAACTCTCGCAAGAAAAATAATAAAGTTATGAAAAACAATGGTTATACATGGTAATGAATATATTATACCTATGTTACACTTTCTCTTTCTCTTAAGGACAAAAACTATGCATAAAATTAATAGACATGACCAATAAGGTTTGTCCTTATGATTAGTCAAGCAATCCAAGTAAGCTTAGGGGGATTTGGAAATCTCAATACCAGCAGGTTCGAAAGAAAGTTCCCAAAAATTCACCTTTAAACTGTTTACGCTCATATTGAAATGTGGTGGTTGCCCCTGTCCGTTCATCTGTTATTTACAAATACTTGTGGGTGCTCTTAAGTTATTAAACATGCATTATGCAAGAGCTAAATCTGCCTATTGCAGGTCTTTCTTTAGGCCTGAAATGTTTTCTACAGTATTAATTAGACATTAATTAACTGATCCAGGCCTTAATCAACTCTCGATGGCATCAGATTTCTCCGATATTAAATAGATTAGAATGGTTCAGCGATACTTTGATTTAATCAAATATGGAGGACCGAGACTAAGCTTCGATCAACCAGTACGGTGGTTGAAATTATTGCACACGTCTGTCAAACCTTCAAAGGCTAATATCTTCGCTTGCAATAGAGTAATTTGAATGAAATTATCAAATTATTCATTTTACATCATCTACTTTCGAACTATTATAGCAAGAATGGCTAGTTCTTTATCTAAATCTTACATAATGTATCTTTAACCAATTGACTTCAAATTTATCCACAGTGTTTTAATTTATGAGACGAAGAATCCTATTGAATTTCAACGATTTCCAATAATCACTGCCAGAGATATGTCCATTGATCGCCTTTAGAAAGCATGTGGATGCTCTAGGGCCTAAAGTTATGAGACGAAGATAGATGTTGGATTTCAATGATTTCCGATTACTGCACGATTTATGACCCTTGAACACTCGAGTCTCAAGTTAATATCCGACTGACACATTTAAGGTCACGAAACGAAGAATCCTATTGATTTTCAAAGATTTCCGATAACTTGAACAGCTAAATTTATGACATTAAATGATTTGTATACTAAACTTTACCATAGGGCAGAACTGAAGCCAGACAGTTTGTTGTAAATGTTTTCATTACTGGCAAAAGAAAAACATATGCGACCACCCTTATTGACTGTTCGGATAACTTGGCTGCTGTGGACTTATGTTTCATTGCCTGGAAACCTGTCTTCAGTGATAGGGTTCCTTCTCAAGACTTGCTGAACTATCCCCAGAAAACCCCATAACTCTTGATGGTAGAGTGCTTACAAGAATTGTGGACTGGTTGAAAGGGGGCTGTAAGGGTCATTCCATGTCAAGTGGGTCAATTTTCAGAAATTTGGGAAATCGCCCCCCTCGAAAAATTCTGGAAAAAATATATACTGAGCGCCATGGAAAACGCATCACTTAGTTTTTCGTATAACAAAATGATCCTGTAATCATATCTTATTTATTTTGCTTCTTATTGTGAACAATATTCAAATGGGAACACATCAATAACAACACATTTGTACACTTATGGATGTTTAATCTGTAATCAAGGGTACAAAGTCAGAATGGTCAAAACCAAAAGTACGACACAGATGTCAGTAGCGCGTGTCCTCCACGGGCCATCATCACGGTAGGCTACAGCATTAACGCGACCCCTGCAAATATGTAGGGCGGTCCGGTGATGAAATGTGAAGCCTCCCCACACCATTACACTTCCCCCACTCCATCGAATCGTTTTGAAGACGCAGCAGTCTGCAAGACGTCTCCACACACGTTGACGGCCATAAGCGTGATAAAGATGAAAGCGACTCTCATCACTCAAGAGCACACTTTGCCAGTCTACTCTTCTCCATGTCTGGTGTCCTTGTGCCCATACCAAACGCCGCTGACGGTGAGGATAGCTCCAACATAAGGTCGTCGTGCACGGAGTCCTACTTCTCTTAGACGACGTCTTGGTGTTGGCACTTACTGGTCCTTGTCTTCCGACGACTGCTGCACCTGTTCGAGTCGCTAGGCGGAATCTGTCACACAGATGATTGACCCAGATGTAGCGGTCTTGAGCCTGGGTTGTAATGCGTTGTGGACCAGGACGTTGACGGTCACGTGTTGATCCAGTAACTCGAAGACGTTCCAGCAACCTTACAATAGTGGACTGATGACAATTGACGTGTCTGGCAATAGCACGTGTAGACATGCCAGCCCGGGACATTCCCATGGCTTCATTCCGTTGATTTTCAGTAAGTCTCGGCATCTCTAGCTCGATTTCTTCACACGTCCAACAACAAATTACGACAGATTGACGTTTCACAGTTCATGTACTGCACATTAAGTTGAAAACATGCTTTTAAAGGGCTCACACACAATGCTGCACGTGAATATTGGGTTTTTCATGTGCATCTCGTGCAATTTTTTTTTGCACACGGGCCGATATTTTTTGCGTTTGGGAGCATTGTGTGAAACAATAGTTCATAGTATTGCATAATATTATACATACAAAACCACTATAATAAAATATTTGGGAAAAAAAAGTGATGCGTTTTCCATGGCGCTCAGTATATGTGATCTGTAGCTTAACAATTGGCTGAGATACGTCCATTTGAGTTTCATGACTTGCCGATAAGTTTTCGAAACAAAACATGTATCAATAATTTACTCGAGTTTCAGATATCTTGCTTGTTTTTACCTTTCTAGTAAAGATATACAGCCCAAATTAGGTAGCGTTAGAGAACTTTGTGTGTAGAGATACAAATCTGCAATCAGATAACAGGTGAGTGGTAGAGTTCGCATGCTACTTGGCCATGAACACCGAAAACAATTTGGTGTAATTGTATATTTTCTGGATTTTGTAGTGCTCCAGGAGCTACAAAGTAATAGATATAGACCCAAATTTTGGCCTATCCAGAGATTGTCGGTAGTACTACATAAGAAACATATGAGAACGCATCAGTCTTCACTAGATTCCCAGAAAATTGGCCTCGAATATGGTTTTAGAATTTTTTTTCGAAAATTGCCTCTTATTTTCGAGCCGAAAGAACCCGGTAGATGAGCACCTAAAAATCTGAAACTTGGTGTAATTATAGTTTGTACTAATGTCTCCAATATATGTTAAAGCCATTCTTGTCCCGTGTCATCACGATATTTTTTCGAATTTTTGAAAATATGTTGTTTAGGTCATTCCATGTCAATTATCACCCAATGAGTTGAACCGTACCCACTTCAGTTTTGCTGAAATATGGTTTATATGTTTATTAGGACTGAAAAAGCTGATATTCCAAATTTTAGCTTGATCCGACCAACAGTTCCTGAGATACAGTCCACACAATTTTGGGAATTGTGGCCTCTATTATTCAATAGACCATAACCCAGTCACCGGCTCGAAAATACGGGGCAATTTTCGAAAATTGGTGTCTAAAACCATATTCGAGGCCAATTTTCTGGGAATCTAGTGAATTACAGTACGACAGCAAGCCAAAATGATACATGTAGGTCGCTAACAGCGCGATGTGTTTATATCCTAATTTCTACTATTCGGGTTGCATTATGGCTAGGTATGCGTTTTGGCTCCTTCTTACTGACATCAATAAATACAAAAATATGACTAAGCCGAAAGTCGACAAGATTGTACACAAGCCAAAATGAAAGTCGAAAATAAGAAATTCGGAAAAAACGAGGGGCGCTGTTATCGCAGTGTATAATTTCTTAATTTCCTATTTTCGAGTCAATTTTGGCTTGTATAACGTGCTATCGCCTCACATTTTGTCGTAACTTCTACTTTTCGACTTTCGTGTTTTGAAGGGGCGAAAAGTAAAAATTAATTATGAATGGTAGTTATAGGCTTCCATTGAGCCCTACCACTCACCTGTAATCTGATTGCAGATTCCTAATCTACACATAAAGTTCTTTAAGACAACCAAATGTGAGCTGTATATCTTCACTAGAAAGGTAAAAAAAAAATGAGATATCTGAAACTAAATTATTGATACATATTTTGTTTCGAAAACTCATCGGTAACTCGTGAAACTCAACATATGGTTCAATTTTATTTTAATAAATCGCTTGCGCATAGGAATTTGGTTTGAAGCATTGAGGTCATGAGAGGCTGAACCCTATAATATGCAGCATTCTTCAATATTCTGTACCAGAGTTAACCCCCTTTGCCATAAACCTTGTGAACACAATAGGATAATAGTTTTTATGCGCCCACCTAGTATTCCAAAGTTTAATTAGAATTAGGAAGACATGCCTTCTCTTTTTCTGCTCCTTCATTGTGGAACGAAACACTAAAAAATATTAAGGATCTGCAATCCATAGAGTTAACAGAAACATTAAAAAAAATAAATCAAAGCCCTGCTTTGTAATGAATTTTTAATGAATATACTGGTCCGTGTGGGTTGGCTTTCTATATACTGAGGTAATTATTTTAGAGTCCTCTCTTGTAACTAGTATGTCTAGGAAAGGAAGACTGTTGCTGGTTTCATTCTCCATGGTGAACTTGATCAGTATATATAAAGCCAACCCACACGGACCAGTATATTCATTACAAATTCATTACAAAGCAGGGTTTTGATTTAACAGCACTAAAGCAGCCGTCATCGCCACCCTAACAAAAAGAGATAAAAATATTTGTGACCGTGAACTACTACACCTTACAGACGTTTTCACCAAACACAACGGGTATCCGCTTCAGATGGTTAAAAAGATTATCAATTCCATATTATCCGACCTCCCAAAACCAGATAAACTAAAACCTGATAAAGGCCCTATACGAGTGTTTATACCTTTCCGTGGGAATATCTCCCACCAAATTAGAAGATTATTAAAACAAGAAGCAGATATAGAAACCACATATCTCAAAGGCAAGACTACCAAAGAATTAATAAAAGCAAATGGAAAGATAACCCCCACCAAATCCCTCTCCCATAAAGGGTGTGTTTACCAAGTTATTTGCAGCTTTGGGGAATCATACATTGGAGAATTGAAAAGACCCCATGACATCAGAATTAAAGAACCCATGTCGAAAACCCCCATCAACCAATCTGTCACTGCCGAACACCTTATTAACCCGAGTGAACTGGACAAACGTCAAAAAGTTAGCTGTTAACTGCCACAACCAACGAAACCGAAGAACCCATGAAGCAATTAATATACGCAGGCATGAACCAAAACAATTACCCTTGAATTTTAATATTTTCATTGTTTTTAATTTTGTACATTTCCTTAATTATTTACAAATTTACTTGCATCTTGCTTTTACTATCAGGACTGACTGCTTATGACCTCAGTTCACCCCTATAATACCTGTCCTTTCATCTTTTATTATTACTTTCATCTATAACTGATTACTGTATGTATGTAAGGCATGACCCAGGTGCCATGTGCAGAGAAAGAATCAAAGGATTAGGACTAAAACACATTCCTAACAAACAGGCATGTCAGTATATATTTTTTATTTATTAAAACAGCATATTGAAAATTTATCAACAATAAAAACCAGGCACTTTCTTTTTCTTTATATTTTAGACTGTGATGGTGCTACCACAGATAGATCGTCTCAATTATTATTTAATAACTTAATATTACCAAAACAAAAACTTCATAATAGTTTTTATTTATGAATTTTAACCCAGATAACAATTATTTCAATATAAAATAATCACACTTGAACAATTTAAATTAACAATGATACTTTTGAATATTATACACTGTACATAGTGTATACCCCTTTTTTTACACACAAGACCATTACAAGTTTACAAATGTATGCATGCAATGAATATTCATATCCATATTGCACTCTTTTGTTTTATTTTACATAAAAAGAACAGTAAGCTTTATAAACTTTACTATATCTTATTATAAGATATCTTTTCACTGCAACAAAATAAAGAATTCTGCCATGTGAAAATGCATACTGTAAGACAAAAATTTGCCCAAAAAGACTTATGATTACCTGCTGTTCTTTGAGTTGAGTTACACAGCCAAAAAGAAACAACTAAATGTATCAAAACAACATATTTTCAAGAAGCAGTGAGTACTCAATAACATATATTAATTTTTCAAAGTGTTCATTTCCTCTACAAAATGAATATATTTTTTTGTATTGTAAAGCGCAGCCATCAAGGCAGCGTCATACATGTTCAATAATTACAATAATGATCTGTACACCTAATTTGTTCCTTGTTTTCATTTATATCATACACATATACACAAGTTTATTTATTAATTAATATTTACACAAATTAACAAAATATACAGATATTGGAGGGAATACAAAAGAACAACTATAAATCTTTCAAAGCAGCTAACTGTTTCTCAATTTCATCATCAGTCGCACCTTTAGCCTTAGAAGATTCACCTAATTTACCACCATGTGCTGAAGGAGCGTTCACCATCTGTAAAAAAATTAATATCTATGGTTACATCATACTTTTTCAGGTATTGTGTGAATTTCGTCACAACATAAATCGGATATTGTAGATACCAATATCAAGTGAGAGACATCCCAATTTTCCAAAATTGTCATTAACAGCTCTCAGAATTCAATTTTGCAAACTGATCCATGTTCAAGAATTCATAGTTTGTCTGGTTACATATTTCATATTGAGAGAAATGGGGTTTAACGTCCACTCGACACAAACCAGGTCATTTCGGGACTAATTTCATATTGAACCAGGACAAAATGATAAATAATGTCAGTATCTTACCTTTCCTGTAATTTCAATACCAATTTCATCTAAAACCTGAGATACAATGGCGTCTTGTTCTTCTTCATCTCCTGATTCTCCTAATATATCATCTAATGTATCATCAACTACAAATATAGTTAAAATTTAAACTATAACCTTGTATTTTGAGCGATGTACTGTACTTTTTTAGTACTTGATAAATAAATAGCCACCCAAGTCTAATCAACATTGTACCGCTTAAATTTTTCATTAGAGGCGCTCGATCGCTAACGCGATCTCGACCTCTAACGCGATCTCGACCTCTAATGATTTAAGCGGTATCAAATGGACAATAACAGTCCTCTAAATTCTAAACAGTCGGTGTTTATCTCCTAAATGTTATGTTTAACATTTCAAAAAATGGAACTTGAAAGTTTTTCAGGTTGAATTTGAATTTAAATTGGTCTGGCTTTACTGATCAAATAAATATTTATAAAACTATAAAATTACAAAATCAGCGGTTGAAGGCAAGATACGTCCAAATTTTGCAAGAGACAACAAACTAAAAAATAAATGCAATTTTTCGTACAAACTAGGGCCATAATCCAAAGAGTTATGGTCTAAAATGCATGAATATCGAAAGGGACTGAGATCTTTGGGATATAAAGATATATTTTAAGTTTCATCAAAATCGGACAAAAATTTCAGTTTGGTCGTGCAGTTTTGTTTCAATTTCCCCGAAATTTGAACTCAACCTTCATTATGGTGGAACGGTGATATATTTAAAATGTTTTTTAAAATCTGATAAAAAATTGTGTCCTCTAGAGGATCCACAAGCCAAAAATGTTATTTTGCATACAATCAGGGGTCAAACTCAATCATCATCAGGCCCAGGGTGTAACTATTTTTAAAATCTAGAGGGCCAACAAGCTCAAATTGCGATTTTTTTTCGTACAATCAAGGGCCATAATCCAGGAAGTTATTGTCCGTTACATGTATGTGCGAATATCGAAAGGAACCAAGATCTTTGGGATATAAACACATATTTTAAGTTTCATCAAAATTGGATAAAAATTGTGACCTCTAGATGGTCCATAACCTTGATATTACATATATTAACACCATTTGCGTATTGGGAGCCATCATAATGGTGTATCTGTGATATATTAAAACCATGAAGTTACAGTCCGATACATGCCAATATCAGATAAAAATTGTGACTCTAAAGGGTCCACAAACTGTGGATGGACGGACGGACTTCGGCGACGACAATATACGTCCACATGAAAATGTGGGCGTATAAAAAAAAGTATTCGAACATTTAATAATTCTACTCTTTAATGTTGCACTTACTCATTTCTTCGGTCATTCCCATTTTCATAGATTCTTTTTCAAACTCTTGCATAGTTTTCATTGTCTTCTGTGGATCCATTACTTTATTCATTTGAACCATTGTCTAAAAAAAAAAAAAAATATGTTACAGTGATTTTAGGTTAGTTTATATAGAAAGATCACTGGTAGTTAGAAATCATAGTTTTGTATATTTTATTTACAAATTCCAACTAAATCCCTTCTATATTCACTGTTAATTTACATGTAATCTCTGCATCAAAAGATCATTATAATAATATCAACTATGGTTTACCCCATAGTTGTGTTTATTTTAGGAACGGGATCCCGTTTGGTCATGTGATCGATCACGTGATCATACCGGAGGTAAATTGACTATGTTTGGGCAATAGCACGTTACGTGACATGACCGTATTTGGAAAATAAATGACGTAGTTCACACGTTGACTGTGACGTAATACAGACGACGTCTGCCCAGCCCCACTTTCACTGTTATCGTTTTTAAGAAGACCCAGTCAAATTTTTGCTTGATTTAACTCATCAATTTTCCCGCCCAAATCCCGCCCTCTTTTTGCCTTGCGATACTTTGTCGGGTTTTATTTTTCTCTTTTCAGGCTTGGTATGTTTAATGGTTATGAAAGCTTAATTGGTTATGTTCCTGTTTGATTCCTGATTGGTTATATGTTCATTATCTTTTCATCATTAGTATTGTTGGTCATTAGTATTTATGCTGTTATTTTAATGTTCAATTTGTAGCTGTTATTATTATTTTATTCTTTTCTTCAAATTATTATGTCGGCGGAATTCTATATTCTCTGAAGAGGTCGTAGAGATTTGGTTCATTTCTTAACTTGGTTTAACCAGTGAGAATTCATGAACATTTTCTACAATTTGGGTACTCTGGTTATACTATGGTTAAACCTAGATAATCTTATACATTTTACCCTCAAACCTCATGAAGATAGACCGCGGCCACAAAATTCCACATTAATTGATACTATCTATATTAATAAACTCAATTTCTGTCATATCATTAAGACTTGTGATTTGAATAGATCTCGTTCTCTTTAAATAATTATAATATAGTGGTAAAATATGATTTCTTTGAGAAATGAAATATTTGAATTCATTGGGGTAAATATTTTATACATTTTACCTTAGTTGTGGTTCCCATTGCATTGGCCATCTTCATATTTGAATGCATCAACTGGAAAAGAGATTTATGACAATATTTATAAAGATAGGTTGCCAGACAACAAAACATACGCCAACAGCAGCTAAATCGTCCGGGTGGTCGACAAGGGTTGATGCATATTTATTCTTTTGTAGGTAATTGGGGACATTTGCAAAACAATTTCATACAGATCAGATTATAATTTTTGTCATTTGAGGGTTCACAAGGTTCAACAAAGTGAAACAAGGGCCATAAAACTCTAGAATAATAAACGGAAATCGCTAAAATTCAATAGGATTCTTCTCTTTACTAATTTAAATGATGCATATAAATTTCCTACAGATAACTTTTGATGTTAGAGCGTTCACAAGGTGCAACAAAGTGAAACAAGGGTCATAACTCTAGAAGAAATAAACGAAAATTGGTGAAATTCAATAGGATTCTTCTTTTTACTAATTTAAATGACACATATAGATTGCATTTTCACGAAATTCGAACTCAACCATCATTAGGGTGATATATCTAAACGTTTTTTTTAAAACCGATAAAAATTGTGACATCGAGAGGGACCACAAGCTAAAAACGCAATTTTTCGTATAATCAGGGGTCATAATTTAGGAAGTTACGATCCGATAGAATAAATAAACGAACATTTTTGAAATTCATTGGGATTCTTCTTTTTACTAATTTAAATGACACATATAGATTGCATACAGATCGGCAAATAACTTTAGTTGTTATAGCGTTCACAAGGTGCAATAAAGTGAAACAAGGGCCATAACAATAGAAGTAATAAACGGATATTGCTGAAATTCAATAGGATTCTTTTTTTTACTAATTTAAATGACACATATAAATTTCATACAGATCGGCAGATAACTTTAGAAGTTATAGCGTTCACAAGGTGCAACAAAGTTAAACAAGGGCCATAATTCTAGAAGAAATTAAGGGAAATTGCTGAAATTTAATAGGCTTCTTCGTTTCACTAATTCAAATAAAGCATATAAATTTCACAAAGATCGGATGATAACTTTTGCCATTAGGAGGTCCAGAACCTTGATATACCAGATGTTTACACTATTTGCGTACAAGCGGTGGCCATTTTGTCTGACAGTTTTGGTCCGATTTTCACGAAATTTGAACTCAACCATCATTAGGGTGATATATCTAAACGTTTTTTTAAAATCGATAAAAATTGTGACCTCGAGAGGGACCACAAGCTAAAAACGCAATTTTTCGTACAATCAGGGGTCATAATTCAGGAAGTTACGATCCGATATGCGCGAATATTGACAGGACCCAACATCTTTCGGTTTAAACTTGGATTTCAAGTTTCATTAAAATCGAATCAAAATTGTGACCTCTAGCATGTCCAAAAGCTAAAGACGTGATTTTCTGTACAATCAGGGGCCATAATCCATTAAGCTATGGTCCGATACATGCCAATATCGAAGGGAACCAAGATCTTTGAGAAATATACCTATATTTCAAGTTTCGTCAAAATCAGATAAAATTGTGACCTGTAGAGTGTCCACAAACAAATTGTGGACGGACGGACGGGGGCGACGACAATATGTGTCCACATGAAAATGTGGGCGTATAATAAAATGAGATAATGGGTGTTTTTACAATCGTGTAAAGATACGGCAGATCAATTCTAAATGTAACAACATCACGACAATAAATCCAAGACTGGAAATAACTTTCAAATGTGTGTTTGACACCATGTCTGGCTGGATGAACATTCTATAAAAGGTTCTATGCTGAAATATCAAATCTCTGAAGCGTGGCATCGTATAAATTCCACAACAATGTATGTTTTATCTCGTAAGATTCCCTTGAATATATGTGACAAAACACATATGTAAATTTTAGTATTCGGTACCTACGTTAAATTTACTACGCATCTTTTCGATACATTGTTGAATCTTCAGTCATGGGGTTGAACCATGATGTCAAAAATATTTGATTGCCCAATGGACATGACCCTGTCAATATTTGCCTTCCCGTAATTTTTTCCTGATTATGACCCTGTATCCGTTGGGTGTTAAAATAGTTAGATTTTAATTTATAGAGCTATTCTCACTCGCCAACATTATCTTTAGGTCTTGGAATGGAATTTCGAGACTACGGCCATGGCCATAGAAGCAAGCCTGCGTGGTTGATTGACTAGACTGTGACATGTTTCAGATAAATAAGTGGTTGCCATGCAAGATACGCCCACATTTTGCTAGATATGGAGAGAGAATGGGCTAAAAAAATAATGTGATTTTTTTGTACAATCTGGGGCCATAATCCAGGAAGATGTGGTCCGATATGCGCAAATATCGACAGGAACCAAGATCTTTGGGTTATGAACATACATTTCATCAAAATTGGATAAAAATTGTGACCTCTAGCGGGTCCACAACCTTCGTATTACATACTTTTACACAATTTGCCTACAAAGAGTGGCCATTTTGTTGGGCAGTTTCATTTCAATTTTCCCAAATTTGAATTCAACCTTTATTATGGTGGAATGTTGATATAGTTAAACGGTTTATAAAATTGGAAAAAATTGTGACCTCTAGAGAATCCGCAAGCTAAAAATGCGATTTTCGAACAATCAGGTGAATTAATCCAGGAAGTTACGTTCAAATATGCGTGATTATCAAAAGGAACTAAGATCTTAGTGTGTAACGGTATATTCACACATTTTTTTTTTAAAATCAGATAAAAATAGTGTACAATCAAGGGCCATAATTCAGGAAGTTACGACTCGATATGTGCAAATATCAAAAGGAACCAAGATATGTGGGTTATAAACATGCATTTCAAGTTTCATCAAAATCGGATGAAAATTGTGACCTCTAGAAGGTCCACCAGGTGTTTACACTATTTGTGTGCGGGAGGGGGGCCATTTTGTCTGGCAGTTTTGGTCTGATTTTCATGAAATTCAAATCCAACCGACAATACGGTGTAACGTTTTATTTAAAATCAAATAATAATTGTGACCTCTAGAGGGACCACAAGCTAAAAATGTGATTTTTCGTACAATCAGGGGCCATAATTCAGGAAGTTACGATACGATATGCGCAAATATCGAAAGGAACCAAGACCTTTGGGTTATAGACATGCATTTCAAGTTTCATCAAAATCGGGTGAAAATTGTGACCCTTAGAGAGTCAACAACCTTGATATACCATATTTTTACACTATTAGCGTACAAGGTCTGGCAGTTTTGGTCCAATTTTCACGGTGATATATTCAAACGTTGTTTTAAATCAGATTAAAATCGTGTCCTCCATAGGCTCCACAAGCTAAAAAAAGTGATTTTCGTACAATCGGGGTCCACAATTCAGGAAGTTACGGTCTGATATGTGTGAATATCGAAAGGAACCAAGATCTTTGGGTTATAAACTTATATTTCAAATTTCAACAAAATCAGATAACCAGCGGCTGCCAGGCAGGATACACCCACATTTTCGAGAGATGGATAGAGAACAAGCTAACAAGAAAGTGATTTTTCCTACTATCAAGGGCCATAATTCAGGAAATTACGATTCAATATGCGCGAATATCGAAAGGAACTGAGATCTTTGTGTTATAAACTTACATTTCAAGTTTTAACAAAATCGGATTAAAATTGTGACCTCTATAGGGTCCACAACCTTGATATACCATATTTTTACGCTATTTGAGAACGAAGGGCGGCCATTTGGTCTATCAGTTTTAGTCCGATTTTCACGAAATTCAAAGTCAGCCGTCCTTAGGGTGTAACGGTGATATTCTAAACCTTTTTTTTAAATCGGATAAAAGTTATGACCTCTATAGGGTCTACAAACCCCGAATTTTTCGTACAATCAGGGGCCATAATTCATGAAGTTAAGGTCCGATATTAAAAGGAACTGAAATCTTTGTGTTATAAACTTACATTTCAAGTTTCAACAAAATCGGATAAAAATTGTGACCTCTATAGGCCACAACCTTGATATACCATATTTTTACGCTATTTGAGAACAAGGGCGGCCATTTTGTCTTTCAGTTTTAGGCCGATTTTCACGAAATTCTAACTCAGCTGTCCTTAGTGTGTAACGGTGATATTTTAAAACATTTTTTTTTAAATCGGATAAAAGTTATGACCTCTATAGGGTCCACAAGCCAAAAAATGTGATTTTTCGTACAATCAGGGGCCATTATTCAGGAAGTTACGGTCCGATTTGCGCGAATATCGAAAGGAACGGAAATCTTTTGGTTATAAAGTTACATTTCATGTTTCATCAAAATAGGATTAAAATTGTGAACTCTATAGGGTCCACAACCTTGATATACGCTATTTGAGAACGAAGGGCGGCCATTTTGTCTGTCAGTTTTGGACCAATTTTCACGTAATTCAAACTCGGCCATCCTTAGGGTGTATCGGTGATATAATAATACGTTTTTTTAAATCGGATAAAAATTATGACCTCTATAGGGTCCACAAGCTAAAAACGTGATTTTTCGTACAATCAGGGGCCATAATTCAGGAAGTTACGGTCCGATATGTGCAAACCGAGATCTTTGGGTTATAAATTTACATTTAAAGTTTCAACAAGATCGGATAAAAATTGTGACCTCTATAGGGTCCACAAGCTAAAAACGTGTGATTTTTTGTACAATCAGGGGCCATAATCCAGGAACCGAGATCTTAGGGAGATAAACCTATATTTCAATTTACGCTGAAATCGGATAAAAATTGTGACCTGTAGAGTGTCCACAGGGGCGACGACAATATACATCCACATGAAAAGGTGGGCGTATAAAAATTAATATTATGGATTAAAATGACTGTTATGTGCAGTTTTCGACTGTGGGCTGTGACATAGCCTACAAGTTATGGAATATGGAGCTACGATAGAAAGTAAAGTTAGAAATTCACGAAAGGTAGCAGTCTACCGTACTTTCATTTTCCGAAAATGGTGATAATCTGCCGATAAATTTTTCCTCAGACTGTTTGGAAGTTCCACCTGACAAGTAGCGGAATTCGAACAGACTTTGTCTGTGTCCAACAAGTTATTTCCAGGCACGGATAAATCATGAGAATGGTGTTTTCACCACAGATTAATCCTCTCAAACATAAAAAATTGAATTCGACAGAATAGGAATGCTCAAAAGCATTTGGATGCCATGACACTACAATCCTAACACTGGCATACTATTTCCAGTAGACAGGTCAACAAAGAGATTGGCCAAGGTCTGCAAGACAACGTGTGGCCACTTCAGTATGAGGGATCCACATGGGTTCATCAGTGCTCACACTGTAGCCCACAATGCTCTACCAGAGAAAGTCACACACATTACTGAATTGATTTTTACCCTTTTTGTCTTCGTTTTATTGTTAGCAATGTTGTTATGGTTTCCATGAGTTGTAGCTGATTTTATTATGTTAAAAATCACGTATCCGCTGCATTATTTCTCACCAGTGCTTTCAGTCAAAATCAGTGTTTCAGTATATTAAATATCTAAGATATGCTTTACTCCTAATATATATAAAATAATTATACTTACTTTCTGTTGATTCCCAATGGCTCCAATTTTCGAATTCACAGCATAGGTTTTAGTCTTTTGTTTACGTAATGCTACTAATTGTTTAGCTAATATAGTTGCTGCCTGCAAGTAAAATATAACCTTAAATGTCACTGAAATACCCAGTGAACTATTAGACTCTGTGTGCTGCTCCTACTTGTTACAATGTATAGGTGGTAGTACCAAAATGAAAGCAACAGGTATAAACATTTTATAATTATGTGTATCATATACCTGGTATGTATTTCTTAATGAAACATTATTTTCAAAATTTATTTGAGAATAATCTGTAGAGAATTAACAGAGATCAACACATTTTTGGAAAAGGATATTCTATAACCATTTGTGATCCACTAGCTAGGATGTGATACTGTACGTTGGGTGATAGCATTATTCCAACTCGTACTCATTATGTTGGAATGTGAATGTATAGTTAGTTTACTCATGCATTTTAATGGTACTACTCCTAATTAGAATTTCCTTTTCAGATGGTATATCTCTCTCCTGTTATCTATTTGCCTAAATACTATTTCATGATGATATCGGGAGGGGGGTGTAACGGTACCAATGTTAATACATCTACATTTCTTATTTAGGTTTAACTAATTAGTTTCTAATTATGAACCAGTCATTTTCGTTGAAAAGGGATTCAAAGCGAAAACCACGTCCCCCAGGAATAATAGATATCTTTACTAACTTTATACATGTATTAAAGATAGGTTGCCAGGCAACGAAACATACGCCCACAGCAGCTAAATCGTCCGGGCAGTCAACAAGTGTTGTCGCATGTTTTTACTTCTTTCGGTAATGAAACATTTATAATACACTAAAATAATTAAGTAATTATCAGAAAATCATTAGAATTTGTTTGGTTTTTATAAAGTTCTGCCCCATGCGTTTAGTATACAAGACTTTTAATATCATGGATTTAGCTGTTCAAGTCATAAAAATTCATTGAAAATCAATATACTTGTTCATCTCAAGCTCTTAAACTCTGTGTATCAATCTGAAGTCAATCGGATGATAACTTTAGCCTCTAGAGCGTCACAAGATTTTTCAAAGTGATCAAGGGCCATAACTGGGACAGTAATTATCGAAAATCACTGAAAATGAATAGACTTCTTTGTCTCATGACCTTAAACACTGAGTATAATTTTAAAGTCCATCGGATATTGACTTTAGCCTCTAGAGCGTCCACAAGATTTTTCAAAGTGATCAAGGGCCATAACTCTGGCAGTAAATATCGAAAATCACTGAAAATGAAGAGACTTCATCTCATGACCCTAAACACTGTGTATAAATTTAAAGTCAATCGGATATTAACTTAAGCCTTTAGAGTGTCCAAAAGATTTTTCAAGTGATCAAGGGCCATAACTCTGGCAGTAATTAATTGAAATCGCTGAAAATCAATAGGATTCTTCATCTCATGACCTAAAGCACTGTGTATAAATTTAAAGTGATCAAGGGCCATAACTCTGGCAGTAATTATCGGAAATCGCTGAAAATCAATAGGCTTTTTCGTTTCATGGCCTTAAACACTGTAAATAAATTTAAAGTCAATCGGACATTAACTTTAGCCTCTCGAGCGTCCACAAGCAATTGTGGATGCCAGACCGGCGGGGGCGACGACAATATACGACCACATTTCAATGTGGGCGTATAAAAACTTACTTGCTTATTTCCTTGTTTAGCTGCCTTTTTTATTTCCATTTCCTAAAAACAAAATTTCACAAAAACATTACCATGACTGACACATTAAAATATACTGGTAGACCAATGCTTATTTTGGAACCACATGCAAGCTGATACATATTTACATAAAACATTGGATTTTGTTTGCTAATATTGTACATTTACAAGTCTAGTTAAAAGATTATATACTGTAGCAAGTGCACACTGAGATAAATCTCAAGCTTCGGCTATAATATTGAGGTGAGTGTATTATTTTGGACTAGGCTTTGACTTACTATTTTTTTCTCTTCTTTCTCCAGTTTACCTCGATCTCTATCTACATCTCGCTGTTGTTTCTTCATAACTCTTTCATTTTGACGTAATTGTTCTTTGAATAAAATAAACAGTTCAATTAAATAAATGTTTCCTGTATCTATACTAATATTTGTGACTGTCGTTTGTCTGTTTGTCTGTCTGTTCGGGGTTGGCGGCTACACTAGGTCTGTCCCGAGTCTGAAATTTGGGGAATAGGGGTAGGTCAGCCCGGGGAGTAACATAGGCCAGGTGGCGTTAGTCTACCACTTCCAGCTTCGGGGTTATGACCCCCGAGCGAAGCCGGGCATTCTTCTAGTGCATTAATAAAGCCTACATGTAAAATCAACTCACTTATACACAGCATTATTTTTAATGATAAATACTGATAAAACAAGCCAAAAGTGAGGCTGATGTCCCCCGCCGAAATCCCCAAATAAATAGATGACACATATTAATTAATCGCACATCTATTTTTTTCAAAAGTTTTGAGCAATCAAACTGATTATCAACTATACACTAAGTTTCATCACTCTCTATCAGATAGAATCCAAGTTATCTTGTCCCAAAGCATCGTCCAAGGAAATTGCTTATCTCTGCTTAGCTTTAGCTTGATATGTTAATCATTGAATTCGGTCAAGACCAACATCAAGTTAGAAGCAGAGTTGCTATGTTCCAAAGTCTTGACCAATCAAAATGCTTATTGCTCCTTAGCCTAAGCAGACAATTCTCATCACCGAACTTAGGCAAGGTATTGATGTAATGAAACTATACACCAAGTTTCATCACTCTCACTTAATTAGAACTAAAGTTATCATGTCCCAAAGCATCAACCAATCAAATTGCTTATCTCTACGTACCCTAAGCAGAAAATGCTCATCTTCATACTCCATCAAGGCATTGACCTAATAAACACCTACGCCAAGTTTGAACATTCTAGCTCAATTAGAAGGAGAGTTATTGTGTTCCAAAGTCTCGGCCAATCAAATTGCTTATCGTTCTGCTTACCCTCAGAAGAAAATGCTCAATATCGAACTTAGTCAAGGTATTGATGTAATGAAACTATACACCAAGTTTCATCACTTTCACTTAATTGGAACTAAAGTTATCGTGTCCCAAAGCATCAACCAATCAAATTGCTTATCTCTACTTACCCTAAGCAGAAAATGCTCATCTTCATACTCCATCAAGGCATTGACCTAATAAACACCTATGCCAAGTTTGAACATTTTACCTCAATTAGAAGGAGAGTTATTGTGTTCCAAAGTCTCGGCCAATCAAATTGCTTATCGCTCTGCTTACCCTGAGCAGAAAATGCTCATTATCGAACTTAGTCAAGGTATTGATGTAATGAAACTATACACCAAGTTTCATCACTCTCACTTAATTAGAACTAAAGTTATCGTGTCCCAAAGCATCAACCAATCAAATCGCTTATCTCTGCTTACCCTAAGCAGAAAATGCTCATCTTCGAACTCCATCAAGGCATAGACCTAATAAACACCTACACCAAGTTTGAACATTCTAGGTCAATTAGAAGGAGAGTTATTGTATCCCAAAAAGTGTGACAGACGGACGGACAGACAGACGGACGAACCCATTTTAATAGTCCCCTGCTTTCTTCGAAAGGCGGGGGACAAAAAGATGAACAAAAAAAATTGACAACAAGCATCCTGTTTTTATGGAAGAAACCCTCTTGGTTACACATATGATGAGACACAAATATCACACCAATAATTTGATTTGAAGTGTTGGTGAAACCTAACGCAGCTAAAATGTGATTTTTGATATGATTGTCGGCTGGACATTTACCGACAGAAGAATATCATCAAAAACTCACTTTAACAATCACTAATCAATTATCGTCAATAATCACAACTCAGTTAGCAGAATGGGTTCAATAATCAACACCAGATTAAATATTTTTCAATCGTTTTTTAAACTGCTTTAACAATCGTCGATCAATTATCGTCAATATAATCACAACTCACTCGGCAGAATGGGTTCAATAATCAACCTCGTTGTCAGGTCAGTCATAGATTACAAAACAGCAAAGGAAATAACATTACGAAGATTTTAATAACAAATATTAATATACATTGAAAACATGTGCTGATCAATATATACAGTATGATGGACAAATCACCATTCTTATACAGTATTATCACAAATCACATATTATACATGTATATATACTTTGGAGATGAATTCGAAAAAGAATTCAAACGAAATTGGAAAAGATCCTTGGATGACTGTTTTATATTGTGGACTCAAGATAATGATTCCTTGAAAGACCTACATAATAAACTTCGAAACTTACATCCAAGTTTATCATTTACAATGAAAGATAGCAATGAAAAGTTACCATTCTTAGATGTAATGGTAACTATAAAGTCAGGACAAATATTAGAAACTGATATCTACTATAAACCTACAGATTTCAAACAGTACTTAGACTACAGATCCTGCCATCCACGCCATATTAAAAATAGCATTCCATATTCACTAGCCCATAGAATATGTACCATAGTATCAGACCCCACATGTTCACACATTTTGGAGGTAAATTCATTCACCTTCAGGAATAACTCAAAATTCATAATAATGGAAAATATGTCTTGCGCCTCTAGAAACCTAATATATGTAATAACGTGCTGGTTGTGGCGAAGAATATATTGGTCAAACGGGGGATGTATTGAGAGCAAGAGTCCGAGTACATAAACAACAAATTAAAACCCCATATTATAGATGTATAACCCTTAGCGCACATATGAGCTGAGGAAAATCAAAGAACGATTCTTTATTGAAGGATATACCCCTAAATTAAATTGTAACTAACATGAAATCATGTTGACGTCACATTTACTGCGTATGACGCCATGAATCACGTCCCTTGTCATTGTTAATGCTATACCATTAGCAACACAATGTATAAGTTACCCTGATGATCCCTATGTTGTGAAACCAGTTGGTAATGAATTTATATGAAAACCAATCTTCAGTTTGTTATTTTTAAAGAATATTGAAGACATAAACCATGAACATTTAACTTTTACATATATATATATATATATATATATATGTTGCTTTTTTCCGCATATTATTCAAGTGTGTAATTTGAACGCAACTTAATTTCCAGCGCGACTTGCTTAACCAGACTGATATTTTAATCTTGACGAAATAACTAGCCCATCCTCATTTTCTTTTGCACATTACGACGGTTATCCAAATCGCCAACAAATAACCCTGTTGTTCACTGCCATCCTTTATCGTTTAAAAACATTTCCCGTAATTCGAGAATATTAATAAATAATTAATCATTTATTCAAGATGTAGTGACGATTTAACAGAAAAGTCACAATTTAACTGATACTAATCAGAAATTTATATAGTTGATGATTTCACGCTCTACTGACGCAGATCAAAGATAACTGGCGGTTCTACCCAGATAGTGGATGATAGTCTAAATGGTGACGTTTTGTTAATAAGTCACGCGTTTGCCAATTTCTCCCGTACAGCGAGAATTTTCGTTTACGGTAAAATTCCATTCCTAAATTTGGAATATTGGCTGAGTGTTAGTTTGAACATGGCGGCCCAATTCAAATGAAAGTTGTTTATGTTTTTGTATCGCGTAATTCTACATGAAAATGGTGTTGGATTTTTATAAATTTGGGTTGGATGTGACAAGAAATGATTCCTTGGCTTTTGGCGACCAAAGAAGAATCACAGTGAAAAATAGATGGTAAGGGTTCCAAAATAGCCTTAGAACCGAGATGGGGAAAAGCCTTTTTCATACTAGTTGTCATTAGGAGCTGACAGTAACGTAGTAGAGAGCAGAGCCGATACAATTTACGTTACTAAAGTAACTAGGTTGAGAGATGAGGTTTGTTATCTAGTTAACACACTGTATATTCGTAAGGACAAGCAAAAAATAAAATAGAATCATGTGATGCTGATTACAATAACATCACTATTATAATCCAGTAAAGGCAGTATTCTCCACAGCTTTTACTTTTTGTGTCACTTTTTACTTACGTTCTACGGTCGGTTTCTTCGAGAAAAACCCTGACATCTTGAAAATATGAATATCTTATAATTCGCCCCAAACTCCGTTTAAAATATTTAAGTATCTGATGTATTTTCAAATAAATAAAAAGCAATCAAAAAGTGACTAATTTCGCAATGATCTTGAACAATATTTCACCTAGCCGGAAGTAATCATTTCGTGAGTAACCCCATCTAGGAAAATAAAGGAAAGGCCGACAACTCCCATTTATAACACTCGATTATCTAGTATTTAATTCAAACCCCCTGCTTTAATCATTTTAAAGGACAATATTGGTGTCAGTCATTATAAAATATGTGATAGAGCTCGTTAAATACATTCCAAATATAATTTTAACACAGAGATCATTGCTACGGGAGATGTCTAACAAGCACGTAAAGAAACGGGAAGTGACGTCAAACATGAAAAACATGAGTTGTCCTTCTATATGCTTGACTGAAGTAACGAGCGGTAACAGACAAACGATCGAATTTCATTTCACTGATAATTCCGTTGAAGATGAAAAGTTGTTATATCCGACGATGAGAGGATATCTGACAATTCAAAAAAAGAATTGGCTGTCAGTAGATAAAAGATAACGAACAAATTAGAAAAAGTCCGTGTATACTATGTTTTTATTAACAGCAGAATGAATAAAAACGGGGGAATGCACGGGATTTTTCTACTTTTTCTCGTGTCCCTTATCTAGTGACAGCCAATTCTATTTTTGAATTGTGAGATACTCTCTCACCGTCCCATATAATAACTTTTCAACTTCAACGGAATTATCAGTGAAATGAAATTCGATCGTTTGTCTGTAATTACCGCTCGTTACTTCAGTCTGTTATACAGAAGGACAACTCGTGTTTGTCATGTTTGGCGTTACTTCCCGTTTCTTCACGTGTTTGTTACACGTCTCCCGTAGCAATGATCTCTGTGTTAAAATTATATTTGGAATGTATTTAACCAGTTCTATCACATATGTAATAATGACTGACATCGATATTGTCCTTTAATCATAAAACTATTTAAATATTTATATTCTATCATTTTAATAATGGTAAGTGCCAGAGGAATGCACCACCAATGGCACATCCAGGGGGTGGCGTATTCAGATGCCCCCCCCCCCCCGCCAGGCCGCTACAATCACTGATAAGGATGACATCGATGCGACTTAATGAGCCAGAAATATTAACTTTTTTCCTGCGACAAATTAAATACTAAAACATTTTTTTTATGTATTGGAAAAATAAATAAAGGCGTTTGACGTATTTGTAGATAAAAATTATTTCCTATTTAGTGTAAATGGGTATTAAAATGACTAAAAGTTAGTAAAAGGCAGCATTCCGCCCGAAGCAGTAATGTCTTATGTAAACAATGCACGCGCCATTCAGCCAATGATTGACGCGGCGTGCTGTGACGGCACTTAAGGCAGTCATCGTTGACAGAGATATTACTCTAGACTCGTAATTCTCTGTGAACCAGATTGAGGTAGCCTAGCTAGGAAATGATATGAAATGGGGTTTAACGTCCTACTGTTCTGCTCCTAAACTGGGCTAATGAAGACATGCATGCGCCATACAGTGTGCTATGACTATGAGGGAAATTTAGCCCGGGCAGCGGCTCTACGGCCTACTCTTATATGTCGAATTCCAACTACCAAGGGATCTTTTACGTGCACGCCAATGTGTACACGGGACCTCGGGTTTTCGGCCCACTCGAACGACTAGACAGCTGTCCTTGTCAGGCCCCCGTCCTGCATCACTGACAAGGGGAAACCACGCTGGAAAATCTGGATGAACTTTCTCGGCCAATAGAGGGATTGAACACCCGACCTCCAGGTTAGCGAGCCAGCGTCTTACCCACTTAGCCACGTGACGTGATCCTTAGCCTAGCTAGGCCTAGGCTATAAAAACGTTGAGATTGGAGCATTTCGGTGATGATTGTGTGGAGTGTTGCATCCTACAAATATAGCTGATGAATTTTCAAAATTGAGTTTTCAAAAATAAATATTTATCTACTTCCGGTGGTGTGAGACGGTTCCTGATTAGATAACAATTCTTACCTCTCAACCCTCCGTGTTTCGAGATAAGAGATGATGCCATTAACTCCAACGTAGCACATGCGGGAGCGATTCGCACCCGGCATTTGTAAACAAAATTGACAATATTTGTAATCAAAACAACGATTGATTATTGTTATTTATAATATTTCTGCCACATCCAACTACAATTTAGCATATAATCCTACCTGAAACGGGTACAAATCGTCGTTTTTAAAATCAAGGCGTTAAGCCGTTACTAAGACCGCCATCATTTTAAACGATACGCTGTCATCATGAAGACGGGGCTAAATATAAGGCTTTTATAACAGCCAATCAAAAGGGCAATCTAAAGCAGTTTAACCAGGGGCGGATCTAGGAATTTTGAAAAGGGGGGGGGGGGGCGCCGCAAAATGAGGGCACTGACCGCGGAGACGGGGCACGCCGCTGAGAGGGGTTTTTGGGAGGAGGGGCATAGGCGTACGAGCTGGGGGGCCGCCCCCCCCCCCATTTTGGGCACCAAATGCTGGGAAAATTTGGGCACACAATTGTACTTTGTAAAAGTTGTATAAAAAAAATATTGCGTTCTTGAATGTGTCCAATTTAACAGCGAATTTATTATTATGTAACATACTAAGAACCTAACTACATTTTTGGGGCACCAACCTCCACCCCCCCCCCCCCCAGTCAAAAATTTCCCCGTAGGCCTATGAGGAGGGGGGCGGGGCCAAGAAAATTATCCGTCATTTCCTTGCATCTGTAGCAATTCCAAGAGCTATTTGGCTGATATTTTCGTCCGAGTAAACGTTCGGAAATCGTTGAAAAAGAGCCTTAAAATCGAGCAAAAAAAGTCAGTTGAACATGCGACTCGAAAATTGTCAAGGCGAGCGAGGCATTATGATGGGGAAAAAGACGAATCTATGCCCTAGCCACTTCACTATTTAAGCCTCGTAACTTGTACTGTATACTGTCCACACATGAAACAGTGTTACATCAAGATGCACTCATGCGCGTCAGTGATGGACATGAGTGTATACGCCGCCGATTCTACAAAATGCTATCATTGATGTCTGTCTATAGTCACTCTATACAACAAGAATTTGTTTGAAAGTGGAAGCATTAATCAGACCAGACTGGTGTGTTGGAGTCGATGGTTTGAGTCATTTGGGATCCCTGCAACGGGTTTGGAACGGACATATTTGGGGATGAGAAAAGACACTTTCAGCAGTAAAAAAGGGCACTGTCGAAAATTAGGGCGGGGGGGGGGCGCCCTCGCCCCCCCCCCCCCCCCCTTGGATCCGCCTCTGTTTTAACTACGAATGGATTTCGATGGCGGTGAATGTCAGACAAAAACAACGCTTCATTAATTTAAACGCGAATATTTGGAGTTAGGTGACATTTGTGCCACTACATTGTCCTCTGTAAGTTTAATTAATCATAATAGCATAAACTCATCTTATTTTAAAGATGTAACATGCATTAATAAAGAAATTGAGTTTGCCACTTTGAACTAAAAGCATCCAATCGTAGCTAAAATCAAACACATCAGTATATCTCAACGTTCTCGTAGCTAGTTCCTGATCAGTGATCAGTTCAGGAAAAGGTATTACGCATTGTATTTGCATGGACCTTATTATAACTTTTAAGGTCTATGGTATTTGGTTAAAGTTGTCATTAATAAACATACTTATTATGGTGTGTGTGTGTGTGAGTTAGTTGTATTTTATGTCCGCTTCCACCGAGGTGATATCGCAGACAATAACATGTTATGTATACATGGTGCAATAATTTACAATGTGATTAGTGAAATAAAGGATTAAAGATTTGTCCGGTTGAATGGTAGGGCGATGCACATCTTCCTTGGGGTTTGTTGGTGAGTGTGGGGCCTGGACCATTCTTCCTTTCATTTCATCTTCTAGTCCGGTATGGTGGTAGGTTTCATCTTTGATTCTGTTTGTTCTTTCCTTTTATTATTGGTTCTCTGAAGGAAGAATCCAGCACCTGAAAAGAAAGAGGAGAGAGAAAGAGGGTATCTGATCTTACAGCTGTTCTTGTTTTGATTTGTCTAGTAAGGCTTCGGGGAGAGGGGGGTGGTCTGCGGAAAGAGAGAGAGGGATAGAGAGAGTGTTGCTTATGGCAGTACGTTCTTTGAAAGATGAATATGTTAGTAGCTGTTAGTGGCATTACAATTTACATACATGAATATATGAATCGATCTACAATCAATGTTTATTTATTTTAAATAAGATTAAAAAAAAATAGAAAAAGTGATAAAATAAAATATAACTGAAAAATAATTGATATTATTTGGATAGGGTGTGTTACGTTTCCCTCTGTGGGGACATTTTTACATTTTAACCCTGTCGCGTTGTTTTAGTAGTGCAAGGCGGTTGGCGTTTCTCTCTAGGAGACAATTTTAACGCCTCGCCTTGCTATATGTTTTTAAATTTATTAGTTCATTTATTTAGTTTGGTTTAGTAGTGCAAGGTGGTTGGCGTTACCCTCTAGGGAACCTTTCTGCGCGCCACCTTGCTGTTGGTTCGTTACCTAGCTTTTGTTTTCGAATTTTTATATGAATTTTTTCATACCTATACATTCTATGAAGTCCCAGATAAGCTGGGAGGTCCAGTATCTTTCATCTGGATGTGAGGAAAGGAGAGAATTGAGACAAAAGGTTCTGCCTCTCTTTGTTAGATTGTTAATCATTGATTGTCGTTTGTTAGCTGATTGAAATCTATTAGTAAATGAGAGGCGGTTGCAATACGTCCACACGGGCATTTGATTGGTGTATAGGTGTAGTCTTTGACTACCTCTTTTGTTTTGAGCCTCGTGATGAGCTTTCATTTTGACTGAAGGATGATTGATGTAAACCTTGTCTACACGATTCAAGGAACATACAAGATTGCTATCTATAGCGATGGGTGTTTTCTTGTTTAGACGCGATTTCCATGTACTTTTTATCTTCTCTTTTGCTAAGTTTGCAAATTCCTGACTGCTATATTCTAAATTTTCTAGTTCGTTTAGTGACAACCCCTCCTTGGCTAGTTTGTCGGCTTGTTCGTTGCCGAAAATGTTGACGTGGGAAGGGATCCATGCAAGGATTACTTCCCTTCCAGTACTCTTAATTTTCTGATTAAGGTCCCTAACTTGATGGATTATGTCCTGTCCGCTTTTGAACTAGTTTGATTCTATGGATTTGATGCTGCTCAAGGGGCCAGACAAGATTACGGCTTTTTGGTGTGTTTGCGTAGCTAGCCATTCCATTGCAGTTTTAATGGCCATCAGTTCGGCGGTGTACATAGAACAATGTTCTGGTAGCCTTTCCCTGATATTTAGCTTTGCTTTGGGTATGTATAAGCCGTACCCTGTTGCTCCCTGTGTAGTGTTTTTGGATCCATCTGTGTAGATTTTGAGATGATCCGTCTATTTGGTGTCTATTAATTCTACTGCTAGTGCTCTAGCCTCTATGGGATTGGCGCGTCAGCTTGTGACGTCACATAAGTGCGTGTTAATGATTGGGTCGCTTAATTGCCAAGGTGGTGTGTCGGGGAAGGTTTTTGTCTCGATAATCGTTCGTTTTAAATTGTGCTTATTTAGGATGTTGTTTGACATTTGCCCAAATGTCATGGGCCTAGTTTTTTTCCAGCAGCCTATCCGTTGAAATTGTTTGAGACACTTATATGTTGGGCATCTTTCTTTTAGCATTTGTAGTTTACCCCAATACTTGATTGAGAGTTCTTCGCGCCCGAGATCAAGCGGGAACTCTCACAGCTCGTGTAGTGGGGCAGCTGCTTTGGTCCCTATAGCTGCTCTGGATTCTAGTCTTATCGCTTTACCTTGTATTATAGCTTACTATGTTGACTGTCACTTGCGTTTGCATACGTCAGATCGTTACACTTTTTGATAATTAACTATTTTGCAGATTGAATACTGGCCTGTATGATTGGGATTTTTCTGTGTCATTGTTATTTTAATTTTGTACTTCTTATTAAAATTTTTACAACTTCACAATATAGCCTATCTGTTTTATTACTCATATTAGGGGATCCAGGCTCAAAAATTATCGAAATGTAAGCGAAATGACCGTTTATGTCACGCGACCGGGGATTTTCCATCAAAACGAATTGCTAAGGCTCGATCACTCTATTGGTGAATCCGCGTCTTTTGTATTTCTACTTTTTATCGAAATAAACAAGAAAAACTCGACACCTTCTCATGATATAGCAATTCTGTAAATATTGATAGATAATAGTGTAGAAACCGATTTGACCGTAAGAAAATCTTAGGGGAAATCCTATCACGGGTAGTCAATGTACACCCTGTCCATAGCGGTGTGAGCTGACTCCCATAACTGCGCATGCGCTAAACTGTAATCACACACCAGGAACCATCTCGCACTGTCACACCGGCACCCCGACAATTTCAACAGACATACGACATTTTCACCCGACATTAAAAATGTCGTAATGTCGCGTAAAAATGTCGTATTTTCGGGTTAAAATGTCGTAATGTCGAGTTGTCGGCCATTTTCCTCTCAATACTATGATTATGTACACTGATCCTGGTGTTGGTCAAGAAAGTTCCCCGGGATTTTGCAGCGCGGTTTCTCCATGTCGTAGTGCAGGACAAAGGGCGTGACAAAGAAAAGTGGCTAGTATTGTAGATGGGACAAAAAAAAAAAAAAAAAAAAAAAAAATTAAAAACAAACAAGTTACTGTGTACACTTTGGCGTGCACATAAAAGAATCCTTCACAGTTGAAATTTGATGAAGAAATGCCACGGTCCATTGAAAATTTCCGTCACATCACTCTGCATAAGGCGACAACCTGACATCACGACATTTTAGCCAGACACTACAATGTCGCGTAAAAATGTCGTGATGTCGGGTTGTAATGTCGTGATGCCGGGTTGCGTGGTGTCGTGATGTCGGGTTGTCGCGGTGTCGGGTTATCGGCCTTATTCCTCTCAATACTATGATTATGTTCCCTGGGATTTTGCAGCGCGGTTTCTCCCGTACTTAACTAACGTACGAAAATTAATTGGTGGCTAGCTTTTTTTTCGCACGTATACAGTGAATGGCCATTTTGCTCAGTAATCCCAGCCAGAATTTGGCTATTTTCTAAATTTGCGTTAAAGTTTAAAATATTTGTTTTAGAACTGAAATAAATTAACTATTAGTCAATCCCAACGCAAAAAACATCAACACAATTGATTGTGTATATCTGAAATAGACACGACCGACGCACAAAATAGCGCCAACCATTCGCAGACGCTGTCATTGAAGACAACGTAAATTCTATGAGTTGTAGATGTTTATATTTTTGTGAAAAATCATTGGACGAAAAGAGAACACGTTGGGACTGTACGAATTATATAGTCTTTATGGGTGCAAAGGACACAATGCTGAAGATAAACAATTTAACGTGTTGTTGACCTCATGACCTGTGATGTGTAGATCACGTGATATGGATATCATGGCTATTGACTGTGTCTGAGATACTTCTCCGCAGGTAGCGTGTCTCAGATGTTCAGAATGGGTTTCTCCATGTCGGTAGTGCAGGACAAAAGGTGGCCTTGTAAAGAACAATGTCTGGTATTGCACATAGGACAAAAAAAACCTCCTGTCTACACCACGACAACCCTACATCACGACATTTTAGTCCGACAATACTACATTTTTACGCGACATTACGACATTTTTAACAAGGTCATTTCGGGACTAACACATGGTTCAATTTTATTTCAATAATTCGCTTGCGCGTAGGGGTCTTTAGCAGTGGGAGGACCCGGAGAAAACCCACGAGGTTAGACAGGCGACCCTATATCTTGTCACGTACAACCGGGGAATCCGTCATAATTGAAATAGATAATTTGGTGGTTGATTTCCAAGTAACACTTGACTTGGTGTATAACTTTAATAAGGTTATCGGATATAAACTCAACGACACACTTTAAATTGCATTGCGTGTATAATCAAATGGACGGGATTTTATGAATGAGTAATTGTTGAAGATCCGTGTGGCTTGATAAAGACACGGCCAATCAGTATCACCGTTATAAATAGCTTGAATTAACAAGGCATATATACCAGGACAGTCATATTTCAATTCATATATCTTGGAAAATTACAGTGCAAATTGCTTAATCTACTTAAGTTTAAATAATCTCTATAAAGTGAACAAATTACCATGTTTAAGTGTTTAAGAAGACAAGGTAGGAAATTTATTTATTTTCTACAAAATATAACAGGACAAGATGTCACGGCATTTCCTTTTTATTTTGTACTATTTTGTTCCTAATGTTTTTTTTTAAATAAGATTCTACTCAACTTTCTCTAAAAGCTTTTAAAACATTTCAGATAGTACACATGGGTGTGTAAATAGAAAGAAGATAATATTGGTAGGAGATGAAAAATGTGGTAAAACGTGTCTTCTCCAGCGATTTTCTCGGGGTACTTTCTCTGAGGCGTGTTACATGCCAACCTTATTTGAAGTAGAAACCATACCAGTAGAGCACGAAAACAAACAGGTATTTCATTGGCCGTTATATTGATAACTTAATGATGTGTACGTTTGTAAGGAATTTGACTGAATCATTGACCTGTGTCCGCTCCTAATATAAATTCGGTGACCACCCGGAAGCTCTCCAATAGATATATATATACGCATTTCCCTTCAGGAAAGGAATATACTTGATGAACCGTCTTCAACATTGTTCCAGGATTGTTACCAGATTTCTTCAGATTGAAGGCAAAGAGCTCATTAAGATCTAAAACCCTATTCTCAATGCAGTTAAAGAAAGTCAATATTCCAAGATTTCGTCAGATTTAAGACCAAAAGACAATCGAGACCCCAAAGGTTATTGACGGAATCAGTTATCAATGCATCATATGTTTTGTGGTGGAATCGGGCAACATCCCAAACTTAGGCTGCCTATCTACAGCTAGCTCCGGCTGAGAATAGGCCCTAAGCTAATTAACCGACATTTAAATTCCTACATCGACGATTTTAGTCGAAAACACTGAGTATGCTTTTAGAAAATTTTAAAAGTATTTATTTCTCTTCTATTGTCATATTGAATGAAATTAAATATGTTTATTTAGCCGCTGTGTGTATGAAAGATGTCAAACTAATCAAAGCCGAATCACAAAATAGTCCTCTAATTATTCAATATGGCGGCGCCCATGAAACATAATTTCACAGAGGCGGTTTTGTTTGCGAAAACAAATTTAGGAGTATCTAACCTTGTTTTGAAAGATAAACAGATTGAAACTCTAAAGACAGTTTACAATGGTAAAGAGTTTATTACAATATTACCCATAGCACATATTATATATCGCTTTTACGCGAGTGTCAGCGACATGCCGTGTTTACATAAAACACACGTGCGTGGGTTATTTTTACTTTGTTGTCCAAACAAAGTGGTGTCGAATCGATAAGTCCCGCCCCAAAATGATCACATGATCGTTTTAAATGGCGGATAATCAGTGCAGTGTCACATTCTGGGAAGTATGACGTAGATGGGTCGCTGCGTGCAGTATGATCGGGCAAGTCATATAGGGCTAACAAGAAAACATCGTATCTTTGTGTTTGGAAAAACCATCCGTGAACTGAAATATTTTTAGCCTACGGAGGAATTGTATATTCGTTTTGTTTATTTTAGGTGGAGTTAGTTTTGTGTGATACAGCGGGTCAAAGCGATTATAGTCGATTGAGACCAGTTTCCTACCCTGGAAGCGATGTCGTCATCATCTGTTTCTCATTGGACCATTCTGACAGTCTTGAAAATGTAGAATCAATATGGTGGCCGGAAATATGTCATTTCTGCGAAGGTGTCCCGATATTGCTTGTTGGAACTAAAAAAGATTTACGAGACAAGCATATCCCCAGGAATAGCGATTCAATGGTTGATAGTATTGATGAATTAATAGAAAAAGGTGACCTGTGTGTAAAATCGGAAAAAGGACAAGCTATAGCAGACAAGATTGGCGCTGTTGGATATTTAGAATGTTCGGCAAAACTAAATGATGGAGTGGAGACAATTTTTAGGGAAGTCACTCGAGTAGCCCTGACAATGAAACGAAAGAAAAAGCGAGGTTGGTAAACCTAACTCCAGAAATTATGGTTGAGTATTTTTTGTTAAAAGCAACAGCTCGTCTAAAAAGCAACAGCTCGTCTAATTGTTGGTCGACAAAAAATAAGACAAAGCCTGGTTAAAAACGTTATTTGCAATATCTTTTGTGTTAGGATTTGATTACGCCATTATTACGTGATATTGTGAAGATCGTGAACACTGAGAAATGGGTTAGTTATAAATATTAAATTAATGATATAGTAATATGTGAGTGTTATATTGAAGTATGTCATACGTTTACTTAGTCATTGAATGTGATGTGATGTGAAGGGCTATTGCGAGTATCTGATAAGTGCTCTATTCGCATAAATCTCTTGTAAAACACCATCCTAATCATGAACAGGAAGCATGCTAAATTTATATTGCGACATATTGTGACTGTTATGTTCTTCACTTGTGTCTGAAGAATACCCGACTTAAGATATCCCTACATTGGATTAGATTTGAGTCATGTCTGAATGATTTTGTATTTATCAGTCGCCAAAGATATGTTTTGTTATTGTTTTATTTGTTATAAACTGTATAAAACACAGGGCCACGATTGCCACAGAACGAAGTTTAGTACACTACATTCTTTGTTTTAAAAGGATGTAATTGTTGTTAATATACGGTAGATTTAACTTTTGATTATTCATGTATTTTTCTTAAAGATACATTATGTAAGATTTAGATAAAGAGCTAGTCATTCTGGCTATAATAGTTCGAAAATAGATAATGTAAAATGAATAATTTGAAAAAAATTAATTCAAATTACTCTATTGAGAGCGAGGATATTAGCCTTTGAAGGTTTGAAAATAATTTCAACCACCGTACTGGTTGTTCGAAGCTAAGTCTCGCTCCTCCATTTTAAGCTTAAATCAAAATATGACTGAACTGCTCTAATCTATTTAATATCGGAGAAATCCGATGCAATCGAGAGTTGAGTATGGCCTGGATAAGATAATTAATGTCTAATTAATAATTAGAAAACATTTCAGGACCCGCAATAGGCAAATTTAGCTCTTCGATAATGTATGTTTAAATTATCCTTTTTGTAAATATGTTGCATCTTTTATCTGGTTATGTATTAAAACAATTTTTTGTACCGTATATTAAAACATTTTAAAGTAAAAAATCTTATAATTATGTATGTTGTATGTCTTATAATCGAGTATCTTTATTTATTAATACATAGTTCGGAATTTGAGCCTAACAAGGCCAGTATTTTATCCCCCCCCCCAAAAAAAAAAAAAAAAAAAATAATAACAAGAACAAACTTTCCTCCCACTGCTAAAGACCCCTACGCACAAGCGAATTATTGAAATAAAATTAAACCATATGTTCGTCCCGAAATGACCTAGTTTGTGTCGAGTGGACGTTAAACCCCATTCTCTCTCTCTCCAATAGAGGATGCATGAACATTTCTGTAGATTTCTATAGATTTGTCTGATCATAAGTTTTCTTCCCTTGGAACGGTGTGATGTCCAGTTGTAAGGCTAGTGTAAAGCAATATAGCTTTTGGTATAATTAGATTTCAAAAGACGTTTTCATCAGCTCAATTAGACTAACTCTTACGAGTGTCTGTCAAATTTATCGCTAATTACAGGCATTCACCATGCATTTTACTATGATGGTCTATTAACGTGCTCGCCAACGAGTACACGTCCCACCAAAACTACGTCCTTCTACACACGTGAAATATACCGAGAAACTTGCTCGGCCATCATCGGGGTAAAACTTAGATGGAAGAAGAAAGAAGTCAGTGTACCATTATTAGAGTAGTGTTAAAGAGTGTTTGTTTTTATCTCGACACAATTCCAAAAATTAAGTAAAAGCCCAGCAACGTTCGTTAACGACTTGAAAGGCAAATCATCCACATGTACACTGTAAAAAACAATGACAACGCCGTCTTATATTAAAAGGGAGCGTCTTTGGTAATATATACTCTACAAAAAAAAGTATAATAATTAATTTTCCCCAAGGGTGACACGGCCGAATCCACCCTGGAAAAATCAAGGGGACCCTACCCAACAATAATCCACCGAGAAACATATATCAAACAAAAGTGGGTTCAGTGATAATTTGGCATTTGACGTCCCGACTAGGTCGCTTAAATAAAGTCACTGTACTGTACCATATAACCTATGAAGCATTAATTGGACTTTAAGTCCCATCCATTCGTTCATTCAGTCATTCATTCAGTCAGTCACTCAGTCATTTTATTGAAAGTTGAAATAGCTTTTAATCAATGAATATATTTTGCAATCCCGATAAACACCCAGTCTGTTAAACTCATTTCATTTAACTTTTCTACTGTTCTACTCTTGACAGGTTTGGTCGGTAAGTATATAAATCTAATATATTATATGGTTTGTTTTTTTTTATAAAACTAGGAAATATCACGAACCAAATTTTCATCATCCTAGGTCAGTGCTTATGTGGAGACTTAACCTCTCCCCCAAATTCTTAAACCTAACCTACATACCTGCCAACAATCACGTGTCCTAACTTTATTTACATCTCGGCGACCTTGACGAAAATTGAGCTGGCCTTAACAAATATACATGTATTTAGCCTTTGACAGACATTGCTTGTGGAATATGTCTAGCCTTGTTCTTCGAGTCCCTTGTTACAGATGGCGCTGAAACGCATCATGGTACACGATTCGTGTACCAATGGTAAAATGTTTATTTTGTCTTAAATATTGGATATCAGAAGCCCATCTTTTCCCGGTAAGATCACAACATCAATGTTGATTTAAATTGACAAATAATTCGTGTTTTCAATGTCGAAGACCGTGGGTGATATTAAGTTAAAGACTTAGCTACTTTAAAGTAGACTTTCATTTTTAAAAAAATAAAAACCAGCGGCTGCCAGCCAGGATCCGCCCACATTTTGCAAGAGATGGATAGAGAACAAGCTAAAAACAAACATGATTTTTTGTACAATCTGAAATGCGCAAATATCAAGATAGGTTGCCAGGCAACAAAACATACGCCCACAGCAGCTAATACAGGATATTATTATTTTCGTCGTTTGAGGGTTCACAAGGTTCTAAAATCTAAAACAAGGACCATAACACTGGAAGTAATCTACAGAAATTGATGAAATTCGACAGCCTTTTTCATTTTACTAATTCAAATAATGCATATAAATTTCATACAGATCGGATGATAACTTTTGTCGTTCGAACGTTCACAAGGTTCAACAAAGTAAAACAAGGGGCATAACTCTAGAAATAATTGACGGAAATTGCTGACATTCAATAAGCTTCTTCATTTCACCAATTTAAATGATGCACGTGAATTTCATACAGATTGAGTGATAACTTTTGTCGTTCGAGCGTTCACAAGATTCAACAAAATGAAAGAAGGGCCATAACTCTAGATGTAATTGACGGAAATTTGCTGAAACTCAATAGGCTTGTTCGTTTTACTAATTTAAACGATACATATAAATTTCATACAGAGCGTTCACAAGATTCAACAAAGTGAAACAAGGGCCATGACTCTAGATGTAATTAACGGAAATTGCTGAAATTCAATAGGATTTTTTGTTTTACTAATTTAAATGATGCATATAAATTTCATACAGATCGGTTGATAACTTGTGTCGTTAGAGCGACAAAGTGAAACAAGGGCCATAACCCCAGCAGAAATTAACGGAAGTTATTGGAATTAAATAGGTTTCCTCATCTGACTAATGCAAACAACATATATCAATTTCAAAACAATCAGATGATAAATGTAGTCTGTAGAGTGTTCACAAGAAATTGTGGACGACGGACGGACGGACGGAGGCGAAGCCAATATATGACCACATTTCCATGTGAGCGTATAAAAAGGGACTGAGATCTTTGGGATATAAAGATATGTTTAAGTTTCATCAGAATCGGATAAAAATTGTGACCTGTAGAGGGTCCACAACCTTCGTATTGCATACTTTTACACAATTTGCGTACAAAGGGTGGCCATTTTGTCGGGCAGTTTCATTTCGATTTTCCCGAAATTCAAATTCAACCTTCATTATGGTGGAATGGTGAAATATTTAAACGGTTTTTAAAATTGGAAAAAAATTTGCGACATCTAGAGAATCCGCAAGCTAAAAATGCGATTTTTCGAACAATCAGGGTCCATAATCCAGGAAGTTAAGTTCGGGTATCCGCGATTATCAAAAGGAACCAAGATCTTAGTGTGTAATGGTGATGTATTCACACGTCTTTTTTTTAAATCGGATAAAAATTGTGACCTCTACAGGGACCACAAGCTAAAAACGTGATTTTTTGTTCAATCAAGGGCCATAATTCAGAAAGTTACGATCCGATATGCGCGAATATCGAAAGGAACCAATATCTTTGGGTTATAAACATGTATTTCAAGTTTCATCGAAACCTTGATTTACCAGATGTTTACACTATTTGCGTTCGAGGGGCGGCCATTTTGTCCGGCAGATTTGGCCCGATTTTCATGAAATTGAACTCAACAAACATTAATTCAGGAAGTTACGATCCGGTATGCGCGAGAATTGCAAGGAACCGAGATCTATGGGTTATAATCATGCATTTCAAGTTTCATCAAAATCAGATGAAAATTGTGACCTCCAGAGAGTCCACAGCCCTGATACACAATATTTTGACACTATTTGCGAACGATGGGCGGCCATTTTGTCCGTCAGTGTCGGTCCGATTTTTACCAAATTCGAACTCAACCATCCTTAGGGTGTAATAGTGATATATTGTAACGGTTTTTCAAATAGGATAAAAATCGTGACCTCTCTGGGGTCCACAAGCTAAAAACGCGATTTTTCGTACAATCAGGGGCCATAATTCAGAAAGTTGTAGTCCGATAGCCTCGATCATGATCCGGTTTCCTCCCCTACGCGCAAGCGAATTATTGAAATAAAATTGAACCATGTGTTAGTCCCGAAATGACCTAGTATGTGTCTAGTGGACAATGACATCGAGAGTTTATTATGATGGTCTGGATAAGTTAATTAATGTCTAATTAATAATTTAGATAACATTTCAGGCCTAAAGAAAGACCTTCAATAAGCAGATTTAGCTCTTAGTCTTGCATGATGTATTTTAATAGCCTGTCTTTACTGATTTGCTATACTCCTAAAGTTTAAATACTCGTCTTCAACTGCCGTTACAATTCAGAAAACCATTGCCCTTATTTATATTACATGGACGGAGTCCAGGAATAACGGTTTTAGAACAATCGGCGATTAGTTTCTGCTCTAACTTTTTATCAAGCACATGTTTACATTGCCGCCATCACAGGAGTCAGAATGGACACAGACCACACTTGTGGTCTAAGACAACTAATTAATTTGCCTTACACACAATGCAAAGCGTTTGCTGCAGTAACAAGTATAACTCGTAACACTTATTTTTTGGACATGCCAAGACAGGACCAATGACAATTAATCTAGTTTTATTTAACAAATCAACATTGAGACTGGTGTCCCTAAATAGATGACAATCATTAATTACTTGCACATCTAACAGATTTATAAAACATCTAGCATTGAAATTGTTCATCACTCTGTTTAACCTAAGCAAAACATCGCATTGCAGAGGCGTGCTGGGCAGGTAGACAATCGCCTACCCTGGCCCCAATCGCCTACCCTGTCAAACGCTCGAATCCGATAAGATTTACTACCAGAGTATATGAGAGGGAACGGGGTGGCTATGTGCCCGAGCTCTCTTCCGAATTTCGACAGAGTTACTGTTACCTTAAATACTCAAGAAATTGCCCACCCAAATAAAAACATTGTGCCCCCTTTTTCTGATGCCCTTCCCTTGTTCAAACCAAATCTAGAGATACTACAAACCATTCGCACTCAATGTAGGCTACGTACATAATATGTCCGTTTTTCATTGATGATGTAAGGCCCCCATACAAGCGCAATCAGACCCTGATTTCCACGGATTACTTCCAGAATAGATTTCACAGTCGGATTAATATTTCCATTATATTCAGAATCAACTAATTTGTCTTAGATTTATTTATTCGTCTAAATGAAGTTAGAAAAATTGCAACACGGGCGACGGGAACGTTTTTGCCGGTTAGCATAGGCTACTCGAGGCCAATACGCTAATCATCACCACGAACCCTATTGACATTTAATCTGTTACCAGTAACTTGATCGCCTTCTCGTTCTTGGGTTTTTCAGTCTACTTTCAATTCTAACCCCTACCCCTCCCCTCATTAGGGAACAGAATTGAATGAAACTTGATAGGTACCCTTTGTAAGGAATACAAGTCCCTTTTGATGCTTGTTTTTCTTTACTCACAGGTCGTTTAGTTCTTGATTGCAGCTAACTATGTTCATCCTCAGATTCTTGGGACTTAATGATAATGCCGTAACCAAGTGTCAATGTATGTCATGGCTCACATAGACGTCAAATCGTTTCTACCATGAGCCACAGAACTCAAATTTTTCCCGATCCTGCCCCCGCCCCTTCCTAAAGTGCTCTAACTTGGTCTGCCTATCCTCATTCCGAGGCCCTAGTAGGCCCTTGGCTCATTGTCGAACTAAGTCATGATTTTACACCAAGTTTTAATCTGTCCTAAATTCTATGCCATTGAAATTGGTTTCTCCGCTCATTATTGAACTTAGGCCAGGGATCTTAATCGGCTCATTATTGTCGGCCCCCAATACCCGTTATCTTTACGTTATTTTCGGAATGAAGATGGGCAGTTCATTACCAAATGGTTCACTGCATATCTGACATATTGTATCCATCTGTGTCTCAACATTTGAATCATTTTGTGAAATAAATTCGACACGTGCTTCAATAGGCTCGGCCAGCTTGGCTCAATTGTCGAGGTTGGTGATCGAAATCAATTCAGACACGCCCACGACACTGCGTTCACAGTGGGCTGAGAGTGGTCCCTTTCGTCATGTCTTCTACGCTGCTTCCGCAGTGAGCAGTGGTCGACCAGAGCGTCTAAATGGAATTTAGTTGATGCTTGATGAATTCCATCGTATTAGATCCGAGGCAGACTCGACTAGTCTTAATCCCCAAATCTCCAATGGGATTTCCACTTATTTTGACCCAGGGGAACCAGTTAATTACCAAGATGAAAAAATGTGTCGAAAATGGAATCAGCTGCCTCCAAAACGTATACTTTGACACCAAATGTGGTCATTTTGTAAAATTAGAATTTTCCCGTCAAAACTCACCGTCATCTGGAATTATTTCCAAATATTGACTCCGCGGTATAACCAATCACCAAAATGTGTATGGAAATGGATTCAGCTACCCCGAAGCATATACTTTGATACCAAACTCGATCATATTATGATAAGTTGATAAAAAATTTCCAGTCAAAGCCTTTTTTGGTGGGTGATAATATACGTCTAGTAGATATTTCTATTGCAACAACTGCCAGGAATGGTGCGAAATTGAGTTAAAATGCCTGGACTATTAGTGAATAATATTACATGTATCCCTGCCCTGTTCAATTATCTGAAGCTAGGTGATTCTGTTTCGAAGAAATAAAAACTATCAGTTGTCATGTAGTCCTATATATAATTACCCACGTTACAATGGTAAAGAATCGTCTCTATTATCAAGGAACTCATACGATTTTATTGATCAATGAAATCCTTTAAATAAGCAAATTGATTAAATATTTTAAGAAAAGGTAAATACATGTAGGCTATTTATTTACGTTTTGTCGTTTGATTTGCATACTTAAATCCACTTTTATGGTCTTCTGCGAAACCTGAAACTGGCCTCTTAGGTAAACTATAAGAAACAATTTCGTATGAATTTAAACTTCATTTTATATATCACATTCATATTAAGGCTTGACGTAAAAATAAAAACCAAATAATGAAATTCCTAAATTAAATTTCGAAACATATATTCATGAATTTTTAGGTATTTGATGCATTCTTATGTAAGTAGAAGGTCTGGTGAAGGTAATGGTGGTTAACGTTTCATAAGTATAACTAGATGTAATCTTCTCTTTACGGATTACAAAATCGCCAAGAGCTCGCAGAAGGTTCTTTTTACAATCCTCTATGGAAGTACTCTCAAAATTTGGTAAATCTACATCTGGAATTTTTGATACGTGATCTTTTAATTTTAAGAAATTAAAAGTCTTCAGCTTTCCTACTTCTACTGCAGGTTTGACTTCTGCAGTAGCTTTTTTGTTCAGACGTCGGAACATTCCAAACGCTTTGGCAGACTGTTTGGCTTTGTTTGCATCTACTATCGATTTCCTGGGTACAGCTTTTGGCGCCAAACTATTCATCATACGGTTAACTCGGCAGAATTTCCGTAAAATATTAAGCACCGGGGGCTTTTTTTCCTTCTTTAACTTTATTGCACGTATCTTTTCAATGCTGTATTTCTTGTTGAGTTTATGTGTGTCGAACACTGTGTCCACATAATCATCATCGGCATCATCAAAAACAGAATCAGACGACTCCGTATCTGAATCGGACTCCATTTTGCTTGAGGTGCTAGTTCTGGTAGCTGTTCCAGTAGATTTGTAGTAACTAGACGCACTGCTACGTTCACGTATAGGAGATGTTATTTTAGGTAGCGTCGCGTATGCGTTATCTGAAAACATGGAGTTCATACGACGACCTCGAATTGCTCCTTTAGAGTCATCTTTGATGCTATGACCAGAAGTGACATATTGTAAGCAGTGCCTTCTAGCAGCCTCACTGTCGGTAACACCCCCAACTTCTCCGGCAAATCTTTGTCGATCGGCTACCCATTTCTTCGAGGTCTTTTTACTTATACCTTTATCGCCGCAGACTACAGCAGTGCTGTTTTTATCCGAGATAGACAGCACACTGCTTTTGTTAGTTTTTAATCCCTTGTCTGACAATTTTGAATCCTTCTTTAATTTGATTTTTTCCGCCATTTTCTTCTTTCTCTGGTTGGCCTTTTTGAATCTTGGATCGAATTTATTTTCTTCTACTAAATATTTATAAAAAGCTCCAAAGGAAGCTCTCCTGTCATACAATTTAACAAAAGGTTTGTTTGTTGAACTTACATCTGAATCCTGATTGGGTTCAACTATAAATTCAAGCTGCCTTTTCTTTATTCTATCCTTAAGCTCTTTCACTTCCTGTATCTCCCTTTCTCTTTCTGTCATGATAGTTTTTCTATTTTCCCGCAATAAATCAACTATTTTTACTCCTTCCATGTTTTTTGGTTTGAGCTGATTTATGTAAAATTCATCCCCGGGTGGAACTCGCCTTCCCAGCAATTCACCAAAGAATGTCGCATTTCGCTTGTTTCTGTTGGCCTTTTTGTTCTTATCGAACAAAATCGCGTCCATTCTGCCTAGCAGCTCACTTCCGTTTTCTGATATATTTGATAACGGCCGATCAAACGGGGAACCGACTCTGTCTCTTTCGCCTGCACGTGGGGAATGCTGTCGATTTCTTTGCTGCCTTTTGGTAGTCTGAGCTCGCAAGTTATCTTGCCACTTCATCAAAGTGAGCGATACTATTCGAGCGTTTCTACCATCATCCGATACGCTACTGCTGGATTTGGGAGGTCGGATTATAGACAAAAAGCCACCATTTTTCTTCTTGTTGGTTTTCTTCTGCCCCAAGAGGTCAACGATATCGACCAATTTTGTTAAACCAGCAGCTCTCGCTGCCATGTCTTTATAATCTCTCCAGCTTACAATGGGATCGCCTTTCTCTTTTTCCTTCGTTTCACTTATACCATAATATATAAATTCTATCAGTAACGTCTCTGTTGTGAATTCTTCTTTCTAAAAAATAATAAGTAAAAATATATAAGTAAAATTTATGTTGGCAAAATGAAACTACATAATTTGTGCTAACGTTTTCACAACCGAAGTTGCTCTTTGGGCATTTATTATAAAATTAATTATAAACAATAACTATTATTATGACGTTATAACGTCGGGCCCGTAGCAAGATCTTTAATTTTGGTGGGGCTACGGAATTTTTTGGAGGGGCTGAGGATGTGGCCGGCTAAGAATGCTCCTAAGAAATCATTATTGTTGGCGAAATATTTGGGTGGGCTAATTCGATTTTTTTTTGGGGGGGGGGGGGGGCGCTAAGCCAAGCAAGCCACATTTGACCCGATTACGTCAGTCATTCGATTAACTAATTAGCGACCGCCATTTATTTTTTATCTACTTTTGCTTTCTTTTGATTTCTATTATCGCTAATGTTTACCCACAGTTCCGCGCAAAAAAGGTCAAACGCTCGATTCGACAGACCATTTGATTGGCTGACCCCTCATTTCAAGCAGAACACGAGTTAAATAACAGCGCTTCCAGATCCAAGTGTAGTAAAGACAAGTTAAATCGAAATTTTGAACTATAAAAACGAAACGAAATTGGATCTGTGTTTTAATCAGATTGCCTTAGCATCATTCGGGTTTTCCCTATATAAGTTCCCTCGCAACCCGGACATATTATGAGATAGTCTGATTGACAATCCATGTGTTGTTTAACATAAAATGTACAATCCGCATTTATCTTAATGGATGATCCTTCAATGATGATTTCACGTGTTTTACATCTAGGGTCATTGCATTTCGTTACAGCTGGTACTGACGCGACTAAATCATATTTCGAAGATGTTATTAACCTAGCTAAATTGAGAGGTTGCTTTAGACTATTGATGACATTTGTCTTTCTCAAAATATTTTCCATCTCAGGGCTATTTTTAAGGATATGGGTGTAATTGTCAATAATGGATTTCCCATTTTCCTGAGATGGATTAAATGTAGTAACTAAAGCAACATTCCTTTTATTTGAGATGGTATGAACTTTAGGCTGTCTTAATACACTTTGATCCAGTGTTAATGCTCTTGGTTTGCATTATCTATTAATTTATCTGGATATTTTTGTTGAGGAAACTTTAAGTTCTTCGAGTCTCTGAATTTTGGTATCTTGATTTGATACAATTGTACAGATTCGTCTAGCTAGGTTATATGGAATATTACGTTTCCTATGAGATGGGTGACAAGAATTGAAATTTAGATATTGGTGTGTATCTGTTGATGTGTAATACAGATCAGTTTCAATAGTGCCGTTCCAGAAAGTTTAATGTGGTTTGACTTTGTTCTATTGTAAACTTAATATTTTCGTTTAAATTATTCAACATTTCTTGGAGTTTAGTGATTGTTTCTGAAGAAACCTTAAGTATACCTGAACAATCATCCAAAAAAACGTTTCCAAGATCTCGTAATTTGATCCGAGGTCGTTGCCAAACATTATTGTCACCTTCTCATACCATAATTCTTCCAGATAACCTAAAGTTAGAGTAGCGTAGGTAGGGCCAACTTTAGTACCCATTGCGACTCTTTTGATTTGTGAATAGTATAGGCTATTGAAGAAAAAATATTATTTGATATTACAAGATTTAAAGCACCGAGAATGAAAGATTTTGAAAAGCGATCTGGTATAATGTCTGCATGATCATCCAGCCAATATTCAACAGTTTTTAGTGCCAGATCTTTGCTTATATTATTGTATAAATTAACTACATCAAAACTAATAAGTGTACTAATATTTTAATAACTTCACAATTTGAATTTTTAACTTCATCTTCTATTAGTTTGCTTTTGTGGGCTTTCGGCAAACCATAGACCGTAAGCTGTGGTTAGTTGAAAATTCGCTAAGTATTCTTCTTCGCCTTTGTGCACTGCAAAGCCTTTGCGTTTTTGGAAACGAATTTCACCACTTTTTTCTTTACAGCATTGTTTTCATCGGTGCTTGATAAATGGTAATATTCCTTGTCATCGAGCATGTTCGTGATGTTCTGCTCGTAGAAGCAGCTATCCATAACTACAATAGCACTCCCTTTATCGGCTTGTTTAACAATTATATTTGAATTGTTCTTGATCTCGTTTAACGCCTCTTGTTCACCCTTACTTAAATTTGGTTTGTAACGTATTGGTTGGATTTTGTGAGATGCTACAGTAGTAATGAATTTGTCGAGGTGTACATCTTTGCCTAATCTCGGTGTGAAGTTTGATTTGTTTCGAACTAGACACTCCGATTCTGTAATGCTTACCAACGGGTCATCATCATCATCATCCTTATGGAAGTGGTGTTCTAGTCTTAATTTCCTGCAGTATTGTGAGATTCCAGACATTAAAGCGCAGTTATCACTTCGAGGTGTGGGCGTGAATTTTAGGCCCTTATTGAATAAATGAATATGATTGAGATATTGTTTAACGCTGCTTAGATTTATTATTAAAGGATCTATTTTTGAAGGCTCTTGGGACGGTTTCGATTTTTCTGTCGGCCCTGGCCTAAAAAAGAATTCCTATTGCCACTGTGCGTATTTTCGGTATCTCAGAAATATATGTTTGGTTTCCTTGTCCTGCGTTTGTGCTCGTATGGTCTTTGACGACGAGGTCCCACTTCTTGCCAGTCAATGCGTTCTGGTTTAGGCCTTGGAATATATTGTCTTTCTTCTAAAACACGTTGACTTGTAGGTTTATTTTTTTTGGACACCTTTTTTACTTTTGCCGCTGGATTTTGGTTTGCGATCCTGAATTGGTATTTCAGGTTTTTCACGTATGTCCAGCTCTTCCTCGTTAGTTTTGAAGTAATCTAGTCCGTATTTATTTGAATAATTGTCAAGCCATTCATATCGTTTGGCCCATGTTGACTCGGCGTCCGTTTGATGAAATAGGCATTCAGATCTCCATTGCTGTTCGATTTCCTCCAAACTGGTTTACTCAATGCATGCTCGCAAAATACTTCATGCATATTTTGATCAACTTGTTGCCATTTTGATTTAATGTTAATGGCATTGATTTTCATGGTCTCAATTTGAGCCTTGAATTTGTTTAGGGTTAGTTCAATTCTGATGTTAATAACTTCCTTTGTTTGTCCGCTGACAGGTTTTCGCCGAAACTTTACCGGAATAAGTGGTTTATCCCGGTTGATCCATTCTTCATACACTTTTGTGTATTGTTCCGTGTGGTAGAATTTATTGTACCATCTTTACGGTTAGAGTTTTGTGCTTTCCATGTTTTATTTACTTTCATTTTCAGAGAATGCACTGGATCCGCTTCGTTGTCCAGTTTATGGTGGTCTTTTCCGACATAATTGGATTTAAGGTTACCAATGATATTCACCATGTTTGAAAGTATTTTCGGGATATTTTGTTCTTCTGGGTTGCATTTCAATATCCCCTACTTTTTTTGAAGAGTATATTATTAGAACGTAATGTCAATGCGCCTCATTTTATAATCATCTACCTACACAACCAATTCTATATACATCTATTGTTTTTTTCATGTCTACACTAAATCTGCAAATACTTGGTACAGATTCGATCAAATTATGACATTTCTTCATTTCGTGTTGTTGGAAGCCAGTGCGGTAATGACAATGACAGACCACTGAAATCCCAGACATCGAGGGGAAATGCTAGAAACGTATCAAATTAGTATACAATCTCCAAGAGATAACTAGTAGGCTTACTTCCCATAAACTGACCAATCGTTTAGTATCTTAAAGGAGCCAAGTCTCTAACTCAATATTTTCTATAATAATCGAAATTAAAAAAACGAATTAGAAATCAATTTCAACCAATATTGATGTTGTTATCTTTCCGCAAAACTATAGGATCCAATAAATATCCAATATTTAAGACACAATTAACATTTTATAATCAGTACAGGAATCGTGTACCTTGTGGTTTCGGGTGCCATTTTGTAATGAACAAATAAAAACATACCCTACAACACAATGTGGAAGTAATAGTAAAGGCTGATTCACAAACGACAAGATAATAATTTAAAAAACTAAGCAGGCAAAACGACTGCCGTTCAATTTGAACTGTTCACGTATTTCACCGAACCTAATTGATTAGAAATTACAATATTGTTTCCAAAAATTGAATATAAATCACTTTACATACATTCATATTACATTAATATGTGCCTTTAGAACCATTTTTATCTATTTCAAGGTTTCACAAAATAGAGCCACACGTCCTTTAAATCTTTAAACATTTTTAATCCTGATACACCGCAAAGTTGGCTAATGCAGTCAATGTATCATTAGTATGCCATAGGCCTATGAGTACGGAGATATAGCTATAGAAATAAAAGAACTTACTTTGTCTGTGACATCTGTGTAACATTTATGAACTCGTCTTTTATTTTTAGCGTAGGCAAATGTTAAATAACTATTAACTTCTTCTTCTTTCTCCATTATACATAATAACATCATCAATAGTTCTAATAATTCACCTTCTAATACTCGTAATGAACAATCATCACTCCAACTATCAGAATATAAATATTCCCAGAATTTATCTACAACAATAATAAAATCAAAGCATCATTCCAATAAATCGTTTAATTCTGGTATTAACAACACATGAATTAACAGTAATACATGTTTAAACCTAAATATACAACAGTGAATCCTTCTGAATTTTATCTGGTTAGAGATGTAGTTAATGCAATATTTACACCCTGACAGGGTACTATTAAAATATCCAGCCTGGTTACAATTATTATATTTACAGGTTCGTAAATATGTAAACTTAAATGAAGTTGTAAAACACACGAAAAAATCGAATTAGCATTCAGTTTAGTAGTCACGGGGCGTGTCTAAACTATCACAACTTTTCTGCACCTACTGGGTGCAGGAAGACGGGCATGTGAGGGGATTTTTGCCGGGACAACAATTTAATTCCAAACTGTCATGGGCTGTTTTATGTATACGCCAATGTCTACATGGGATCTCGAATTTTTGTCACATCCGAAAGACTAGACGCTGTCGGGACGATGGCTTACTTTGATTATTGACTGACAAAAATATAGTTATACACGTAATATACACCAATACACAGCTGAGTTTTACCTGGATCTAACACTTTCCATTCTTTAGCATCCTCTCTATCAAATTCTTCACAAACAACAATCGATTTTAATGGTATGACATATTTACTACTGGGTTGATAAATCTCGGCATCTTCATCTTTTAGACTGGTTCTCTCTAGAAACGGATTGAGTTGAAAATATACCTGTTTAAAACGTCTTTGAAACACCGAACAAGATCTATCATACAACGGAAAGTGGTAGTTGGACATTTTGTATATATTTATTTTTTACTAGTTCCCACTTTCCCCGACTAGGCTACGTTTTACTCAACTGTTTTCCTATTATGACATCATAATAAAGGTTACGTTATAATATTACAATAATATTAAACATACATTATGTGAGAGATAAATCTGCCTATTGGAGTATTGCAGGTCTTTCTTTAGTCCTGAAATTAGACATTAATTAACGTATCTAGACCATAATCTACTCTCGATGCCATCGCTAGCCTACGATACTTACTGGATTTGAATGCATTTTTTGATGGATGATTTAATGTCAAAATGGATAATCGAGTGGTTTTTTTTTTATCGTACCAACGTTAGTAATGATGATCGAGGCTAAGCCTAAAATTCAATAGCAATTCAACTGAAATTTTCAGCATATTCTCTTTACGTTATCTATTTTTAAACTGTAGCGAGAACTGTCAGCTCTTTATCTAATCTCCCATAATGCCCTTAAATATACATTAGGCTAAGCAGTCTTTGAGGAGAATGTAATGTACTAAAGTAGGCTAACCATAACGTCATCACAATGAAGAGGGTGGTGGCGTGAACATAAATTTGAATGCTGTTTTATCAGTGACCACAGAATACACAATAACATTAGCTTACCATTTTCCCCAGCGGCTGCTATGGTAGATAATAAAGCCTGTTATCTATACCCGCCGAACCTCGTGAGTTTACTCTGGGTATTCCCCCACCCCACACCTCTACAAGCTGATTAAAATCAGATGTCAATTACATCCCTAACCCTACTATTAAGTAGCTAAGTCTCTAACGCAATATCATCCACAGTCTTCAACATTGAAAACACGAATTATTTGTCAATTTAAACCAACGTTGATGATGTGATCTTACCGGGAAAAGATGGGCTTCTGTTATCAAATATTTAAGATAAAATAAACATTTTACCATTGGTACACGAATCGTGTACCAGTATCCGTTTCAGTGCCATTTGTAACAAGGGATTCGAAGAACGAGGCTAGACATATTCCACTAGTCATGGGTCAAGTTTGGTCAAAGGTCACGAGGTGTAAACAGGGCTAGCGCTCATCCCAACCCTAACCCTGGACGTAATAATGCTTACCCTAAGCCTAACCTACACTCTCGCCAACAATCGCGTCCCCATAATTATTTACATCTCAGTGACCAAACTAAATAACATGTATGGCCGATAGCCAAATGTCCATCCCAAACTTATAGGCTGCCAAATTAGGGCTCCCAGAGAGAAGTTACCGTTAGTGTATCTCTGGGAAAACTCGCTGGTAAAGGAACGGTAAACTTCTCTCTGGGAGCCGAGATTGTTAGTCTGCCTGTCTACAGTGAGCTTCGCTTTTTTTCAAAGTATGATGTAGATTTCTCTCTGTAGAATGCCAAAATGTGCCCAGTTCCATCGTATCGCTTAGGCCATTGAAAATGAATAATATCAGTTTAAATATTTTGTGTCTAAATTGAACATATTTATTATGAAAATTCTACCCGTGAATTGTTTAGATTAAGCCTGAATAAGTTGTTGTTATTATCTGCCCTATCTTTAGAATGCGTGGATAAAAATAGTAACACCGTCTTTAGAGTTCGTGGACAAAAATAGTAACGGTGACAGTATTAGCCAATCAAATGCCGTGATAAATATAGATATATAGATTACAAGTATATATAAATCTAATGCAAATTGACATATTTAATTATAACAAATAACCCCGTACTCTGTATTAAAGCCAGGAAGAATTAATTTGAAATTTAAGAATGTTTCTTAAGTGTGTTTCAAGACAAGGTTGGTTATCGAAATTTTTACACGTGGGTCAAAATTCATTATTAGAAATATGACAGAACTCCTTAACGAAACAGTCGTGACTAAAACAATCAAAGAAATGAATATGAATGAAATATACCAGTTGTATAAATATAGTATTCTAGTTTGTACGTGTTTTCTCAGACTACGTTTCGAAACACAAAGCCTACAGGAATATTTTCAAGTAAGAACGGGTTAATAAATTGAATCAAACTTAGCAAATATTTAGGAATTAGTCAATATATTAATATATTTTTCTATTTCTGAATGTTTAATAAAGATTAAATTATGCATTAATTTTTATAGGTAGTATGATAGATACAGTTAGAAAGAAACTGGTAGTAGTTGGTGATGGAGAATGTGGTAAAACGTGTTTATTACAAAGATTTGTACAAGATGAATATAAAGAAGATGGCTATTTACCCACTGTATATGAAGTTGATATTACACAACTATACTACAACAAACAACTGGTAAGTTCATTATTTGGGATTTTAGTCAAACTAAATGATGAAAAAACTATAATTCAAGGATAGAATGTGTTTAGTGACATTTGTTGTAAGCATATCCTATTTTGTGCACAGGACCACTATTCTTTTATGATATTTATTTTTAAAATATATTACTTTTTATATTTACAGGTGGATTTATCGCTGTATGATACTGCCGGTCAAGAATGTTATGATCGTCTGCGACCGTTCTCGTATGTTGACACAGACGTGGTTCTTATCGTATTCTCTATAGATAATCCCGACAGTCTCGAAAACGTTGTTAATAACTGGGCCCCAGAAGTTCGTCATTTTTGCGGAAAAGTTCCGGTTATTCTTGTGGGCACCAAAAGTGACTTGAGAGATCAGACGGACGGAGACAATAATTCGGTATCAAGTTGTCGTCTGATTAAAGAAGGGCCAGTAAAATTCAAAGATGGTGAAAGGGTAGCGCGAGAAATCGGTGCCATGAAATATATGGAATCCTCGGCTAAATTAAATATTGGTGTACAAGACATTTTCATCGAAGCTACAAAATCTTGTTTCGAGAGAAAGAAGAAATGGCAAACATTCCGTTTATCGAAGAAAATCAAGCAATCCACCATAGTACTGCGTAAAAGATGTTTAGACCGGTACAGTACGGGTAGTTGAACTAACGTTAATAATTATAACATTCTTCTACTGTTGTTCATCAACAAATCCGTTGATTTATGTCTTCTGGAATGAAACTGGACAACCACCGCGGATTTAGCTGGAGATTGAAAGGGGGAGTAACTTACCATGGTGCGACGTTTTATTAAATAGAGAGTACATCTATTGTGTAAATTGTTTTTGGGTTCGGTTGTCAACGATCTAACGTGCTGTATAGTTAGAAACTCATGTTTGTGTTACCAACAATTTGTAACAGTTATCAGTGATATTTGTAATCTTGTGAAAGATTACTTTAATTTATACTCAACAACTTATGGTATAATATATTTTATATTTGATATGAACGTATTTATAGTTAGAAAATCATGTTTGTGTTACAAACAATTTGTAACAGTTATCTGTGATATTTGTAATCTTTTGAAATTACTAATTTATACTCAACCACTTATGTGATAATATATATTCTTTTTTTATTACTATCCCTCAATTTTGTTTTTCATTTGTTTTTTTTTTTGTGGGGGGTGGGGGGTAAAATAATAATTGTCATTGTTTCCTCTGTGACTATAACGAATGTCGTAGCCACTACGGCGGTCCCACTAATCACAGTGATGGCTATCTAGAGTTTTTTTGGACATTTCTAGTGTATTTACATGGATTAATGTGTCAATAGTTATATGGATTTAAAGCTTAGGACTCTGTGGATAGACTGAAAGGTATATTTTGTACTTTCTGATCTTCAAACTTAATTTATGACCAAATATAAATTTAGTTGACATTTAAAGAAGAACTAATGAGGTGTGAAGGTGTGCCCAATGGCCCATGTCCAGAGAAAAGAAAAGGTGGTGACGTCACTATGTGTCAGGGTGATTTGATGTTGTGTAATCAATGTAACATTGAAAGATTTGGCCCAAGTATAGTTCAATCTTATAATAAACCCGTTAATAAAGATCAGGTTAGAAAGCCTACTAGTTCAACCACTGGTACATCAGTTCAAGTCAATGAAAACTACTCAGATGATACCCATGATTATGTCACAATAGTTGATGTCCTTCTAGGTTATGTGATCTTCTCACTTCAAAATAGTTCAGTTGAAAATGTAAAATCTGCTGTATTAGGCCATTTCACATATGAGGAAATATTTCATAGCAAAAATGTATTGTGGGACAAATGTGATAGCAACATAATAGGCGACAAGGCACGTCGTAAGGACTCTCTTGTGCGCTCAGAAAAGGAGGCTCACCTGACAGACATAATCAATGCCATAGAAAAACTCGATAAATCTGACTGTATGCCCACTGTATCAATCAACGCCCTAGAGCTCGGACGATTACCAAGAGCATACCCAGAAGAATTGAATACCCTCTCATTAGCTGAAAGAATGAATTGCCTAGAAACTAGACTTTCCTCAATGCAAAATGCTTTAGATCATACTATCTTTGAAAATATTAACATCAAACAAAAACTTGATAATATTCAGAGAAGGACGCCGAAACCGACATATTCCGAAGTATCACAAACAAAGATTTCCACTGTCGCTAAAACGTCAGAAATATCCGATCAGGACACTCCTCACAATGACTTAGGAAACAATCCGAAAAACATTGAATACGCTGGTGATAATACCATTGACGATAATTATGATTATGATGGCACCAAGTCTAAGAATGATGACGGTTTTGAAATTCCCGCATACGTATCTAAAAAGATTAAACGAAGGGCTCAGAGACAAAATCGGTTTATCACAGGAAGATCATCTCCAGGCTCGTCATCTTTTAAAGGTGCCCCCACGCCTCTTAGACACTTATTCATATATCGAGTTGATAAAGACACAACTGAGAACCAAATATCTACTTTTTTGGAATCCAAAAACTTTACAATAAATAAACTGGTATGTGTCTCGAACCATCTCTCAAAATTCAAATCATTTAAGCTCTCCGTGTCATCAGAAGAATTTGGAAAACTCTTTGATGAATCTCTTTGGCCCCAAGGTGTTCGAGTTCGACGATTCATTCCCTATGCTCCTCGTACCGAGGATACCACCCAACAACAAGGCAATTAACTCATGGCCGCCCTTAATATCGCAACATATAACTCGCATGGTTCAGGAACTGGCCGTATCAATTATATCTCAAAACTATGTGATGACTTTGATTTTGTGTTTATCCAAGAACATTGGCTTCTAACCGAACAGCTTGATCTCTTTGAAAAACAAATCCCTAACATAGGTTCTCATGGAATCTCGAGCATGCAAAGCAATCAACCGATTCTTGGCAGGCCATACGGGGGTTGTTCAATTCTCTGACGTAGCAGCCTTCTGTGTTACATACTACCAATAGCATTTCAGTCGAAACGTATATGCGCTATAACCGTAAAATGTAGAGATATAAACATATTGATGTGTAACGTTTATATGCCTTGTGATAGTGCTAATCTGATCGAATTCGATCACACGTTACACGAGATTCAAACAGTTGTAGAACAAAACCCAACAGATCATGTTATTATAGGAGGGGATTTTAATACAGACTTAAAACGCCTTTCGTCTATCCAAACGATACGACTAACCGAATTCACCACAATTCTCTCTTTGGAGTGCGGTATCAACCACATATCAAGCAATGTGTTATACTCCTTTGAAAGTAAAATTAACGGTGAAAAATCGACTATAGATCACTTTTTTCTATCTCAGAATTTGATTAGTGACATTATAAGCTATAAATCTAGTCATGATGTAGATAATCTATCCGATCACAGTGTTATTGGTGTTAGCCTGAATATTCCAACTGACTATTATGATACGATTACAAAAAATCCTGTTCGTCCTAGTATTCGATGGAATAAAGCAACGCCTAAAAACATTCAAGAGTATCAAGACGTTATAGGTCAATCACTTGATAATCTTAGTATACCATACAATGCTTTATACTGTCAAAATTCTAAATGTACAGAACATAAAGCAGAACTTGAGGTCTATTTTGATAGTCTTGTCCGAATCACTATTGGTGCCGGTGAGAAATGTATTCCACACACTAAAAGGTGTAATTCAAAGGCGGTTATTCCTGGGTGGAACGATCAGGTCAAGAATGTGAGGAATACTGCCATGTTCTGGCACTGGTTGTGGAAAGAGAATAATTGTCCGCAATCAGGACTGCTCGCCATCATCAGAAGAATGACTCGGGCAAGGTATCATTATTCCATTAGATTAGCTCGAAAACAAGAGAATCAAACCCGTTCGAACAAAATGGCTGAAAATCTTATCAATAGCAATATGCAAGACTTTTGGGGCGAAATTAAGAGGATTAATGGATCCAGTAACTCGCTTCCACAAAGTGTCGATGGCCAGATAGGAGCCGATAATATAGCCTCATTATTTAGCTGTAAATATAAGCAACTTTTTAACAGTGTATCGTATAATGAAAATTATATGATTAAGTTAAAGGAAGACATTGAGTTTGGTATCAATCAAGTGTGTAATAGTGGTAAATGTAAATATGATCATAATATTACACCAACCGAAGTCTCAAAAGCCGCAAAATCTCTAAAACATAAGAAATCTGATGGCTGTAGTGGTCAATATTCTGATCATATTATCTATGCTCCATATTCTTTCTTTATTCATGTATCATTGCTACTGACAGCTCTTGTCGTTCATGGCTTTTCACCTAGCAATCTTATCCTCTCAACAATTGTCTCAATTCCAAAAAACAGGAAACGCTCTCTCAACGATTCCAGCAACTATCGCGGAATTGCCTTGAGTAGTATTTTCGGTAAAATATTTGACAAAGTTATATTAGATAAGTTTAATCACGTATTTCAATGTTCTGATCAACAATTTGGTTTTAAAGAGAAACACTCTACAAGTCATTGCTCTTTTGTACTTAATGAAACCATTAATTATTACAATAGTCGCAACTCTAATGTGTATGTTAGTTTACTTGACGCTAGCAAAGCTTTTGATAAGGTAAACTATGTAAAACTCTTCCAACTGCTACGTTCTAGATGTCTGTGTCCTTTATTTTCAAGATTTCTACTTTATTTATACCTTAACCAGAGGATACGAGTAAGATGGGGAAAACAGTTAGCAACTCCTTTACTGTAACTAACGGTGTCAAACAAGGGGGAGTACTCTCTCCAATACTATTTACCGTCTATATCGATGAACTTCTGAGAAGGTGCAGACAAAGTAAACATGGCTGTCATATTGGGAATGTATATGTCGGTGCACTCGCCTATGCTGATGACCTCACACTAATCGCCCCAAGTAGAAACTCTCTTAATGGTTTATTACGCATAGCAAGTAAATATTCTGAAGAATATAACCTCACTTTTAATCCCGACAAGAGCAGACTTATATATTTTCCATGCAAACCCTCTGAAACTGGAAATCAGGATCTTAAACCCATTCTTATAAACGGCCTCCCCATCAAACTTGTCGAATCTGAATCCCATTTAGGAAATCTGCTTCATAGTTCGTCAAAACATGAACATTTACGTCAATGTATAAATAATTTTACTGTTAAAAGTAATGTAACATTAAGAAATTTTACATTCTCCTCATCTAAAGTTAAATATAAATTATTCAAAACTTATTGTATGCCCCTGTATGGGAGCCAACTATGGGATTTCTCACAAAAGTCATTAGTAGAGAGTTTTTATGTAGCCTGGAGAAAACAGGTAAGGAAAGTATTCAACATTTCCCCAAGAACCCACAATAGTTTATTGAATATTATATGTCAGGATTTGTCAATTGAAACTCAGCTTCATAAACGTTTTATTAAGTTCTGTCATAGTATTATACATAGTAGTAATTTATGTCTTCATATATGTGGACGTACTGCGTTGTTGGGAAGTCAGTCTACTATGTGCAATAATATCAATTACTTATCATATCATTATAATATACAATTTAGAACGTAAGTCATTGTTAAATATTGTAGATAAAATAGAATGTCATGATAAAAGTTCCTGGAAGGAAAATGATAAGAGAATAGGAAATGCTATACGGGAATTCATAGATTTAAGAGATTGTTCACCATCTGAATATATAAACTTAAATAAAATAATTAATCAACTCTGTATTAATTGAGAACTTGTATATATTTATATGTATTTATTGTACTTAGTGTACGAATAAAATTTATTATTATAATGCAGAGACAATTTGGACTGAAGTGATCGCATCCTCGGTTTCCCCAGTGTACTCATTCCTTTCTACTTCACTAACCCCTGGGTAATCTATGGGGGAGACACGTTTTCAAGTTAAATGCCCTTGATGAATGTGCTATTTTTATCGACCAATCCCATAAATCCTTAATTGAAAAGGAACTTGGCAAAGGGAAGTAACTCTCATCGGGTGAAGTAAGCAAAACGCAAAGGCTCCTCTTCAAGAGACAAGGTTAGGAATTAGTAAGAAGGTAGCCTAAATGAGAGAAGTCCAAATTATACTAAATGCGCATTTATTAAAACAAATTATATATGATATATTAATGAAGACCGGACAGGTGTTTATCTGTGTGGAGTAGAGATGAGTGAGACCACTAGGGATACCGAGGATGGAGTAATCGATGCTTTCTCTCTACCTTAATCAAGTCTATTCAGAACAACACTTATTTCATTCGCACAAAAAGATTTGGATAAAACTAATGTAGCAAATACGATGGACTACATCCCGATTGTTTTGTTTTTTTTCACTCTAAACATGCTTTGTTGACACCCTTTTAACCCTATACCTGGAATGTTATTGACCTATAGTTTGAGGGTGGGGGCATTCAGTATGACTATTCACAACCACCTCATTAATAGATGAGACGACAGAAAGGATTAACGGCCACCCGAAGTCGCCACGTTGATTTTAGGTGGAGTCCAGTATCCACTCCGTGTTTGGGACTTGTTTTGTTCTTATCACGTGCTCTGCTGTAATCGGTAGCTTCTGTATTGTAATTTTAGAATTTACCCGCCCCCCCCCCCAACCCTCTAGTACGATACAGTGAAATCTTTGTTAAAATCTATCGATTGTCAAGAAAGCTTTCCAAAAAGTATATGGACATAATATGAAGTGTTTTTCCGCGCCGAAATAACCAAGCGGTGGGGGCCCTGGGCCTTGAATATTTGGGATCCCCCAACCTAACACACACGACCTGAACTTAGGCAGTATAATTTAAAGTCGGTTAGTGATAAATAACGAGGAGACCTTGATACGGTGAGTCGTATCCGTGAAGGCCACAACGTTAATTGGCAATAGTAACCGACCGGGTCGATTTTTGCCGAACGTCGAACACTAAGAACAATATGATATTACGAGATTCAATCAAGAAATCAGACGATTTCATAGATTGAAGGAGGTCCCTGATGATGAGGGCCCTAGAGCCTGGGCCCCACCATGTTTTTGGTCACATCATACACACGTCTCCATTATCCCGGCTGTTGCAGAAAAGTAAAATAGCACGCTAAACCCCATTTCATTTCGCTCCCTAGACCAAGAAACAGTTCAGAATCGTAAAACCTTCCAGGGATTTCGCCCTCTTTATTTTAACAATAATATTTTATTCATTTGAAAAGGATTGATGAACATGCAAGACCTATATAAGTTTTTTCCTATAGAGATACAGGCAGAAAATAGTAAACGATATAATATACACATATACACAAAAATAAGATCAAACATAAATTGTAAAACCGAATATAAAATAGTTTCACGAGGAAATGATTATTTAGATATACACAGCACTATGTAAAAGATAATCAAAAGCATTTGGTACTCTTTATAAAATTATGGACTGTTTCAAATATCAAAATAATATAATTTTTCAAAAGATTTGCAGAGCCATTCAAAATTAGATCTATATTATTAGTGTTAGTAACTACCTTTAATGAATTAGGTAGTTAGAATCTGATAGTTAAATAGAATGGGCATATTTTTGATTTTGACAGGAAGTGGCAGAAAATGTGATAGTTGAGATTACTGGATTGGTTTCTTTATAGTTGGAAAAGCATTATATATTCTTTACGGTTTATTAATGACATAATGAGTTTATTTTATGTATTGGATACTGACTTAAGAGATTGGACTTCAAAGTATTTAGAGACGGCGATAATTGGACGTACGCAGGAAGACAATTCCATAGTTTTATTGTATTCGGATAAAAAGATAAAAATCTGCATGTTTATATAAGAAGTTTTATAATTATCATGGCATTTTCAATGTTCATTTCGCCTTCTGCACCCGCTTAAGAGCGTACAACGCTTCTCACAGCTCAATTAAATAAATCTCGGATAAATAAAAGTTTAAACCAGGCTGAATAAATGTTTGGCCATGATATATAAATTTTGCTCAACACAAAACTCCCAAAAATATACAATTGCATTGCTTGACCCTATTTATTCTCATTTGTTATGTTTTCAGACATTTCAATATTCATATTAGCAGAATTTTTACATCTGATTATTTCAGTCAAACTTCTAATCATTTCCTTACGGCTATATCTGTTAATCAGCCATACTAGTGGCAAAATGGCGCGTCTTGATGCTTCTATACGCGAAATGATATAATAGAAGATTAGTGAGGCATATTTTGTCTCCATTAGGAGGATGAAGCTATAAACCGTTAAAGATAATATGCATATCAAGGTTATCACGGAAGCCATGATGATGTCACAAGGGATTTCGGGAATGTTGGGTGATCTTGTTGCCCTCCGTCGAGTTACAATCACCAAAACAGTAGTTATGAAGACAAATAATGACTGTGGTAGTACAGTTGCATTCGGGATGATAATGTTGTATGGAAATTCAAATGTATAAACACAAAAATGACGGTTTGTTTGAAGATTGGGGAAAATCAATAAACTAAGAATTACGACTGTTCCAATACAGATAGATGACGTCATAAATGCAGCAAAGCGGTATCTAGCCTTATCTGTATAACTAGGTACTGCAATCTCCGTTATCCAATCAACACCAATGGCACCAACTAGGAGTATTGCAATGGATGTTTCAAAAGTTAGAGCAATTTCTCTTGCGTACAACAAAGGAACATTGCAATCCATAGATGTCGATAGTTCATAATGGAAATAGGCTATACTCGGTTGAATAATAAGTCCCACCAGCAAATCGCTAATGGATAGAGTTAAAATCAAAAGGAATTTTGACTTGCTTCGAAGATCTTGATTTAAAAGAATGGCTAAGATAAGCACCCCGTTGAAAATAACAATTAGGACAGTCAATATCAGTTCTATAGTTATAAAGACGGTAGTTGTATCATCTCTCTGCTCGTTATAATCATTATACTCATTACCATCTGAAATTATATAAAATTAAACTATATTACGCCGAGAAAGAAAAAGAGAAATGGACTTTAACTTCCACCCAACACAAACGGGTTCATTTAGGGATTAACATAGTTAGTATTATGGTTCAATTTTGTAAGGGTCTTTAGCAGTTGGATGAGACCGGAGAAACAGGAGAAAGTCCACGTACAAGCGAGGAATCGAAACCACGGCACTGACCTCAATGGCACACCTTATGATCTAAAGCGCTATTATGTCGAAGAAGGAATGTATGTTGTATACGTGTCAATTAAGTCAAAATATATACAGTTTTAATTCCCCTATCTTGTTTTCGAATGTATTAAAGATTCGCAGAGTCATTACGTTTTACAGGTCCCAGTTTCTGACGTTCTAACGCATGACGTCAACTGGCAGACTATCGCCATTCAGGAGATGACCACCTTCAAGATAGGTCGCATTATTTCTATTACCGTACGTCTTTATTGTAAATTATTATTATTATTATTTTCATTTTGAGTGAAGCCTGTTTCATTATAGGCCCCAGACTATATAGCGCTGTGAACGCTTACGGCTGGCCCCCGGATCCATGATCTAGGACTGTTCTTGTGACCATAAACCTGACATCGTTAATGTGAACGGAAATATAACCGGTAATACGGTATCCAAATGACATGCTGGGGACCTTTCTATCACCATGATACATGGACGCCTAAAGATTTCAGTGTAATTGAACACAATATCTTGATGAACTGGTTGTTTCTTTGCTTTGTGTCCGACTGAAGGGCCCGTCTTCATTAGCCCAGTTCGGAGCAAAACAGTAGGACGTTAAACCTCATTTCATTTCATTTCATTTCCGACTGAAGGGAGGGAGAGAGAGAGAGAGAGAGAGAGAGATAGAAATGGGGTTTAACGTCCACTCGGCACAAATTAGGTCATTTCGGGACTAACATATGGTTTAATTTTATTTCAATAATTCGCTTGCGCGTATGGGCCGACTGAAGGGGTGAGGGAGATGGTGTTACAGTTAAATAGCTATGTGTTAGTTCTAAACGATAGTGATCACAGGTCCATAGATCACAATTACACCCCAAACTCATATCATACACATTAATTTATGAATATAGTTCCACTGGGAGTGTGTGTGTGGGGTGGGGTAAATTATTTCCAGACGCATCTTATCCTATAGATATATATTTCAGCGCTGGCTTACCTTTATATTCGAAACCATAATTCATACTCAACCAACATGTCAGAGAACGGACTTTTTTTTAATTAACCCCACCCACCCCATTTCTCTCATATTAGGGTGATTTACAAAAACAAACTATGACAAATTAATAAAGGACAATACTTACAGGTATACGTGTAGTTATCATAAACATCCATGTTGTGAAAACGTTGGTTTGATATAAACTAACGCTGTATTCTATGCATCAGGACTTATAGAAAGTTTATAATGGGTGACCAATTATAGTCTTATAAATGTCAGAGTGGTTTAATTATTTCATTAACATTGACATTAATTATAAAATGGAGAACTTGATTAGTCATAAATACCATTCTTATTTTAGGCATAAATATTACCATACTAAAACACGTACAGAATTTTACCCTCTATTGGCCTCATTCGGTTCACTCCGAATAATTGTCTCCGCCTCGACTACATCGAATATCCGTCATAGTGAATAAGGACATTTTGGACTGGGCTGATTGAGACTTTCTCCCTCCCTTGGTTAGATCTAAATATCAAGGCCACCTGCATATTTCGTCAAGGTCACGAGATGTAAACAGGACTAGCGCTAACCCCCACAATGCCCTCGGCAACAATAACTTGCCCTAACCCGGTTTACATCTCGTGACCTTGACGAAATATGCAGGTGGCGTTAATATATAGATATGGCTCTCTATCTTTTATCAAGTCGATTCAGACCAATACTTGTTTCATTCCCACAGGTAGATTAGTTCACGACTCAATAATTTGTCCTTATAAAAACTGACACGCTAATCTGTCTGACTGCATCATCGAGGAGATTTTCTGGAGAGAGCAAAAGTTAATCACGCGCACGTGGAGTTGGAGATCGCTGCAAATATACGTCACAAATAGCTTTTAAACAAACATTTGTATTGGTATATAAAGCCGAGTAAAAAATACACCAATTACGCGCTTCGACTTTCGTGGTTATTTTACAGTGAACGTGAACAAAAATTTCGATTGCACTTGTTGATTTAATTTTTCATTTTTGCGATTTTAGCGATTTTGTTAGAGAGCTAGCTGTAATAGCTTCGTTTCTTTTCTAACTTTCAAACTCATGAGCGCGGCAAGATAATCTCATTATAACGCTTTGAGATTTACTTTTATTTAGTGGTTACAACCTTCGTTTACGTGAGTTCAGGAAATAAATATTTGCTAGCTCTAAATACGCAGAACTATTTGAGACCGGAATATAACCGAAACAAAAATTTTATTTGTAGTCTTTTTTTTCCAGACACCTTTCGGTAACTTGGTGTAAATTATTTTTAGAGTATCTTATTTAATTATTTTGTGGCCTTAAGCGTTGATCGACCGCCTTATTTTCTAGATCTGAGACCGAGCCCTGCAAGATGGCGTCCACCGATGATTTGCTATCCAGCATTGGATTGGACAAGAACCTCTATGATATGAGCACTGTAACCAAACTACCCACAAGACTAGCGACTAGAACAGCTATAGGGACCAAAACAGTTGCCCTTTTACACGAAATGGGAGAGCTTCCGCTTGATCTCAGGCGTGAGGAACTCAAATATTGGGGTAAGCTGCCGCTGCTAAAGGAAAGATGCCCTACATACAACTGCCTCGGGCAATTCAATTGGCTGACCAGTAAAATCAATTTGCATATATCCAATGAAGTTGCAGTATTTCTTAAAATTTCGGTTGTAACTTAGTTTAAGTTTTCGTGAATAAGGGTAATTGCCAAATGATATCTTAAACAAGCACAATCTGAAAGGCACGATTATTGAGATACAAACCTTCCCCCATACTCCACCTTGGCAATTAAGTGATCCAATCACCAACACTTACCTATAAGTAAAGTCACAAATAAACGCAAAAAAAACCCCAAAAACAAACCACAAAGGCTAAAGCACTAGCAATGAAATTATTAGACTCTAGATGGACTGATCATCTCAAAATTTACACAGATGGGTCAGAAGATTCTACAAAGGGAGCAACAGGATATGGCATATACCTACCCAATGCAAGGCTGAACATCAGGAAAAGGCTACCAGAACATTGATCCGTGTACACCACAGAACTGATGGCCATTAAAACTGCACTGGAATGGCTAGCTGTGTAGACACACCAAAAGGCCGTAATACTGTCTGACTCCCTGAGTAGCATCAAACCCATAGAATCAAACTCCTCCAAAAGCAGGCAAAACATAATCCACGAAGTGAGGGGCATAAACCAAAAAAATTAAATCCAGTGGGAGAGAGGTGATCCTTGCATGGATTCTTTCCCACATCAATATTTTCGGCAACGAACAAGCCAACAAACTAGCGAAGGAGGAGTTGTCACTAAATCAATTGGTCAATTTAGAATATAGCTGTGGTTTCGACCCCCCGGTTTTACGTGACAAGGAGTAGGGTCGCCTGTCCAACCCCGTGGGTTTTCCCCGGGTTCTCCGGTTTCCTCAAACTGCTGAAGACCCCTACGCGCAAGCGAATTATTGAAATAAAATATTAAACCATATGTCCTAGTTTGTGTCGAGTGGACGTTAAACCCCATTTTTTTTTTCTCTCTCTCTAGAATATAGCTGTCAAGAATTTGAAAGCATAGCAAAAGAGAAGATCAAAAATGCATGGACACTGCATCTAAAACAAGAAAACACCCACCGCTATCAAATAGATAGCAATCTTGTAGACAGGGTGTACACCGACCATCCTTCAATCAAAGTATGAAAGCTCATCACGAGGCTCAAAACAATAGACGTAGTCAAAGACTCCATCTATACAATTATCAAATGCCCGTGTGGACATATTGCAACCCTTTTACACCTACATGTACTAATCGATTGCAGTCAGTTAAAGAGCGAACTGATAGGGAGAGGTAAACACTTTGTCTCAATTCTCTCCTTTCTCCAACCCCTGTTGAAAAGCATTGGACCTCTCAGCTTATCTGGGATTTCATTGATAAAATAGGTATAACAAAACGCATATAATGATATGCAAATCGAAAGCCAGGTAGTGCCCAAAAACGTCTCCTAGAGAGAAACGTGAACCATCTGGCAACTAAACTAATCAAATTAAAAAACACACACAGGACGGTTCGCAAAACTATTCCCTAGCGCACACTACGCGACGACATAGGCGATTTCTGTGCATTCGGTCGCTAGCGATTTTCGTGATGGTCGCCGATATCTGACATGTTTGATATGATCGTCCAAGTCGTCGCTTCAACGGCAACAAATCGTGTAATTTGCTGACCTCGGCGACAAGTTAAGCGACAACCAAGGAAATAAATTCACCTATTAAACCAATCATTTTTGGTTATTTTTCTCATGCGACGTAACCACACGCGAGGTTTCTCGGATTTTATTTCTGTTGCATATTATAATAGCATCAACAGAAATAAAATCCGAGAAACCTCGCACTTATAAATAAGTGGCTCGGTTAATCTAATTTAGGCCGAACTGACTAATTGAAATTAAGTTTGCAATTCTGGCACTTATCAAAAGTGTGAACTGTAGAATACATGGTAGGCCGAGTGGATTGTTCCGTCTATATAGCAATATACCCAATAATAATATAGTCCTAGGATTCATAGATGGTAATTAGAATGGGCGTTTTTTTATTTTGTAAGACTTTTGCTAGAGTTTTTGCTATATTATATTATATTATATTGACTAGAAGAATAAATGGAAGGAGGAATGGACCAGGCCCTACACTCACCAACAAGACCCATAGAAGAGTTGCACTGAACTGTCATTCAACCGGACAAATCGACCAGAAGCGACTTACATACTCTTCAAAACAAGTAGGGGATATTGGAACGTGGCACGGCAAGAGGAGTGGGTCAGATTGCCCCAAATCGTGATTGGACGGTTGCACTCGGCAAACCTCGACAGATTCTACGCATCTAATCTCGGCTGTATGAGGAATTCCGCCATATTGGAACTATTTTAAAGGTCCCGGATGAAAAATGGCTGCGCCCATGGAGATTTCTATGGAGAGTGTATTATATCAACAAAAAACGTCAAGTTTGGCATTGGGTTTGGGGAATTACCAGGGAATTATATCAAACCAGCAGCCTTGAGACAATATCTCTGCTCGTTTAGTTATATTATACACTCGACAAAAGACGCCATTTTGGGACTTTTTTGTAAAAGCGGCACGTTTTCATGTTAAGTAAACCGGTAGCCGCATCGCAAATGTGTGGGCGTAGGTACATATCAATTACTATCATACAGCCGAGGTTAGATGTAGGGTACCGGGATCTGCCGAGGTTTGCCGAGTGTGGACGGTTGATTAGGAGCATGCCACGACGAATTGCTGAATGTCAGAGGATTGGTGGAGCAATTACTCATTATTAAAACAAAAACGTCCATTTTCACTTTTGACAGTGTATCTCTTTGCGAGTGAAATGGGGCCGTCAGATAAGCCGCCCATGTGAACTGTTTATGTTCATGTGTAGGCAATTCGCCTGTTATTAACATACGCTGGTTACCTCTAATAAAAACAGCAGTGCATTTCAGCAGTTTTCTATTGTTTCTGAATATCCCCTACTTTTTTTTTAAGAGTATATAAATAAATACTAAATTATCCCTTTAATCCTTTTTCGCTAATCACATTGTAAATAATTTCACTATGTATATATAACATGTAATTATCTGTGATATCACCTCGATAGAAGCGGACGTTAGATAAAACTATTTCACATACACATTTGGATAAAAATAACAAAACGCATACAGCCACCATGGAATACAATCATCGGTTTAGTAAACAAAAATCGCTGAAAGACTGCAAATTTGTTTCCTTACGCCAAAATTGACATATCGTCGTATATTGTCGTCACTCCAGTCCGTCGTTCCGTTCGTCGTCCACAATTGGAGGGTCTAGAGCTGCACCCTCCAATTGCTCTAGAGGCTTAAGTTAATATCCGATTGATATATACACAGTATTTGGGGTCATTGATTTTAATCGATTTCATATAATAACGGCCAGAGTTATGGCTCTGTTGTCAATTTTTTCCTTACCGACAAAAGAACAAAATATGTGACAACGTAAGTTTCGTTGCCTGGCAACTTATCTTTGTTCTGAAAAAATAATAATACTGTTTTGATTTGTTGTTCTTTCTATATTAATATATGCACTCCTGAATTCATTGGCTGTAACAGAACTAGTATTTGTTCATAGGTAAAAGTAAATACACTGTTATTCGACATTTTACAAATTAACTCGATATTACAATCTGTCCAGTCAATATGTCGAAATCTT